GCAGAAGGGGAGGGGCTGGGGGGCCAGGGCAGAGTCCTTGGGAGGCTACCTGGAAGCTACCTGGAAGGTAATGGGCTCCCGGTAATGGAAATCTGGCAGCATGAATGGGTGCTGACAGGAGTGACCCAGGAGAGGGCCACTGAAAGTGTGGGAGACAAGAAGGAATGTGCTGGAAGGAGGCCCTGGTCCAGGCAGGAGGTAAGGGGTCTGGAGAGCAAGCAGCGTGGGGTCAGGGTCATGTGCTCTCAGTGGAAAGGGAGCCAGGGACCCCTGCTGCGGGGGAGGCAGGTGGGGCGAGAGGGGAAGGTTTGTGCCTCAATCTTTGGGGCCCATCCAGTGTGCAGAGCATGTCTTCAGTGATGGGAACCCTTGGAGCACAGAAGCAAACTGCCCGCCCTGCTGGAGAGTAGCTTCCAGAGGAGGCAGGACTCACAGGCCAGTGAACACCCGCTGTGTTGTTGGGCAGTGATGACGGAGGAAAAGGAGAAAGTACAGGGGCACCCCACCTGGACTGCAGGGTTGGGTGGGTGGGGAAGGGTAACCTTTGGGATAAGTACTTTCTTTGAACCCTACGCCTGTGCCCCACTTCCCCACCATAGCTGTCCATCGGCCTCTGGCCTGGAGCCAGCAGACTGGCTGTCACCCCAGGATCTCAGCCCTGCTCAACACTGGGCCTCAGCCTTGGGAGGGGCAAAGGGCCACGGCACTCTGCCAGAGCTGCAGTTCTATCGCAAGTCCCCTCCACTGGACCTTGGCCGAGGGCACACCCTGACCTGCTGGCTTAGCCCCAGCGTGTTCCTCACCTGCCTGGTGGCTCAGTCCATCTCCCTCTCCCGGAAATGGTGAACGGCTGAGTCACCTCCGAGTGCCCTGGCAGAAGGCAGGACAGATGGAGAGCAGTGACAGCCCCAGGGGAGCCAGGGGGAAGCGAGAGGATGGATGAGGGGCAGGGGGAGGGGCACCCGGAGGGTCTGCCCTTGGGTGGCAGGGGCTGTCACCCCACCTCAGAGAAGGCGCTGCGCATTGATGTTGGTAGGGGCTGGGGCAGGAGTGAACATGGAGACCTGGAAGGAGAGATCTGGACGTGACCCTGAGCTATAGACCCCTTTAAAGTCAGGGTTCTTGATTGAGAAGCTTTCTAAGTCCCAGAGGCACAGGCCCAAGGGTGGCATTTCAGGCATGTAGTGTGTGAACAGTGAGTTCTGAGAGCAGGTGGACTGTGGGCCCAACTGGCGACCCAGGGTGGCCCTGGACTGGCTTCCATCCTTCCACCTTTAGTATTTTTGAAGCACCTTGAGTGGGCGAGACCTGTGGTCACCACATGACATTTGTGCGTTCGGTGCTGTTCTGTGCACTTCATGTGTACTGGGCATCTCAGTGTCCACTTTACAGGGGAGAGACTGGGCACAGAGCAGGTAAGTACTTGCCTTAGGACACACAGCTAGGAAGGATGAGAAAGCTAGGAAGGAATTGGCCCGTCTTCCCTTGCCTTGTTCTGGAAGCTACTGGCTTTCTGTACAGAAACCCATTTGGGGACCTCCTCAGTGGCGCAGCGATTGAGCGCTGGGTTGCGAAGCTGCCCGCAGCCTCTGCAGCGCCAGTTCGATCCCTGGCCACCGGGAGAGGGTCCCACATGGTGCGCAGACCTCTCCTGCTGCCTGCTGCTCCCCTCAGCAGTGTATTTCGTCATTCTGCCTGTTCTGTTCCCCGCTCTGGCTCTGGTGAGTTCTCTCACCCTCCCGCGCTTCTGACTGTACCCGGTGCTTGTATAAATAAATAAATAAATAAATAAATAAATAAATAAATAAATAAATAAATAAATAAATAAATAAAATCTTAAAAAAAAAAAAAAAACCCCATTTGGTTTATGGTCTACGCAGCTCTGGGGAGGAGAGGCTGGGTGGGAATCCTTCCAAGGGCCTCCCCTGTGAGTAAGCAGGGTCTGAGGCAGCTCAGGCTGAACGCGGGCTGGTGCCCAGAATGCTTCCTGTCCTCCCAGCACCCGCAGCCTGAGAGTCTCCAGTGCGGGTAAACACTCGGTCACAGTGGGGTGTTCACTGTCCTTGTCCTGCTGGAAGCCCTGGGCTGGAGGTTGGTCTGTGGCTCTCTGACCCCAGGGTCCTTCTGTCTCCTACCCCCAAGGAGGCTCAGAGCAGGGGATGTGGTCTTCACACCCAAGCCCCCATGCGGCCCGCCCTCCGGGGTCCCCCCCATGCACAGGCTCTGCCTTCTGTTAACCTCAATATGTCAGAGTCCTGACTTCCGGCCACGGCCAAGCCCACAGGTCAAAGTGCCTCCCCATGTCAACCCTCACGGTGGTGGGGGTGGAGGGACTGGTTGTTCCTTTGGTGTTCCTCAAGCAGCCCCCCTGAGTGGGGAGGGACCTTGGAGAAGAGGCTTGTGAAGCGGTGCCGCTGTCTGGGCACCGTGCGTGCATACCAGGTGGCGTACAGCGTGTGTGTGGGGCGGGTATCTTGGCGTTGCATGGTGATAGCAATCCAGCAAGTAAAGGAAAATGGCCAGGACCGGCAGGTGTGGTGAAGAAACATGAGGGGTCTTGTGAATGCGGGCACCTGGGGGGGGTCCCAAGTGAGGGTAACATTGGAGCATGGGAGGATGATGTGCATGGGAGGATGATGCCATGGTGGGGGGCGCCCCCCTGAGGCAGAGAAGTGTTGAGAAGCACTACTAGTTCCAAACAGAAAGTCAGTGTCATGTGCATCTGAAGGTCCTGCCTGGCTTCCGGGCCAGTGGCCTGTGGGCGGGCAGCAGAGGGGTGTGGAGAAAAGTGAGGAAGCCAGATGAACTCATCTGGCTGTGGTGGGCCCCTTCACTCACAGCTCTTCTATGTTGGAAAGGACCCCAAATCAAGGCTCTGAGGCCTCAGGGTCTGGACTGTTTGCCGCCCACCCCTGCTCTCCCTAGCTCTAACTGGGAGCCACTGAAGTCAACCAACGCCAGTGCAGGGAGGAGGCTGGGACGGGGCCTCCTGGTGACCTTGAGGACCAGCCTCCCTGTCCCTTGGCCAGGAACCTATACCTTGGGGGGTACACTCCCCCCCCACCACTAACCCAGACCCACCAGAAGCCTCTTCCTGTACCAGCCAATCTCCATAAATGGCCAGCATGACCCTCCCACACACACACATGGCCATTCACTGCAGGAGGTAGGGGCTTAGGGTGCCACAAGCCCACCACGGAGTTTGCCCGAGTGAGGGCTCAGGGGCCTGGGGAATGACACGGCTGTTTTTCTCCCCAAACTTCTCCATTCTGTGTGCCTCTCAGAAGCCATGTCCCTTTGCTTCCTCCCCTAGAGCCAGTTCCTGGTCCCTGCAGTTGCCACAGGGATGGGACAGTGTGAGCTGGGCTGTCAGGGCGGCAAGTGAGGAGCCTGTACATAGAACCACACACCTCTGCACACGGGTGTGGCCGGGTGCCCCTGGCTGGCTGCCAGTCAGGGAGTGGGAGCAAGGCCACCCCCCAGCCCCTTGGGTTCAGGACCCGGGGTGCTTGCCCCCACTACAGGCCCACACACCCACATATGCACATTCATACTCACATGCCCTTATACACACATGTGCACACTTACAGTGCATGTCCCTACACACTCACCATACACACCCTATATACAGAACCTACACATGTACCCTCTCACATGCACAACCCTCCAAACAGACACACCAGGCACAGCCTGTCTTAGTGTGCACACACTCATGTGTACCTCTGCACACTCACAATGCACCCCTACCTACATATCATGTGCCTGGCTCTACAAACATATCCAAACATACACACCCTAAACACACATTCATGCATGCACACTCCTACGTGCATGCCTCTGCACACATGTACACACTCCTCGCACACTCATGATGTACACACTTGTGCATGCACACCCCACAAACAGACATGCACACTCCAGTGTACACTCTCACAGTGGCCCACAGTGTACACTCTCACAGTTAGCTTCTGAGGAGCGGCTCTGACCTGCCTCGCACTGGGGTGACCTCTTTAGAGGTCCCCGAGGGAGGGGCAGGGCTCCGTTCTCAGGAGGGCAGGGGGCTGGGCTGAGCTGTCCCGCACTGGGACAAGCCACCTGGTAGCTCTGGCTTATCACAGAGGAAAGTTCAGACCCCAGACGGGGCATCCACACAACTGACATGTTCCAGGGTCTGAGGTTCCTGGGCACCTTGGGCTGGAGTGACTTGGGGGGATCAGCACTGTGCTTTTAGATGGATGGGGGGACTATTGGTGTTTTGGGGGTGGGCACAGCCCAGGCTCCCTGGGGCTCCCAGAGAACTCTCCTCAGCCAGAATCATGGGGCAGCCGGATCCAGGGAAACCTTTACTTACTGCGGAAAGTCTTCTGGAGGTGACGCACCCCTGCGGGAGGCTGCGCTCTTTGGGGCTTGTCCCAGCAGCTGCATTCCCCTTCCTTGCGCATCACCCTGGGATTTACAAAACGGGGAGAAAAATACCTCGGTGCCCCCCCCCCCCGCCTATCACCTCAGTTTATTAAGCTCTATCCTCCTCAATGCAAAACATTTCAAACCCGACGTCCCATTTAGATTCAAGATTGTTAGCGTCTTGTTGCGCTGCCACGTCTACAAGCACACAGGGATTTTTGTCGACCCTTTTCAAGTAAAGCCATCAAGATGTATCACCCCTAATTGTGTCCTTGTCACATGGGACAAACTCGACACTTGGGGCTGGCATCTAGCGCCCTGCCCTGTGCATGCTTAGATTTCTGTCATCTCCATTTGTTCCCTCAGGACGTCCAGGGGGCCTCCATCCCCAGGGGCAGCTGGGATGATGGGGTGGGGCTGGTCATTGGAAGCTTAGGGTCTACAGAGTGGAACTTAGTCTCCTGTTGCACAGATGGGGAGACTGAGGCCAGAAAGAGGCCTCTGTGGGGTTCGGGCTTCCCTGGTCCAGTGCTGTCTCCCTCTGGGGTTGACCCTCTGGGTTAGCCCTCTATGGACACCTGATCTTTGCCTTCCAGATCCTGACTGGGCCTCCTACACCCTGGGAGTGTTCATCTGCCTGAGCTGCTCCGGAATCCACCGGAACATCCCCCAGGTCAGCAAGGTGAAGTCTGTCCGCCTGGATGCCTGGGAAGAGGCCCAAGTGGAGGTACTGTGGGCGGGGTGGGGGGGCAGGGGTGGGAGGAGACCTGGCCAGTCCCACTGCCACCTTGGGTGACCTCATTTCTGGCCCTTCTTGGTGGGGGACACCTTGAGGCTCCCTTCATTCCCAGTGCTCCAGACTCACTCCTGACTAACCTCTAAGGGGTCAGCACTGCTCCAGAGGGGTTCAGGCTGGTGGGGACCTGAGGGGAGAGGTGGGCATTGGGAAGCCCAGGGCCAGCTGTCGGGACCTCAGCCCCTCCTATGTTAAACCCCCTGCACCCCATCCTCTGGCTGACTCCTTCCCTGACTCCCTCTTGGGGAGCTGCTGAGCGATAAGCAAGGGAAGGGTCACAGAGGGACGGCTCATCTGTCCTCGCTGGCGGTGCCTGGGGCTCCAGCGCCATCTCCCACACCTGGCATTCAGGGGCCACTGTGTGGAGAAGCGGTGCAGGGTGACAGCCCCTCTCAGTTTCAGGGTTTTATTGCAAATTGCTGTGGGAAGCCCACGGTCACACATGTCAAGCCCTCGCTTTCTACCCACGCGTTTATCCACCTACCCTTCCATCCATCAGCCCATCCTTCTATCCATCCATCCGTTCTTGCACCCTCTTCACTCAGCAGCCGTCCATTATCCATCATCCATCTCGCCCCTGTCTATCGAGCCTGTTTCAGGAGATTTGGTGGGGTCGTTGGCCCGAGAAGGCCGGAGGGAGGGAAGGGAATGAAGCAGACACCAGGTAGCAAGCCACTGGGCAGGGGGTGGTGACTCAGATTGGGGTGGCGGGTGAGGTCCCATGTCCTGAACAAAGTGGAGTGGGACCAGGGCACAGGCTGGGAGACAGCATTCCAAACTGGGGTGTCGCTGTGGAGAATGTGCAGTGGGTGAGTTGGGGAAATCCTGACCCCTGTTGGAGCTGTGGCAGGTGGGGCGAGCTGGGCCAGGAGCCAGCAGCAAAGCCCCCTGCTATTTGAGAGTCAAGGGCCTTAGGAGGCCTGTGGCCACCCAGTGAGACTGACACTGCTATGGAGGTGGGGGCCATTCCCAGGGGACTTGCTAGAATGCAGGGTCTGGCTGAGGCCGACTGCTGGGTCGGAATCCGCATTAACAAGCCACCCAAGCACACAAAACCTTCACTCTCTTGTTGTTGGGAACAGCCAGACTCAAGTGGTCAGGAAAGTGTTGGAGGCCCCCATGGTGGCACGATGGAGGTCCTGGGGCCAGGCTAAAAAAGGACATACCTGGTGTGAAGCCATGTAAGGAAGGGGGGGATGGGACCCCAATGGCATGTGTGGTAGGAAACCCCCCACTCTACCCGTGAACACTCATGAGGAGGTTTGCAGAGAGACTGGGGAGCTGGTGCCAGCAGTGGCTGTGTAGGGAACAGGGAGAAGGTGGGGTGCGGTGGAGGGAGGGCATGGGGACTAGAGCGGGAGAAAGTAGGGGGTGAGGTGGTGGGGCACAGATGGGGTAGGAGGGAGAAGGTAGGGGGAGAGGCAGGGAGGGAAAAGTGGAGCTGAAGGGAGGAGGTAATGGGGAGAGGAGATTGGCTTTGCTTCATTTCCTTTACATTATCAGTCCTTCTACTCTGTATTAAAACACAGGGCGCTCTCCAAGGGGCCTGAGGGTGCTAGACCGCCATGAGAGGCTGGGTCTCTCCCTGCCTTCTGAATGTGTGAAAGGGGGGATTGCTATTCCTGGACTGGGGGAGAGGGACTGTGAGCCCCCTGTGAGACCGGCCCAGGCCCCCACCTCCCCAGAGAGCACAGTGGGAGTGGCTGCAACACCCCGGGCCAAAGGGCTTGCTGGGCTGCACACATGGATTCATGTCTCTTCCCTTCCTGTTTCTTTTTCTTTTTTTAAAAAAAAGATTTATTTATTTATACAAGAACTGGGGTACAGATCAGAGGCGCGGGAGGGTGAGAGGATTCACCAGAGAGAGCGGGGAGCAGAACAGGCAGACGGACCGAAGGGGAGCAGCGGGTGAGACAGGAGAGGTCTGCCACGCCGTGTGGGAATCTCCCTGGCTGGCCGGGAATCGAACCTGCACTGCAGAGGCTGCGGACAGCTTCCCAGCGCTGCGCTCAACCCCCTGTGCCACCAGGGAGGCCCCTTCCTGTTTCTTTTTATGTATTTTTCCCCCCAGAATTTTACATTCTTCTCTAATCTCTTTTTAAAAACAAGCTTTATCGTGCTATAACCCATGTGCCATCCACTTTACCCAGAGTGCCCTACTCAGAGGCGTCCAGTCTCTTCTCTGACCTGCAACCACCCATCACGGTCACTGTGAGAGTTGTCATCCCCCTGGAAGAAGCCTGCCGCCCTCATCTGCCCAGTTTCTGTCCTGGGATCTGCTGGCGGTGGGTGTGAATGTAAACAGGGTTGTAGGATGTGTTTTTCCTGACCGCCCCTACACTGAGTGTTTTCCACATTCTTCCGTGTCATACACGTCAGAGCTCCATGCCTTTGCACACACCGTGCATGGTGGTGATGGAGCGCGTCTTTCTATCAATCACCTCCACCTTGCTCGTGTGTTGGGGTAATTCGGTCGCCTGCACACAGGAGTGGGTGGACAGGGTTGGGAGAGCAGCAGTGAGAGGGGGGTCCCCCGCCCCGGGTTTCCAGATGTGGGCTCCCCTGGGGAGCGAGGACTCTGCTGGTCATCAGCAATGCACAGTGACCTGGTGTGGACACTTCCTCACGGCCCCTCCGCAGCACACGGGCAGGTTAGTCTTTCCCCACCGTGACCTCCGAGCCGTGAGCAGCCTCGCAGATGCTTCATTTCGTCAAGTGGCATTTATTGGAAACCTAAATTCCTAGAAAGTGAAGTACAAGGTCACAGGCTACGAGCCGGTCACCCTTGAGAGTTTGCCAAACTTCCCAGCGGAGCTGCTTCTAGGTCCTCAGTGTGTGACACATGCTCAGGACTTTCTTTACGGACTGAGCGGCGAAAACCCGTGTCCTGTGGAGTCTTCATTCAGCACTTTCTCGTCTCGAATGGAGTCGAGTCTCTCGTGATGTCGGGGAACACTTGTGTTTTTTCCTCTGTGACGAGAAGGTGGCTCCGGGCCGCATTTCACTGAGTGTTAGTTGCTCTTTATCTACCAGGGGGTTTAACCTTTGGAGACAGTAGCTGAAGACTTTTTTTTCTAGATTATTTGTCTGTTGACTCTGGTCAGGGTGGCTTTTGCAATGGAAACTTTGTCACTTTGATGTACTCAAATTGATCAACCTTTTCTTTTGTGGTTTTAGGGGTTCTAGCATGCTCAGGCCTGCTGTACCCTAGGATTTTTTTTCAGACCAGCTTTATTGAGATTTAATTCACATACCATACAGTTCACCCTTTTGAGGAGGACAATTTTAGTATATTCACAGGCCAGCGACCATCACCGCTATCTAATTTCAGAACATTTTCATATCCCCAAATAAACCCTGTCCACGTCCCCAGCCACTCCCCATTTCCCCTCCACCCCAGCCCCGACTCAAGTAGAAAGACCAGTTTCTGTCGCTGTGGACCTGCCCATTCTGGACTTTTCATAGAAATGGGATCACACAACACAGGGCTGCCGTCGTTCACCCAGCGTGGCGTTGTCAAGGTTCCCTGTGCTGCACATGGGTCCTGCTTTGCTCCACTTTTTGGCTGAATAGTCTCTCTTGTGTACACACCAAGTTTTGTTGATCTACTCCGTTGTTTAGGGACATTTGGGTTGTCTTATTTTTTCAGCTATTGTGAATAATGCTGCTGTGAACATTCATTGTGATTTTTAAAGTGGGATTTGTGTTCCCATCGGTGGTATATGAGGATTCCAATTTCTCCACATCTACACTTATTACTGTCTGTCTTTGATTTTAGCCATCCTAGGGGGTGAAATGGTATCTCCTTGTGGTTTGATTTGCAGTTTCCTAATGACTAATGATGTTGAGCATCTTTTCATGTGCTCCTTGGCCTCTTGTATATCTTTGAAGATGTGTTCATTCAAATCCTTTACTCATTTTTAAAATGGCTTAGGTGTCTTTATTATTGAGTTAAGGGGTTTTTTTTAAGGGATATATATATATATATTTAATACATATATAATATATAGACTGGACACTGGTCCCTTATCAGTTACAGTATTTGCAATAGTTTTTCTCATTCTGTGGGTTGTCTTTTAACTTATTTTTTTAATGAAAGAGTACAGATTATATCCTTGTGTGCCCTCTATGTAATTTTCAAAAACATTGAGGTGAAAGTCACATAACATAAATTTACCATTTTAAAGTGAACAATCCAGTGGAATTTAGTGCATTCACAATGTAGTCAACCATCACTTGTATCTAGTTCCAGAACATTCCATTACCTCAGAGGAGACCTGTCCCTACTAGTGTCCCCCCAGCCTGTGGCACTCACCACTCTGCCTCTTCTTTGTGGATTTGCCTGTTCTGGACACATCACAGAGTCACAACTTTTGTGTCTGACTTTTCTCATTGAACATTATGGCTCAGCACACTGCCTTGATGGTATCTTTTCTCTGAAGCACAAAAGTTTTTAATCTTAATGAAGTCCCATGTGTTTCTTTTGTTCTTATGCTTCTGCTTTTGGTGTCATTATCTGAGAATCCATTTCCTAATCTAAAGCCATGAAAACATGCTATTTTTTTTAATGTTATTTAAGATGCTCTATGATTTTTATCAACTGTTTTTATTGTTTAATTTTAGAGATTAAATATTTGATTCAATCGGAATTAATTTTACTGAAAGGCATATCCCACTCAGCTTTTTCTCTGAGGGGGTACCTGTTGTGCCAACCCCACTGATAATCTACAGATGTCCTCCCCTTGATTCGAGACGCAGCATCACTGTGTATGACCCCGCCCATGTCTTTGGAGCCATATCTAGACCTCTGTTTGCTTCACTGAGTTAGGTTTTCTAGTCGGTATCCATTTTATTTGTGATGCCATTCTACCGTGTTGTAATATCTGATGGGGAGTCTTCATTTTTCAGAATTTTCTGGTGTGTATTTTTACTTGTTAGTTTACAATTGAACTTTAAAATCACTGTTAGCTTTCAAATATTCTATTCCTTTTTTTTTTTTTTTTTGAGGACTGCAAGTACATATATAGATTAACATGAGATGACGTATTTCCCATCTCCCCACCAAGAATGTACCAGGTCTTTGAGGTATCTTAGCAATCTTTAGGAGCACATGAAATTCCTCTTCACAGACTTTGAACATTTCTTATTACGCTGATTCTTAGGTAGTTGCCTGGCTGTTATCATACATAGGGTCTTTCCTCTTATGCATATCTCCTAGCTGACTGATGTTCTATATAGAAAAGCCATTGACTTTAGAATTCTAACTCTAAAGAGGCGCCAGCCTTTTGTTGAAGTGTCTTACTGTGATTTTTTTTTTTTTCTAATTGATTTTCTTGGGTCCTTCATGTTCAGGATCCTCTGGTTCTCAACACATGATGACTTTAGAGGGCAGGATTATTTTAGTCAGGTGGAGGGTGGGTTAGGCAGATTGCAGGGTTAAACCCCAGACCCCTCACTCCACCCCTTGCCCTTGAGGCCTCCGTGCAGTCAGGACTTTGGCCTCCCTCCCTTCCACTCCCCACACTCAGCCGCTCTTAGGGCCTCTCCTCCAACATGCCCAAGTGCTCTGACCCCAGGCCCTTTGTACATGCTGTTTCCTATGCTAGAGACACCCTGGCATGTGACCTCCTGAGAGCCTTTCTCCTCTCCCAGGTAGCTCACTTTAACACCAAATGGCATGTTGTTCCTTAGCAGTGTTCACAGTATGTGCTCAAGCCCTTGAGCTCTTGACCTCTGCCATCTGTCTGGGCCTTGCTTGGGTCTCCTTGCTCACAGGTCACTCGTGGTGCCTGGCCCATTAGCTGCAAGCTGCATGAGGCAGAAAAGGGCATCTCAGGCAGCAGGCACAGGTCTGCCCTGGGGTGCCAGCCTTGGGTGATTGGGGGACTGAAGGTGGGACAGAGCTCAGTCACCCTCCCAAGGAGGGGGATATCTTCTTAGTCACTGGCTTTCTGGAGAGACACTGGGCCCCTTCCACCTATCAGGGCTTCCTGGGGGCAGTAGCAGGGAAGCTCTGGGCAGCAGAGGTCAGTCTGTCAGGGTCCTGGGGTCTCCCCTGCCTCGGTGCTGACCAGCACACTCTCTTGTAGTTCATGGCCTCCCATGGGAACAACGCTGCGCGAGCCATTTATGAGTCCAAAGTGCCGTCCTTCTACTACCGGCCCACGTTCACCGACTGTCAGTAAGTAACAAAGGGGCTTTGTCAGAGCTGCTGTTGACAGCCGAGAGCCCTGGAGTCCAGCTGGGTGGCTCCGAAGATGGCTCCAGGACCCGTGGGCAGCAATGGGCAGGGGGCCCAGAGGGCTTGGGTAGGTGGGTTGGCTGGCTCTGCTCTGCTGGGTGTGGTTTCTTGGGGGGTGGCCTGAGGGAGGGAGGGGATGCACATTTTGCAGTCAGTTTGCTGGTCCATGTCTACTATGGCTTAACTGCGGCTTGGAGATGAAACCATTCTGGTTTTTTTGTTTTGTTTTGTTTTTTAATATTTATTTTTATTTGTTTGTTTGTTTATTTATACAAGTACTGATACAGTCAGAAGCACGGGAGGGTGAGAGAATTCACCAGAGCCAGAGCAGGGAACAGAACAGGCAGAGTGACGAAGTACACTGCTGAGGGGAGCAGCGGGCGGCAGGAGAGGTCTGCGTGCCATGTGGGACCCTCCTCCGGTGGCCGGAGAGCAGCCGGGGATCGAACTGGCGCTGCAGAGGCTGCGGGCAGCTTTGCAACCCAGCGCTCAACTGCTGCGCCACCAGGGAGGCCCAGATGAAACCATTCTGTATCCCCCTTTTTGACAAGGTCCCTGAGGGCCAGAGTATGTTTCCCAGAGTGGCAGAGATCCTGATGGACAAGCTGGGAGCTTGTCCGTGGCAGGCAGGGCTCACACTTGCTCCCAGGCAGGCCACTGGGACATTCCTTCTTGGAAGGGGGTGAGGACCCAGTCTGCCCATCTCCCGGCCTGCCATGTCCAAGACCTGGGAGAGAGGTCTCTGGGAGAGAGTTCACTGAGTTTCCATGCCCTGGCTCAGTTCCAGCCTGACCTGTGCAGCACCTGCCTCATGTTGCCTCAGCCTTTGTCTCCTCTTTTTTTTTTTTTTTTTTTTAAGATTTATTTATTTATACATACAAGAGCTGGGGTACAGGCCAGAGATGCAGGGGGTGAGAGGATTCACCAGAGACAGAGTGGGGAACAGAACAGGCAAATTGACCTAAGTACACTGCTGAGGGGAGCAGCGGGCCAGACAGGAGAGGTCTGCTGCACCATGTGGGATTCTCCCTGGCTGGCTGGGGATCAAACTTGTGCTACAGAGGCAGCGGATTGCTTCATACTGTGGTGCTTAACCCCTAGTGCCACCAGGGAGGCCCCTTTGTCTCCTCTTGACTGGCTCTGTAAGCTAACTGCTCCTTGGCCACCCTGTGCATCCCCTGAAACTCCAGGCTGCTGCATGCTCCTGTTTCTCATTCTGCTTAAGTAGGCTGGGGGCTCCCTTTAGCAGGTAGTTTGGGTGCTGGTCAGTGGGGTTCTGGTTGCTGCAAGGGGATGCATGTCCAAATTCCAGGCCACTCCACTGCTTATGTTCGTTTCCTTAAGGATTAGTCACTGTGAGGTTCTTGGCAGGAGTTTTATCCAGGGGCACATGCGAGTTAGGGGACGAGCCAGTTGGGATCACACTTTAGGGACAGGAGATAGGTCTATAGCTCCCTCCAGGGCCTCACCCTCCTTCACTGCGTGTGACCTCCACTCCCTTCCCCACCCCCATAAACACATTCCACCCCTTCCGGACAGGCCCAGGGACCTGCCCACATCCTGAGACGCCCCCAGCTACTGCCCTCGCCACTTCTGGGCTCACAGGGAACCCGGCACCCCAGGCCCAGCTCTCAGTATGAATCAGCCAGGCTGTGGGCAGCTATTCTGAGACAGGATTGTATCGGCTCAGCCGCAGGCTGCTCTGTGGTCTGGGTCATTTGCATGACCTGCATCTCCCTTTCTGAGCGAATGTCTGGCACAGACTGACCACAGGTGCAGGTCCTTGCGGGGATGCTTGGCAGGGCCCTCTGCATCCTGGGCCTGCGTCCTGCTCACAGAGACCATTCCCATTCCCTTCGCGAGTGACCAATGTCTGGATAAGAGCAGATTCTGCCCCCAGGGGACCCCACCTTCCCCTACCCTCATAGCGAACGTTCCAGCACATGACTGCATCACTGACCATGTGCAGAGGCAATCAGCCAAGTAGAGGTAGACCTCAGTCAGGGCGGTGTGGGCCCTGGAGAAGCTCCTCATCTGGCTGGGGGACCCCCAGCAGGCAGCCATGAGACCAGGGAGGTGGGGGGGAACATACCAAGCCCCTGGTTCAGCAGGTTTGAAGGTCGTGGATGGAGCGTGCTTGTCTGTGTACACTGAGGAGCTGCAGAGGGTAGGAGCTGGGCAGGAATCCCCTAGGAAACTCTAGGGAGAAATAGAAGGGTGGGTAGTGGGATGTGAGCCTCCCTGGTCTCACACACTGTGAACAGGGCTCCGCGCAGCAGGCTCCAGAAGGCTAAGACCAGAGGCTTCGGGTTTCCCATCTGTAAATCAGGGAGGACCCGCCTGCACCAGGCATCAAGAGGGTGGGATGAGGCCGTGTGTGCCGTGTGCCGTTGCATGGCCAGAGGGGTGCCCTGGACAGGCGGGTCCCTCCCCACTCTGGTCTGGAGCTCAAAGCTCAAGGGGCAAGCATGGGCATTCAGAGGGTCCAGGCCACATGGCAGTTGTTAGTGGCAGGCTGTTGAGTCAGAGAGGTGGGACCCAGGCAGGTTTCGGTCTCGACTTGGAAAGAAAGTCATAACCTGCTCCTCTTTTACTTCTGAGGGAAACTTCCCCTCCCCGCTTCCTGTGATGGGCCAGCAGTTAGAGGGCGTGCAACCCCTGCTTCCTGGCAGCAGTGGGCACCAGGAGAAGTTCTAGAGCCCAAGGTCCCCCAGCAGGCAGTGTCCCTGGTGAGAGGACGCCGTGTGAGCTTCCTGGGGAGCCTTAGACAGCAGGAATCGACTTCTCACAGGCTGGAGGCTGGAAGTCCAAGGTCAAGGTATCGACTGGGCGGTTTCTCCTGAGGCCTGTATCTGTGGTGTGTGGACACAGTGTTCTCCTTGGGCCTTGTGCGGTCATTCCTCTGCCTGTGTCTGCGCCCTGACCTCTTCCTAGAGGGAGCCAAGTCACACTTGGCTCTTATTAGGCTCCCCTGTCCGTCCCCCACCCGGCCCAGTGTGGCCATCTCCTATTCTTCAGCAACCATCTTGTTTCCAAATAAGGGTGCAGTCTGGATGGCTGGTGGGAGAAAGGCTAGGACTGCAGCATATGTTTTTTTGGGGGGAGAGGGGGAGGCACCACTGACCCACAATAGCCTCAGAAATCATGCAGGTGAAGTGGTAGGAGGCCTGAGTTTACTGCAGGAGAGTGGGGCAGGGCAGCGGGCTAAAAGCTGTGAGGCAGACCCATGGACCCTAGCGCAGAAACCTCACCAGTTTTCCATCGTGAATAAAGAGGAAAGAACCTTTGAACAGGGCTCCGCGCAGCAGCCTCCAGGAGGCGAAGTCCAGAGGCATCGTTTTTTTGGGAAGGTTGCTCACTCTGTAGAAGGCGAAACTGAGGCCTGAGGTGAAACTGAGGGACACTCCCCAAGCAGCAGAGCCCAGTCTCCCAGCCTCTGGGCGGGGTATACACTAGCTGGATCCTAAACAGGTGACCAAGAGACTGACAAAACTGAGGGGAGATGGAGGCGTTCAGCAATGATTGGCAGAGGCCAGCACCCCCAACGTGGCAGAGCTGGCAGGCAGGTGAGCTGGAGACAGGGCCTGCAGCCCAAGGGCTCCCCAAGTAAGCTCCCCGGCCACCTAGGCACGGGCCTCTCCTGTGCCACTTTTTGTGCCCAGGTCACCAGGTCATTTCAGCAGGTCCTCCCCCTGCCCCCCAGGCTGCACCAGCCTTGGGGGATGAAGGGAGTTTGGTGCTGCCTGGGATTGGAGGTGCCCTGTGGAGCCATTATAGGAGGTGGACCCTGGGGTTCAGAGTGGAGCAGCCCCAGGCTAGGCTGGGTGGGAGCTCCCTCCCAAAATCCATACTTGGAGGACGTGGTCACCCCACATGCCTGGCTGCCCCTGCCCTCCCAACTCCCGTCAGCCTTACCCTACCAGCACGCCCCGGCTCATGACTTCTGGCTTGAGGGAACCCCTTTTGACCCCAGATCCCTAGCACTGACTAGGGGGGGCAGCAGGATGCTGTGAAGCCTGCCCTCCTGAGCTTCTGCATGCACAGCACCCATCCCAGGGAGCCCTCCAGATTGGGGGGAGGGGAGTTGTCCCCCCTCGTGGGTACTCCCTCCTACTATGACTTTCTCTGATGCGGGCGACTGAACTGGATAGCCTTGGGAGGTCAGGGCCCCATGCAGCGTGGCCCGGCACCTGACTGCCTTAATGACCCCAGTGACCAAGGGGTCAGTGTGGCTCTTGGGCAGAGGGGGGACTTGGCTCTCTCCCTCTGCTTCTGTTGCCAGGCCTGGGAAGGCCATGTGCACAGGTGAGCCACAGGGCCAGCATCTGTGCCAAGGATGCCGTGTGGAACCCCTACCTGATGGGGTGTGGGCGAGGCTTTGTGGGGCTATCTGCAGACATAGATGTCAGAAGTTTCTTCAAAGGCTGAGTTACAGCGATGTGCCAGGCTCCTGGCTCACAGACATGGCACTGGGTCCTCCCAGCTCTGAGACCGTAGATATAGGAAACTGGGGGCAGGCAGTGCCAACTCCCCAAGACTATACAGCACCCTATAGGGGATTGAGTGTCATCCTCAGCTCAGGACATGTGGGGGTTGGGGGGTTATTTGGAAATGAGGTCTTTGCAAGTGAGATCCCGAGGCTTAGGGTAGCCTCAAGTGCATTGGCTAGTGTCCTTCTAAGAGAAGTGGGAACACAGCTGAGCCCCATGTGCAGGGAGCAGCCACACAAAGATGGGGGCACAGGTGCACCCACAGACCCAGGACTGGGAACAGGCTTCCTCTGAGCTCCGAAAGGAGCCAGCCCATCTGCACTTGACTTAGGCTGGCCCCCCAAAAGAGATATCTCCTATTTTGGGATGCCCAGTTTGGGGTAATTTTTTTACAACAGCCCCAGCAACCTACAGAGGGGTATCCCTAGAGTCCCAGCCAAAGTGGGGGTAGGGGGCTGTAGCAGGAGAACCAGCAGGCCTGGGAGCTTTATGCTGACCACACGGGGCCCTGAGCAAAGCCAGAGATTTCCTGTTTGTTCTGTTCTGTGTGTAACTGACTGGAAACAGAAGCTCCCCAAAGGCGGAGGACTTGTACTGAGGCTGTACCCCACCCTCCACCTGGGGTGAACACACCTGAGTTGTACGTAGTCCAGGGACAAACAGCCTTTCCCAAGTTGTAGTGCAAATCCCTGGGGAAGCGGAGCACACCGAGTCAGGAGAAGAAAGGAAGGCCTTTGGGGACGAGGGGGTTCCTGGGCGCCTCCCCTGACCCCTCCGTCCCTCCTGTCTCAGCTGCATTCAACTCTTTATCCACACTCCCCCGGTAGCCCCCCAGGAGACACCCAGCACGGGCAGGTTAGCAGGAGCTCCCCGCCTTCCCAGAGAGCCTGGCCACGCCTCCGTCTTCCAGCAAAGTGGTGCAAGAAGCGTCTCCCTGTGCAGTGGCAGGGGCTCTGGGCTGGTGCCCTAGGCCAGGAGAGGCCAGAGGGACCAGGCTTGCGAATCCCTACACCCGGACCCCCAGGGTGAAAGGCCGTTGTGTGTGAGGTAGGAAGGTGATGGGGACCTAGCCCGACTTCTGGGTCCTGTGGGGCCCAGGTAGCCCGTCCACCCAGCAGAACCAGAGGGCTCCATCAGCAAAAGGAGGTGGTAACCGTGTTGCAGGGTAAATGAGTTAAAAATCAGGCTTTTCCTGCTCTCCCTCCATTAGCATCTGTGACCGGCACCTGCGGTCTTGCACGCGCACCTGTAATTAGGGGCACCTGGCGCAAAGCACGGGCACGCCTGAGTGGGGACGCCTGTGCCAAGGGGCGGGGGGATTCAAGGGCGGCGTCACTCTGAGGCGGGAGCACAGAACAGACGGGAAGCCAGAGAAATGCTGGGAGAGAAGGCGGCCTGTCCCCTGGTCCAGCATGCAGGCCTGTAAATATCTACCAGAGGCTCCAAAATTATCTTTCGCTGCAAGAACCAACAATGAACCTCCCTGGTCTGGGATGGTTGTGAAACGTGGGCTCAGGGAGCTCGCATCCCAGAGGGGGTCATGGACTGTGAGCCCGCAAGTGGACGGCATCAGAGGGTTGAATGCTGGGCACAACTTCAGTCAGGGGCCTGGGGATGGGGCTTGTGTCAAGGCCAGGGTGCAAGAAAGCCCCACAATGGACTTCTGGGCCAAGCTGAGAGGTGAGGAGGTTTGGGGGCACATGTGGGTGCAGAAGGCTGAGTGGGAAGTAGGGGAGGTGGCAGGTGCTGGGGGGGCGCTGGACATGAGGTTCGTCCGCGGTTCATGGGGTCTTATGGGCACTAGAAGAACCAGGACTGTGAGAGCTGTGAGCAGGGGCAGTTGCCCGCCATGTGCATCGGGCTGCAAGGGGAGGGGGAGGCCCTTGGAGAAGAGGGTGGTAGCCTGGGTCAGGCGAGGGAGGATGGGGGTATGGACGGGGGTGAGGAGCTGGCAGCCTCCCTGGTGGTAAAGGCCGGAGCATGGGGTAGAGGAGCCAGCCCCTCCTTGACCGGCTGTGGCCTCCCCAGACCCAGGCGTGGGCTCCCCGGGAAGGGCACCGCACCCTCTGTGGGCCCCGGGGCAGGAGGGCTGGGTCCTGCCTTCCCCTCTCTAAGGCCCGGGCTGACATCAGTTCCCCTGTAGCCGAGGCACGCGTTCAAGGAGATGGTCAGCGGCCGCCACGGGGAGGAGTGAAGCCCTGGCTCGCGCCACAGCGCAGACCCTCCGTCCCGGCCTGCTCTGCGGCAGCCGGTCACAGAGGGCCACATGCTGTGCGGAGCCGTTCCCTGGACTGTCCAGAACAGGCAAATCCAGAGAGAGGAGCTGGACTCCTGGCTGGGCGGCTGGGGCAGGGCGGCGAACAGGCGCTGGTTTCTGCGCGGGGCGGTGGAAGTGCTGCCGAGGGAGACGGGGGCGGTGGCCGTGGCGGCACAGCCCCGGGAGGTACTAGGAAGCCCTGGATGGGGTACTTCCAGCGGGTAACTTCTATGGTACATAAATTAGGTCTCAACTTTTTAAAAAAGGGGAGATATTAGTGGTGACCAGCACTGCCTGACTAGCAAGTGATTTTAAGAATCAGCTCCCGCTGCTGGGCCCTGCCCTGTGCAAGGTGGCGGGATGCTACCCAACGCCACCCTCATGGCTCACCAGGCCGCGCCCCAGGGGCCCAGGGCCGCCGTGAGCCCAGCAGCCAGGGTTAGGGAGTGTGAGGCTCATTCTCTCTCTTCTCTCTCAGACTCCTGCGGGAGCAGTGGATCCGGGCCAAGTACGAGCGGCAGGAGTTCACCCACCCCGAGAAGCAGGAGCCCTATTCTGCAGGTGAGGGCAGCTTTATGCTTGGCTGTGTCTCGGGCTTTCTCTGTGGGTTGTACAAGAAACAGGGGTGCCTCATTTCAGAGGCAGGTGCGGGCTGGGCTGACATAACCACATCACTGAGTTGCAGGTCTGCTCCTGCAGCAGGGCAGGGTGCTCTTGTTGCAAGCAGAAGAAAAGCCAGCTCACCTGGGGTGGGCGGGGGTGGGGGGAGCGAAAGAGGAGACAGACGGACTCACTGATGGGGCTGACTTCAGGAACAGCTTGATCTAGGCGTTTGGTCAGAGTCGTCAGGACCTGGCTTCCACTTTCCAGCTTCCCTCCTCTGGGTCAGCAGCAACCCTCCTGGTGCTGCCGGGAGCCAGCAGGGGCACGTTTCCCAACCCTTTTCCGGCACCCGAGCACAGGGCAAGCGTGGTCTTCACAGGAGTGGGCGAGAAGCCTCTCGTCTCTGGTTCTGACTGCTCGGGGAGCGGCGTCTGCCCAGTGACCATGACCCGGGAGAGGTGGCGCGTCCTGCTGCGGAACCGGTGGGCCTCCACAGAAACACTGGGATCTGGGTTTCATGCCAGGCAGCAAAACCAACAGACCTTGCCCATTAGAGGTGCTTGGAGAGTGTTTTGGGGGTATGTTTGGGTGTCAGTTGCAGGCATGTAGGTTGGCTTGGGTCAAGTCTCTCCTGCCTCACCCCACACTGTGCTCTGGGGGTGGCAACAACTCCGAAGCCAGGGAGACTCCCCGCCTAAAAGTGCCTCCTTCCCAGGCTGAGGCTCCCCCTTCCGAATCCCACTCTCTCAGGCCCCAGTGCCACAGCTGCTATTCCTCACAAGAAACCTGATACCGGGGTGTTTGAGACGTGGGCCCAGGAAGGGGAGGGCCTGCGGGAGGGCAGAGTTCTCAGCGTCTGAGCAGGTGGTGTTTGAAGGCGCAGCCACTGCACAGATCGGACCCTGGATCTTCCTTAGGTGAGGGGTGAGGGGTACAGCCCCTTCTCTCCGGCCCCTTCACGATGGTGGGAGGCAGCAGCATGCAGCCCAGTGCTGCCACCTCAGGGCACTGCCCTGGCACTGGCTGGGCCTGTGTTTATAGAGGGCAGAGGACCCACGAATGGGCATTGCCTTGTTCTAAAACGGGGAGCAGTGAGGTGGGTGAGCTCAGCAGGGGCCACAGTCAGGGGACTGTGCAGGGCTGCTGAGCAGTGGGGGAAGTGAACTGGGCATGTGGACCACCTGCAGACCACCCTGTCAAGGTGAGGATCCCTGTGTGGCTGGAGCTGACTTGTGTGGAGGGGCTCCCTCAGGCCCTGAAAATGGGGTGCCTCCCAGACCCAAAGGTGGTGTGAGGACGTGGCCAGATAAACTGATGCCTCCTCCACCTGGGACCACCGGCACTGAGAACAACTCCCCAAGTGCCCACGGGAGGGCATGTCCCACAGTGCCGCTGCCCCCTGATCTCTGAGCACCTGGACCCTCAAGACAAGACCCCCAGCAGCAGCAGCACCCACAGGCTCATACTTCATCTCCTGGCCTCCCAGGCTCCCTCCACCAGAGGAGGCGCAGGGCTTCCTCTCTGCTCCCGGCAAAGGGGCAGCTGCTGCCGCTACCAGCAATGGTGGCCCCAGTACGAGGCCTGTATTGAAGCACCAAGGTCACCACTGCCTTAGCCAGCGCCCCCAGACTGTTAATGCTGCTGCCACCTCCCCTGACCCCTCCTTGTTGAGCCCTGAGATTTAACAGGATTTAATAGAATCCTGGGTATGTGGGACTCTGGGAGCCATTACCTTGGCTCCCTGCTGCCACCGAGGCCCCCACCAAGTCCCCCTTGGGGCAAGGTCACACTCACAGTTCTGTGGAGGGGTGTCCAGCTGCTTGCCCAAGACTTTGATGCTCAAAGCACTGGCCACTGAGATCTCCTGGGACCCAGAGGAGTAGCCCTGCCCTCTCCCTCCATTGCCCTGTACCCCACATGCTCTCCTGGAGCTCCTCACAGGCAGGTCCCAGTGGCCCTGGACCAGTCCGTCCCCCACACTGCTGGGGGGAGGGGAGCATGCCCCCAATGCTTCTGCAGAGTCTCCAGATTCTTCTCTCCCACCCCAGCTTTCCCTGTCCCCTCCCGCCCCCCCAGTCCTGTGTCCAGGTGGCGCAGCAGATGGAGCAGGACACCTCCTCACCACCAGGACTGGGGCTGGCAATCCCCTGAACCTCTGTCCCCATGGTCTACCTACCCTTTGAGGACACCCGGGGGGATTCCCATGGGCACTTCCTGCCTGCCCTGGGTTTGCCACAAAAGCACTTTCTCACAACGGAAGGCGAATGCGGAAGTGTCTGGCATGGAGGGGAAATGCAGGGCTTGGGAGAGCGTCCCTCCTGAAATCGAGAGGGGGGAGGCTGAGCTCATTTTGCCCTGTAGAGGACCCCCCTCAACTTGCCCAAAGTGGGCACCTGATGGCCAAGAGGGCTGCTGTCAGGAACCTGCACAGATTTGGGCTGGTGCCAAAAATGCGTAACCTCACCCCCGTGCCGGAGACCCCAGCCAAACCCCACCCGGGCAGGGTGTGAACAGAAAACTGGCCGGCACGCCTCCCAGTGGCAAGGCCCTGAGTTTCCAGGCTGACGGAGGAGCATTAGGTGCAGTCCCTGGGGTGGCACAGTCTGCGGGCGTCACCCGGGCTGGGACCTTCATGGGACCTCTATGAAGGGCGCCGGTCCTTAGGGGTGTCTTAGGTGACCGAATGGGCTTAGATGGTGAGAGCATTCTCAGGCCCCCATCAGCACCCACTGCCCCTCCCTGGCCTGGCCCCGCACCCACTCATCTGTGGATTTGCCTCTTGATTTGTCATCTAACTAGTCACGTGGTTGAGGGTCCCCTGTGCCCGGCTTCCTGTACCCACCTAGTGCCCACCATGCAGTGCATGCAGCAGCAGGCGTCGTTCCGTGGGCATGTGATTCTCTGTACTATTTTTGCAACTTTCCTTTAAGTCTAAAATTAGTTCAGAATAAAAAGCAGCAGAACAGAGGAGCTGGCGCTGGCGGGAGCGGCGTCCGGTACTGCTGGTCCACGCAGGGGCGCCCTCTTGCTCGTTAGCCCCGGTCTGAACCTTCCTGCTGGTCAGCCTCCGGCCCCGTGGAGCTGAGCCCAGCTTCCCCTGCAGGGACATCCCAGGGCCGAGTCGGAGCGGACACACCTGACCTTGTCCACATGGCTGGCAGGGCTGGGCCAGGATAGAAAGGGGTGCTCCTGGGCTGTGCGCCCCAGGGTCTGGTTTTGGAGTAGACTCAGTTTCTGGGAGATCCGTGACCACTGGGTGGTTGAGGGGAGGCAGCCTGAGTTGGGGTCAGGAAGGTGCTGGGAACTCCGAGTTGGTAAGGGTTCCAGTGAGCCCCTCACTTAGAGCACATCCTTTCCCCCCACCCCACATTTGCTAAGGCTGCCTGGAAATGTGACCCCTGGCCAGAAGGGGTGCTACTGGGGACCTGAACATTTTCCCGCCCCTCCCTGCGTGGCCAGAGGATAAGGCTTGGCCATCAGGCTCCCTGGAGGGCTGGGCTGAGGGGCGCTGAGGGCAGACCAGGGTGTAGCAGGTGGCGCTGGCACACAGGCAGTCCCACTGGCGTGCTGGGTCCCGTGGCAGGCCTGCCGACATCTACTTGGTCCCTGCACATACCTCTCCCCTGCGTGAGTGCTGATGGACCCGGCAGGACTTGGCACCTTCGACAGCTCGGTCTTGAAGGACCTGGTGTCAGGGAGTGAAGGGCGTGGGGAGATCTCAGGGCCAGTCTGTGACAGGTGGACTCTGGACAGGCAGTGCCAACCTGGCAACCTCTAACTGCCAAGGTCATGGGAGATGCCTGTACCCTCCCGAGATAAGGGGGTGCCTAGGCCAAGCTGAGCCTCCCACCTACCCTGCCCCAGGCTCCCTGCATGCCCCTGCTTACTGGGGGTGATCCTGGGTAACAGCTGCTCCTGGCTCCCTCCCCAGACTGTCCTCCGCCTTGAGCCCTGGCCTCAATGGCTGCCTTTCATGGGTGGGACAATGCCCCCTGTTGTCCAGAAGGCCAGGGCCAGCCACCCCTGGTGACCAGTCACTGACAGACACAGCACTTCCTGCTGAGGCTTCGGACCCCATTCCTCCCGGGGGGTTTGTCCCATCCGCCTGCCTCCCCTAGCCCTCTCCAGCATGGTGAGGGGTAGCCCCTTCCGAGCTGCCTGCTTCTGCGAAGCGGGGCAGATACCAGAATTGCCACTCTAGCCCCAACTTTGTTCTAAATGTCACAGTGAGCGGAGCCTTCAGGGGGCGGGCGGGGGAGCCCAGAGCCCCTTGAGTGACAGAGTCCCACCCGCTGGCCTTGGCTGCCCCATCTGGGTAGTGCGGGAAGACATGGAGCCAGCTGGGGGTTCCTCGTGCGGCTGGCAGGGGCTGAGCAGAGTGAGTGTTTATGGGGCTTGGCTGGGAGGTGGGGCAGGGCCCTCTTGGTGCCCCCATGGATCTGGGCAGACTCAGGACCGTCTGCCCTCATCTGGCAGCATTTCCCAGGTCAGAGCCGAGTCTGGATTTCTGGGTTCGGCATGTAGAATGGGAAGAGGTGCTGTTGGATCAGTCTGGCCCCGCCCCAGCTCTGCCAGGTTCCAGGACAACCCCGCTAGGTGGCCACACATCTGACCGCAGGAGGGACGATGTTGTGCAGAGACTGAAAGCCCCTTTGTGAATGCAGGGGACCACAAGGAAGGGCAGAAGAGACTACGGGGAGGCCCCGCCCCAGCCTCGCCACCAGCTGCCTTCCTCCTCGGGACCAGGATGTGGTCTCCAATTCCCTGCTGGCCTGTGTGTGACCTTGCAGAAGTCAGGCAGTATCCTGGGGACACAGCTCAGGGCCCCAACAACTGGGATCATGGGCCGGAGTACTGCCCCCTGGCTCCCTGCACTAGCCGGATGGAAGGATGGACCAACAGACACACGGGCGCACACACCAGTGGGGACGAGCCCTGCACGTACCCAGGCCCCAAGAATGTGCGTGCACGGGTGCCTGCTGGCTGTACACTGTGGCCTGTAGCCTGAGAAGGGCCCCCCCTTGGCCAAGGGGTGAGTTGTTCTCCTTGGGACAGACCTTCCCTCACCCCCTGACCTTAGTCCGAGGTGCTGGTCAATGTGGGGAGGGACTGGCTCTGTCTGGACAGCGCTGGGACACGAACACTGTCCCCTCCCACTGATCCTGCCCACACGCAGCCCTTGTATGTCTGAGGACCCTCCCCAGTAGTCAGTGGGGGCAGGGATGAAGGATGGGGCCAGGAGCTCTTCTCAGAATTGGGGGTTGTGGAAGGTGCCAGCTTAGGTCAGAGGTCACCTACTGATCCTTGGCCTCTGACCTTTCCCATCGGCTTCCTTTGGCCTTTTCAGTCAAGGTATCTGGGAATCTGAGGTGGCAGATTGCTGGGGGCCTGCTTGGTGTGGGGTGAGGTTTCTATGGGGTTTGAAGGGCTCCCAGTCAGGAACATACCCCTGTGGGCACAGCCCAGAGCCCCGACTCATAACTGGTGGTGGGTGAACTCAATCGCCAAGGGATGTGCCCCAGCGCCCACACGCAGCACGCCGCCTGGGCCCTGCGCACGGCCACAGCCCTCCAGTGGTTAAGATGCCTGGAGACTTGGCAAGTGCTGTGGAAAGAACAAACTCGGGCGAGCACTGGGAGGGCTTAGGGGGCTGTTTTCCATGTTTGGGCATCAGAGGCGTGGTCCCATGCCTGGGAACTGCAGACACCCATCGGCTCCTCCAGCGGGACGGGCAAGCCAGCAGGAGCAGGGAGAACTGGGTGGGCTGCGGGCCACACCCCTGAGTGGGTACAGTGGCCGGCATGGCTGCTCCGCCCTGGCCATTCTTGCAGGGAAGGGCAGAAGTGGCTGGAATCCCCAGGGACTGGGCCTCCGCTTCCCTGAAGCCTGTTGAGACCGAGGACGTCTCCAACAGGGTCCCCCTCAGGCAGAAGCCAAACGGTGTGCAGGGCACCCTGGGGCCCACCAGCAAGGCTTCCTGCCCCCAGAGCAAGGTGGGTGGTCCTGCCTCCAAAACACGCAGAATGATTCATGTTCAGGGAGTTGTAATTTACATGCTTGCCCCGCAGCGCAGCGCACAGGCCCGCGGCCACGACCAACATGCGATACAGAGACGCTCCTCTCTTAAGCCCTGCCATGCCTCGTGATAGCCAGCACCCCCCCACCCCCCCCACCCCAGGTGCCCACCCCGCTGCTCTGCTCTCTAGCTCTAGAATTTGCCTTTTCTGGAGGGTCGTCAGGGGAACTGCAGTGCGTGGCGCCCGCCTCTGGCCTAGTTGGCGCGGGTCACACAGCTGCCGCTCGGGAGGGCGGCCTGTGCGTGGCCCTTTCTGACATTGCGCCCACAGAAGAGCAGTTTCTCCACCGCCTGTTGAGGTCGGGGCGTATGTCTAGCCTGTGCCGATGATGGTGACAGTGAAGCCACTGTGGACAGGGTGCGCTGGCTTCCTGTGAACACTCTTCCTATTTCTCTCGGGGTCACACGGGCAGCATGTTTCACTTTACAAGAAATCAGCGGACTGCTTTCCAGAGTGCCGCTCCGCGCAGACTTCCTCTGGGGGTGGGGAGCCCGGGCTGCTCCGCGCTCGCCCGTGCCTGGGATGGGCTGGTTTTGTGGGCCGCCTTGGCTTTGCCTTCGTGATGAGTGGTGGATTCTCAGCACCAGGTGCTGAAACTCTGTCTCCAACTGTTCCCGGTGGCTTCAAAGAGGGGCTGCTGGAGAGGGGAGGCGACTGGCTCCTCTGGCTGCCCAGCAGGTGGCACCTGGGTGGGTGGGCACCAGCACACAGCAGGTGTCCACAAACACTGAGCCGGCCACTGCCCTGCTGTGCAGCCTGTGAGGGAAGGGAAGACGGCAAGAAGCTGGGGCCTGAAGTTGGCCGGTATCTCAAAACCCCAAGCTCCCCGGCCATGACTGAGAGGCCACAGCTGGAAAGACCTGGGTGTGGTGGGTTCCCGGGGCACAGGCTGGTGAGGCTATGTCCCCCATCCCAGGCTACTGGTTGACGTGGGGGGTTGCTGACTCCAGGCCTAGGGCCAAATAGCTGTTCATCTGCTTTGGATGGCCAACGCCCATCCAAAATACTGCTGTTGCTGTCCCAATGCCTGACATCAGGCATCCTGGCACACTGGCTAGGGAGCCAGGCAGACCCAGGCAAGCATTTCCCTCCACCCTGTACTTCCCATTCTCATCTGGGCAGGGGGTGTGTTGATGGAGCCAAGACCTGTAGGAATAAGAATAGAGGGGGTCTCTTCTGCCTCACCTGTTCCACTGGATACCTCGAGTGCTGAGGCACTGCTGCCACCTGCTGGCCACCAAGGGCAAGGCAGGCGGGCACCCCGCCTCTGGAAAGCTATTGGTTTCCTGCCCCTGCTGCAGGGTGACCTTGGACCAGGACAGCCCATCTCTAAGCCTCAGTTTTCTTCTCAGGAAATAGGATAACAATAGAATGTGCCATGGAGGTCCTTCTGGAGATTAAATGAGGTATCTATGTAAGGTGTTTAGTGGGGCCTTGCCATGTGGTGATGTTTTGAGTGCTGGTGGGGTCTGTCCTGGCAGATGTCATTACCCTGGCCTGCTGATGATGTGCCTTGGGCCTTTTGTGTTCGCCTTCAGCTGACAGAGAGATCAGCCTTGACCTAAGCCAAGTGGGCTGTCAGCTTGCCCTGTGGCTCGTTTAGCCAGTCAACAAACATTCCAGGTAGGGCCGGGTTTGGCTTGAGAAAGGACATGTGGTGGACTTGTTCCTCCATGCACACAAAGAGGCTCTACCTGCTGTGTTGTGTGCAGGGGGCCGCAAGTCCTCTGAGGGATGCAGGGGATCTGAGTTGTAGAGAAAGCAGGCCCCATCTGGCACTGTCCCACAACAGACCAGGAGGCGCCAGCCGTCATCTCCCCGACGCCAAGCTGAGGTCTTTTTATGGCTGCATGTCTCGAGGGCAAAGAAAATAGCCCTTGTCTCCATGGTATTGGGGATGGGGCTGCCTGGGCAGCTGAGGGGAGGCAGGCAGTGAGGTCAGGGCTGAGCAGTGGCATCGGCAGTGAGTCCAGGCTGCCAGTTTGAGTTCTGGGGGCTGATGTTATTGTGAAGCAGCAGGCACTCTTGCTGGCACTAACAGCACCCTCTCATCATGAAGCAGCTCTGAGGGTGTGGGGTGCTCAGCCCACATGGGCAGCAGGACCTGTTTCTAGAGAAAGCTCGCTTGAAGCCAGGGTATAAGCAGATGAACAGTGCTGGGCAGTTCCAGCTGGCGTTGACCATGGCCTGCCACCCCAACTCCTTGTGTGCCCAGAAGGAAGGTGTCCCCAGAACACACGCCCATGTTGGGCACAGCAGAGCTGCTGTGGAGGCCACTGGGTCCAACCACTGGGCCTGGGTCCACTGCCCAGCACCCACAGGGTCTCACTGGGCGAAAGGAACAATTGCTGATAAGGCCGCAGCATGGCAACCCTGAAGGTGGTGTTGAGTGCAGCAGAGCCGGGGGACATGGCTGCAGGCTGTCTGCACATGGGGCCCCAGGACAGGCCAAGAGTGGGGCCAGAAGGGGACATGATGCTTGGAGAGAAGGGGTGAGGAGATGCTGGGGTGCAGTGTCCTTTCCTATGGCTGCTATAATGAGTGATCAAAATCAGTAACTTCACACAATTTGCAGTTCTGGAGGTCAGGGGTCCAAAAAAATCCTGGGGCCACAACCCCCCACCTTCCTCTAAGGACTTGCGCTGACCCTGGGTCCATCCTGGGCCCGCTCTCCTGCTTCCAAAGAGAAGAGTGTCAAACAGCAGGCAGCCTGGCAGGAGGGGCCCCAGAACTGCAAATTGTATTGTTTTAAGCTACTGATTTTGGTGGGCAGGCCGGTGGTGGCCGCCCCCAGGCCAGGGCAGGCCTGCAGTGAGCTTACATGCAAACTCCTACCCACCCAGCTGCCCACCACCCCGAGGGCTGGCTGCTCCCCTGCAGATGGCAGACCGACAGCTGGAGCTTTGCCTGCCCACGCCCTCACGCACTGGGCAAGACTGGGACAGCAGCCTCTGCCCGAGTCCATTATGACAGCTGACCCCGCTTCTCCCCTTGCTCCCCTAGGATACCGAGAGGGCTATCTCTGGAAGCGTGGCCGGGACAATGGGCAATTTTTAAGCCGGAAGTTTGTGCTCACGGAACGAGAGGGAGCCCTGAAATACTTCAACAGAAATGACGTGAGCCGGGCCCGGGGTGAGGGAGGGGTTCCTGTCCTAGGGCGGCATCCTGGCTGCCCGCAGTGCCTGTGGCAGTTCGACACTAGCCCCTGATGGTGACACCAAGTCGTTGCCCTCATGCAATTCTTAGAGCCATGAGGCCTCCCCGCTTGGGGACACATTATCCCCATGGGGACACCCCAGCCCTGCATGACATCACACCACCTCCAAGGGGGCCATGCCCCATCCACCCCTTCATCAGTCACTCCTGGCTCCAGGCCTGGCTGAGTGATGCTGGGGAATGGATGAGCCTGTCCTGATGGGCACTCCCAGGCCTGAACAGGACAGAGGAATAGCTGCAGCCGGCGGTCACCCCACCTAGCAAGAAAATGTTGAAGTGGCCGTGGGTGCCCCATCAGCATGTGGGGAAGGTGTGGAGAATCTCACCAGCTCCAGGTCAGATACCTGAAGCAACTCATGGCTCACAGCTCCCATCCTGCCAGGGGGCACTGCATGGCAGTCTGCCAGTCCCCACTCAGGAGACAGGACAAGGAGCCAGGAGAGGGAGGGCCCAGTGTGAGGTGGGACCAGAGGAACTGGGTGCTGAGGGCAGAGGAGAGGTCATCTAGGTGTGGGCACCTATCTCCTCATCTCCTAGGAGAGGTGCTTACCGTAGACCTACAGACCAGGGAGCCCAGGCCCAGAGAGACTAAGGAGCTTGCCCAAAGCCACACAGCAGCAAGTCTGCCACTGCCTGGCACTCAGGTCCAGCCTTGCTTCCCAGGCCAAGGAGCCCAAGGCCATGATGAAGATCGAGCATCTGAATGCCACCTTCCAGCCCGCCAAGATTGGTCATCCCCATGGCCTGCAGGTCACCTACCTGAAGGACAACAGCACTCGCAACATTTTCGTCTATCACGAGGATGGCAAGGTGGGTGTAGCAGCTGGTTTTGGGGGTGGGGATGAATGCCCTTGCTGTCTTGGGAGTCCTACAGGTTCCCGAGGGGGGCAGTGGGGCCAAGTGGCTGCCACTGTCCCCCCGTGCCACTACCACCCACCCCTTCATGCCTGGAGCGGGGAACCAGCTGAGCCCTTTGGGGAGGACGGAGCCCATGTGGACAAGGATGTGACAGCTCAGCTTCCGCCACCTACCCAGCACCTGGAGGGTGAGGGTGTGAGACAGCCCCATGCAACTCTCCCCGCCCTCCCAGCACCCATGTCTGTCTGTTGTCCAATGGTGGGTCCCTGGTTTTGTCGCTTTGGTTTTCATTCTATCTTTATCACAAGGTATGTGCACAGGGTTTAAAGAGCTAGGTATTTCTGCAAGGCTTGAGAAATGAGTCTGGGCCGCCTCCTCACCCCTATTTCCTCTCTCCCGGGGCAACCCCCTTTCAAATTCTGTTTCCCTTTTATATTTGGTGACACACATGTAACGTTACCAGCGTAGCCACTTTTAAGTGCTCAGCATAGGGACATTAAGCACGTTAGCTCTGCTGGGAAACCATCAGCCATCCATCCTCAGAACGCTTTCATCTCCCCCATAGGAAAATGTCCCCATTCAACACCCCTCACCCACGCTCCCCAGCCCTGGCTACTTTGTCGCACAGCGCATGTCCTTCTCTGTCTGGCTTTTCCACTGAACAGTGTCCTCCGGGCGCATCCACACCATAGCATGTGTCAGAATCTCCTTCCCTTTCAAGGCCGAGTAACATTCCATTGTCTGGATGGACCATGTTCTCTTTATCCACTGATCCATTTTGGGTACTTGGGAGGGTCCACATTTTAATGGCTGTGAATCACACTGCTGTGACTATGGGGTACATATCCCTCTAAGACCCTGCTTTCAGTTCTTTGGCGTGTACACCCAGAAGTGGAATTGCCAGATCGCTGCTGATCCTGTTGCACATTCTGAAGACTTGCCATACTGTTGTCCTCAGGGTGCAGCATCTTACGCCCCAGCCAGGGATCCGCGGGGTTCCATTCTGTGTCCCTGCTAACACTTGTTTCCTGGCTTCTTGGAAGAGCCGTCCTCCTGGGCTGGGGGTGTTGTCCTCTAACGTAGATATGCATCTCCCCAGCGGCTGTGAGCATCTTTTCACGTGCTTATTGGCCATTCCTGGCTTTGTTCTCTGGAGAAATGGCTATTCAAGTCCTTTGCTCATTTTTCAATTGGGATTTTTTGTGAGGGTTTTAGGAGTTTCTGTATGTTCTAATCACTTATCCGATATATGATGGAGGGATATTTTGCTCATTCTGTGGGCTGCCTTTTTACTTTGTGGACAGTGTCTTTGGATGCACAAAACTTTGAAGAAGTCCAATTTGTCTTGTTTTGTTTTGTTTCCTTTGGTGTCATATCCAAGAAATCTCAGTCAGATGCACAGCCAGACTAGGGCAGCACAGGGGCCATGGCTGCTTTTGCCTTGGGGATCTGGTTAAGGGCTAAAGCAGCATCAGGGCCTGCTTGGTTGTCAGCCCCCACCTGCTCTCCCCCAGCCCATCCTGAACTAGCCACATGCGATGTGGCCACATACCTAATGAGGTTTCTGCCCAGACTGGCCCTTAAACCCACGGATCCCTGTTGCCCCAGGGGCTCTCCTCCAGCTGCCTCTACCAAATGCTGCTGTCCATGCAGCTCTTATCCTGGGAAAGGCCAAAGTGAGGGGTTCTGGCCTGGTCTGATGGGGCTGACAGGAGCCTGTGTCAGCCTTATCTCAGGTGCCCTTTTGCTGAGGGATGTGGTGTCTGGAGGTACCCAAGGAGGTGGAGCTGTGGGGACAGGTGCCCCTCCCTGGGGCACCCCTTCGCCATGTCATTGGCCTTAAGGCCCTATGGCTTGGCCTATGCCCAGTCTCCAACTTCCAGGAAATGGTGGACTGGTTCAACGCGCTCCGTGCTGCACGCTTCCACTACCTACAAGTGGCATTCCCAGGGGCCAGCGACGCAGATGTGAGTGGCTCCTGTTCTCTCCTGGGAGATGTGGCTCCTAGTCTGGGAGGGTGGATCAGGACACCAAGGACCCCACAGAATCCTGCTGCTGACTGCCGGAGGCCTAAGTGACCCTGGCTATCCTCAATTTCTGGGTGTTCAGTGGAGAGAAGGCAGGGAAGGGCTGGGGAAAAAGCCAGGGGGGCCAGGGGCTTGCCTGGGTGACTTACCCACCCACTTGAGTGCTTTCTCTGCCCAGCTGGTGCCGAAGCTCTCCAGGAACTACCTGAAGGAAGGCTACATGGAGAAAACGGGTCCCAAGGTGGGTCTAAGCAGAGTTGGGGGCTATATGTGGCTACCTGGGATTCCTAGGCCTCATGAGATCAGCATTTTGGTTACCTGGGCCAGGTGTGGCTGTGGACACGAGGTGGGTCATCCTGGTGTGGGCAGCCCTGCCTACTACTCTGTTTGCCCCACAGAGCCAGTGTGGTCCATGCCTGCCAATGGGGGATAAAGAGCAGACAAGGGTGACCCACCTCCCAGGACCCAGGCCACCTTGCAGCCCAGACTGAGCTTTGTGGGGGCCTAGGGAGGGGCCTGTAATGGACACTGGGCTCACAGACAAGGGAGGAGCTGGTGCAGAGAGAGAAAAGCATTGAAACAGGAACTGTGTGTAAAGGCCCTTTATGTGGTGGGTGGTGGCCAGAGCAGGCCCAGCATGGCCACAGAAGGCTGAGTGATGAGTGAGATCCTGCCCTCTGGTGGTGAGCTGTGGTCAGCTGGGGACAGGGGCTTGGCTCAGGCCCTCTCTGACCCACAGCACACAGAAGGTTTCCGGAAGCGCTGGTTCACCATGGATGACCGGAGGCTCATGTACTTCAAAGACCCCCTGGTGAGGAAAGGCCGTGGCCCCGGGTCAGCTGGGGTCAGACATGGCAGCCAGGCAGGGCCCTTGCAGGGTGACCAGTGTTTGCTGGACACATGGTGTGACGTGGCTGTCCAGGCTGCCGAGGGAGGGAGGGGGCTGGGTTTCACCAGCTGAATGAAGCTGCCCCTGCCTGGAACGGGCTGGCCCCAGAGGGACCCAGCCCAACTCAGCCTGACACCTGCCCACAGGATGCCTTTGCCCGTGGGGAAGTATTCATTGGTAGCAGGGAGAGCGGCTACACGGTGCTGGATGGGCTCCCGCCATCTACCCAGGGCCACCACTGGCCACACGGCATCACCATTGTCACACCAGAGCGCAGGTTCCTGCTAGCCTGTGAGACCGAGTCAGAGCAGAGGGCGTGGATGGAGGCTTTCCGGAAGGTGGTGGACAGGCCCATGCTGCCCCAGGAATATGCAGGTGAGGGCCAGGTGGGGGTGGCCTGGGAACTGCGCCCAGCGCTAGCGCTACCTGTGTGGCTGTGACAAGTTTGGACATTTGTCCCTTTTCCAGTGGAAGCCCACTTCAAGCATAAACCCTAGCAAGTGGCCCAAGGACTCTGGACTCACTAGACGAGGCTGGCGAGGAGGCAGCAGCCGAATCTTGGGGGCCTTCAGACGGAGGGGGTTGGCAGCCCAGCCCCTGTCCTGCCCTGAGGGGGCAGCCCTGGATATGGTCAGGTGGGGCCTGCGCTCTAACCACTAGGACATGTTTCTCTGGAACCTCATTTTAGCCCATCCTGACCTCTGACCCCATCATGCTGCTGCCCTTTGATGTGACACCACTAGCCCCTCCTTCGTACCCCCCCCCCCAACCCGCACTCCTCACTGGCCAACCCTTCAGCCCCTCACGAATTTGCCCTGTCCAACCCTGACCAGGTGGGCTGTGAGACAGCGGGCTGGCTGCATGCCTCCTCTCCCTTTCCCTCTGCCCCCACTTCCAGGTTCCCTCCCTTACTCCCTACCACCCTCCCCCAACAAGTATTTATTAAGCATCTGCTGTGTGTCAGTTGTAGGGTGCTGGGGGCTGGGGTGGGGAACTTGGCCTGGTCTTCAAGCTGACCTGGCAAATGCAGATGGGTCTTATGGGGCCCTCTGGGGAATGGAGGTTGTCGCCAACTGGGACCTGCACCCTCCAGTGTGTCCCCTACCTTGTGCTGGGAGACTAGAGGGTCAAGCTGCTTGCTGGTACCTCAAGCGCCCAGCCCAGGGCTTGGCACTGACCAGTGACCAATCCCACCTGTCTGACCTCATGGTCTCTTTGAGCACTTGGAGGCTGGGCCCTACTCATGCCCCACAAACTTCAGAGTGCTACTGGCCAAACTGACTACAGCCACGGAGCCCCCACCCCAGGTAACTTGGTTCTGTGCCCCCCGTGGGAGTGTGGAAGTGTGCAGGGAAGGGGTAACCATGTGGGGCAGTGTGTGGTAACCAGGCTGTCAGGCTGGTCCTCTGCTGTCCCAGGCAGCTGATGTATGGTCGGGGGGGGGAGGTCACCCGCTGGGTGAGCAGATGGCCTCCAGCCCTCGCTATTAGCAAGGGACTAGGAAGGGATCCCCAAAGTGTCATGTCCTGAAGCCCCCATCATAGCCTGGAATAAAGTGGGGATTGAGTGTGGCCTCATCTGTGTCTGGCATCTGGGGTGGGGGCTCTGGGCCCCCACAGAGAACTGTCAGGAATGGGTATGCTGCCCTCCCCCTGCCTCTGAGCATGGTGCCCACCAGCTCAACCCTTATAAATCTAGATTCTGAGGGAGGTAAAGGACTGGGGGGCACGAGACACCCCTACTCACAGAAGCTCTGTCCCTGTTGAGGGACAGAGAGGTCTCTAAGGGACAGAGGGGTCTCTAAGATGGTTGAAAGTAAGGACAACACAGTGTGAACCCTCCTCCACCGCCACCTGCAGTGCCCAGGGGGTGTAACAAAGACCCACCTGCCTCAGGCAACCCCCCCAGAAGAGGCTGCCCTCACCCCTTCCTCAGAACTGAGGCCTCCCTCCCCAGTGCCCTAATGCCCTATCTACTACCACTGACCTGTTTTCTACATAAGGAAACTCAAGCCCCAGAGGTAGGACTTGCTCTGCATCAGAAATAAAAAACCCCGTGTCCCCCTGGATTTAAACCCCCCCGTGCAGGGGTCAATCCCACCCATAAGCCCTCTTGGACTGATCTCCTAGATCCTTCTTGGACCCTAGAAGTGCGGGTGTCCATTCTGAGAGCACACGAGCATGCGTATATGCAGACAAGAGCGCACACACGTATGCCCGTGTGAGGGGGCGTGATGGTGCATGTGAGGGTGTACGTACCCTTGCATGTGCACACCCATGTGTTATACAGGAAACAGACAACCTTAACATTTTAAAAGAAAACAACTTGACAACTGGTGGGAACATTTCTTAGGCAAGGCTGGGAGTTATAATCCATAAATGGCTGGTCCTTTTTTCTTACCTTGAAGTTCTTTTAAGGTGCTGTGGCCAGGACCTCCCTCGCAGGGGCCCTGGGAGCCCTCTGGGCACACCTAGTGCTGGTCCTGGGCCATGAGGTCAGTGCAGCTGTCCTGGCCTGCTAGCACTAAGGTGGAGGGGTCGCAGGTACGCTCATGCTCCTAGAAAATGGAAAATGACCGCGCCCTTCAAACCGCACGGTAAAACCACAGGCTTATGGGGTCAGCCACACGCACGTGATGCTCATCCCATCCTAAGTGAACGGCGGGGTTTACATGGTTACGGCAAACACTAGGTAAAGCCTGCACGTCACGAGGTAACTGGGAGCTACCATGAAGGAGGGGAACCTGAAACCTGAGGGGTGACCCACACCAGGACCACGTATGCTGTCCAGCTCAGCTCCTTCGTCCCGTGTCAATTCTGGGCCAAATCACATAAAAATGCACTCTGCTCAAATTGCTCCCTGATAACATCAGCAGAGTGGGTGCAATTTGTGGCTTCAAAACAAGCATCGCGGCAGAAGCAGCATATCCCTACTGGGCTCAGACTCCATCCAGCTTCCCTGTCCAGTCGATGGTCAGGCCTGAGCCCCAAGTCCACTCTCTCCCAAGAACCACCTTGGGCAGTCTGGGGGAGAGGGTGCTCCAGCGGTTTTCCATCTCAGGACAGGTCAGCACAGCCTCTCCTCGATGACTGGAGGCTCATGCTGCTGCCCACACCTCCTGGCTGCTCCAACACCTCAACTTGTTTTATCTAAGACCATGAAACTTTCTCAACATTGGCTACCTGCTGCTGTCCACACCATCCCTCTCAGGCTGGACAACCCTGGAAGCCACTGGTCATAGCACCTGGCCCCTTGCTGGGGCGTCACAGGCCTTTGCTCAGATGCCCACGTCCCAGAGCTCACTCAGAAAGGACCAGTGCTGCAGAGCCCAGTATAAAGGATTTATTTAAACTCAATTAACACAAACCTTCCTTGAAATTCCATTTTTACAGTAAATAAAATTGTTTATTTCCCTCCTTCCCATGCATGATCACTGTGTATTAATCTACAACTCTTAACTGTGAAAAAATAAAGTGTTTCCTGTTCGTAACGATCCTGGTAACACCTGGATAGCATCAGTGAGCCGGGAGAGCCCTGCAAGCTCCTGGACTGGTTATTTGGCTAAAACCTATAATGTCAGCTCAGAGGAAACAATCAACCGATGAAGATAAATATTGCATTAGGAGAGGTGGAAAGTTCTGCAGCATCCCTTTGGAAAGACACCATTTCCAGAGTGACAACGTGACCCTCAGCAGCAGGGCTGTGGCTTCCAGGACCCAGCATGGAACAGCTGCTCTCCAGGCCACAGCAGGACGTCCAAGGGGACAGCTCGCAAGCGCTGTCTGTGCTGGGGGACAGGCACTCGTGACAGTGGTTTCAGGACACTGCCTCGCACACCAGAAGCTGCGCCCATGTCAGCCCTCAGCCCTCCCAAAGCAAAGAGAAACAAAGGACTGGGAAAGGTGGCGCAGCAAGGCCTGTGCTTTATTGGGGTCAATCTGAGGGAACACGGTGTCGGCCTGGTCGGCACAGCGACGCACAGCCCTTGGCCAGCGCACAGACACAGACACCGACACGCAGCCACAGCCTCAGAACCCAGAGCCCGTGGGGCATGAGGACCCCAGGACTCGGCCTCAGGCGTCTGCATGCAGGTCCGGTAGGCGGGCGGCGGCGTCAGTCGAGCTCGATGGGGCTGCTGTCGTCCTGACTGTCCTCACCCTCCTGCTCCGAGGAGCCCATGAGGCTGCTCAGAAGGTTCCCTGGAAGGAAACGCACGGTGGCGTCAGGGCTACAGCAGCTCCTCACAGAGGCCTCCGGCCCAAGAATTCCCACCTCCCACAGCACCACGTCTGGGAGTGTGACAGGATGAGCAGCAGCCTGACATCGCCACGCCTGCAACCAGAAGCCCCAGTGCAGAAGCCACAGGACACAGCAGGTGTGTGGTGCGGGACTAACAACAAGGAGAGCCTGAGTGCCACTGATGGGGACATGGTGCTGTCACCAGGCGGAACCTAAAGCATCATCAGTATCATGGGAGATTACGGTCAACCAAGGAAAGGCGACAACTCACAAAACATGGCACAGTCTTAGAACTATATAGAAAGAAGCCAGATGCACCAAAGTGTCAAAGACAACTCATAAAAACATTAAATGTTTTCACCACTATTTTTCCGCCCTACTTACCTAAGTTTTATCCAAAGAACTATTACGTCAATACAAAGTCTAAAAAGCCCCCTTAAGCCAAACCATAAGGGAATCCCAAGAACAAACGGAAAGGCAGACAATGTTCTTTGAACACACGAACACAGTCATAAAGGTGTTAAAGCTTTCCCTGACACACAACCTGAACTCATCCCAAGAAACACTCCCAGCATGTCTGACATCTCTAGAAAGGCCAGTTCTCAAGTTTGTTCGTGCATGAAGAATCAGGACACTTGTGACGAGTAGGGACCAAGCCTAACAGATGTAAAAACAGGAAACATTTCACACAGCGAACTGAACACACTAAAACGCCACACAATTTTAGATAGACCACAACCCTGTAGACTGGCATACTGGGAACACAGCTGAGGAGAAAGGCCATGGTATTTGCCTCACACCTTCCACTGAGCCAAATTCTAGACAGAGGCAGGTCACAAGTAAAAATTTATGTGTTTAAGGGGAAACAGCTTAAAAAAAACCCAGAGATAGGAACCCCCTACCATACGCACAATTTGGCAAGGCCATTAAAATGACAAAGGCTTACCCCACCCCACCCCAGAGAGCCACAAGGAGAGGGATGCCCAGATTTGGGTATGGGAGGGTGGCACAGACTGCAACAGCACATCAGAGGCACAACCCAGGCTCTGTGGGACAAGCCCTACCAGGGCCTGCCCTGAGTCACATGGAGCAGCCCCCAGCTCCAGCACTAAAAAGATGAGGTGCAGTCGGTGTGCACGATACGATACCGTTTACGTAGAACGAGCCATCTGTGTATTTGCAAAGGTAGCTCAGGAAGGAAGCTCAAGAAGCCTTAACGCTGCCTGGCCCTGCGAGGACTGTGGAACAGCAAGACAGGGCCGGGGGCGTGGATGCTTTTGAATTCTGAACTCCGTGAAATATGATTTACCTATTCAAAAATAAAATTTAAAACATTAAGGATTATAAAAATCACTTTTCAATGAAGGACTATACTGGCCCCTGCCCTGGTAGAAGGGAACAGTTTCTATCAGACCTCAGTGAGAGCAGATGGCCCATGTGGCTGCACCAGATGGGGGCAGGATGCAGGGGAGGCAGCCTGACCTCAAATCTGGCCCCCAACCCTCACCTACCAAATCTAAATCATGAAAAAACAGGCCATATGAATAGACCTATTACTACGAAGGAGATGGAATCAGTAATCAAAATTCTCCAAACAAAGAAGAGCTCTGGGTATTTTCTCTTTCACTGGTGAATTCTATCAAACATTTAAGGAATTGCTATATTTCTCAAACTTTCAAGAAATTAAAGAGGAAGGAATGCTTCCTAACTCATTCTATAAAGCCAGCGTAAGTCTAATACCAAAGCCAAAGACACTACAAGAAATAAAAACCATAAGCCAATAACCTTTATGAACACTGATGTAAAATCCTCAACAAAATACTAGCAAAAAGAATTCAGAAGCATATTGAAAGGAATACACCATGACCAAGTAGGATTTATTCCTGGAATGCAAAGTTTGTCCAACACACAAAAATCAACTGATGTAATATTATGCCACATCAACGAAGTGAAGGAGGAAAACCTACATGATCATCTCATTTGATGCAGAAAAAGCATCTTGACAACATTCAACACTCTTCCATAAAGTACACTCAACAAACTAGGAACAGGAGACTACCTCAATATAGCAACAGGCATATGAAGCCCAAAGCAAATATACTAGAACGGTGAATGACTGAAAGCATTTCTTCTAAGTTCAGGAACAAGTCAAGGATGTTTGCTTTTACCACTTCCGTTCAACATAGGACTGGAAGTCCTAGCCAGAGCAATCAGGCAAGGAAAAGCAATAAAAGGCATATAAATTGAAGAGGAAGAAGTAAAAAGTATCTGTTTGCAGACAACATGATCTTATATGGAGAAAACTGTGAAAGTTCCACAAAATAAAGTTAGAACTAATAAACAAATTCAGCAAGGTAGCAGGAGACAGTCAACATAAGAAGTCAGTTGCATTTCTATATACAGTGAACAATCTCAAAAGGAAAAAAAACAATTCTATTTACAACAGCATCAAAAAAGAATTAACTGAGGAGATAAAAGACTTGTACAACGAAAATTACAAAACACCGTTGAAAAAAATTAAAGACATGAACTAATGGAAACACATTCCATGTTTATGGATTGGAGACTTACTATTAAGATGTCAATGCAACCTCGAACAATCTATAGATCCAATGCATCCCTATGGCATTTTTCACAGAAACACAAAAACCCATTCTAAAATTCACATGCAATCTTGAGGAATCCAAATAGCCACAACAATCCTGAAAAAGAACAATCTGGAGGCCCACACTTCCAACTATGAAAACTTACTATAATGACATAGTAATTTAAATAGTGTATTGGTACAGACACATAAGACCAATGGAATAGATGATGTAGAAATTAACCTCATAATATGATGAAATTATTTTTGACAAAGGTGCCAGGAACATTCAATGGGGAAAAAATCTTTTCAATAAATGGTGCTAGGAAAACTGGATTCCACATACAAAAGAATAAGGTTGGACCCTTACCTCACACCATATACAAAAATTACCTCAAAATGGATCAAAAACCTAAACATGAGACCTAAAACAGTAAAACTCTTAGAACACACAGAGTAAAAGTTGTAGGACAATGAATATGGCAATGACTTCTTAGATATTAACCAAAGGCAGAAGCAACAAAAGGAAAAATAGACAAATTACTTCATCAAAATTTTTAAAATTTATATTATCAAAAGCCCTTAAAAACAGTAAAAATGAGGTGGGGGTAGGATAAACAGGTGAAGCACAGGATTTTTAGGGCACTGAAAATATTATGTATGATACTATAATCACGGATACGTCATTATAAGTATGTATGCAAGTCCACACAATGTACAAAACTGAAAGTGATTCCTAATGTAAACTACAGACTCTGGATGATCATGATGTATTGATCTAAGTTCATCAACTGTAACAAACGTTCTACTCAGCTGTGGGAGACTAATAATGGGTGGGAACAAGGGGACTATGGGAAATCTGTATCATCCTCTTAATTTTGCTGTGACTCTAAAACTGCTTTTAAGAAAATGTTTAAAAAAGGTGGGGAGCCACCTATAGAATGTAAGAATATATCTGCAAATCAAGTATTTGATGAGGAATTAATATCCCAGTATAGAAAACTACTAAAACAACTTGATTAAAAAGTAGGCAAAAACAAATACATAAATATTATAGAGACACGCAGATGGCCAATAAACACAAGCGAAGACACGCAACATCACTAATCCTTAGGAAAGTGCAAAGCAAGATCACAATGAGCTACTACCTCACATCCACTAGGAAGCCTACTATCAAAAACTCAGAAAACTAGTGTTAAGGAGGAAGTAGAGCAACTGGAGCCCTTCTGCACTATTAGTAGGGATATAAAATGGTGCAGCATGTGTGGAAACAGTATGATGGTTCCTTGAAAAAATTAAAGTTATTGTATGACCCAGGATTTCCACTTCTGGGTATATACCTAAAAGAACTGAAGGAAAGAGAGATTTGTGCATCCATGTTCACAGGGCATTATTCGCAATAGCTAAAAAGTGCAAACAACCCCTGTGTCTATGGATGGATGAAGGGATAAGCACAATGTGATATATCCATACATACAACAGAGTATTATTGAGCCTTAAACAGGAAAGAAATCCTCTGACATAAACTACAACATGGATGAACTCTGAGGACTTTATGCTCAGTGAAATAACCCAGTCACAAAAATACAAATATTGTATGATCCTACTCATGAGGTCCCTAGGAGTCGGAGCAATAGAGACCTAAAGTAGACGGTGGGGGCCAGAAGCTGGAGGGAGAGGAATGACAGTTAAGTGTTTATTTGTGATGGACAGTGGTGACGAATGCACAACAATGGGAATGTATTTAATGCCCCTGAACTGTACACCTAAAAATGGTTAAAATGGTATAAAGTTTGTTATGTGTATTTTACCATAATATTAAAAAAAAAGAAAGAAAGAAAGAAATCTGGTGTTGACTCTCTGGCCAACAGGGAGTGGCATGGGGATGATAATGCATCAGTAAGTGACAGTGCCCATTAGCTCTAGGGAATCTGCTGAGAGAAGGACCTAGTGACAGAGCTGAGATGGGGAACACTGGGACGGGAATGTGGGCACCAGCGAGGCGCCCCAGGGGAAGTCTGACCCAGGGCTGCCCTGCCCTCCCTGCACAGCACTGAAAAGCAGAACATGGTGATGCTGCTGCAGGTAGCCTTTGCTCCAGGCCTTACCTAGCAAGCCTCCGTAGGAAGAAGTCTGCTTGGGCGGCACGCCAAAGAAGAGCTGTCCTATCCTGTCGAGGTACTGAAAGAGGAAAAGGGGTCACTGAGGCGGCGGAAAGTGCCAGAGCTGCATGGTGCCCCACAGGAGCCACTGGCCAAGGGCTCCCACCCCTCACCTGCAAGCCCCATCCTAGCATGGGTTGCCACGTGACCCCAGTGCTTCTCTCCACCCCTTTCGCCAGCTGCTGTTGCCCAATATCCACAAGCTTCCATCCCACTTGGGAAGTCCCTCACCTCGTTGTACATGGGATCCCGCCGGAGGGACGGCTGGTACTGCTCACACAACACTGTGAACACGGTCAGTTTGCCTCTGAAACAGGAAGTGTGGGACACAATGCTGCTTATAACTGAAGATCCGAGAAAACAAGAAACACACATATCCTCGTGCTACTCCCCCCCCACACCTATACCACAAATCCTATACACACACACACACACACACACACACACCCCCACCATGGATATACAAACCTATATACACATACACCCCCCCCCACATATCTATACATAGCAAAACACCATTACATATATAACCCACATACCTACACATATCCCCTACACACTGAGACACTCCCCAAACCTACAGACACCCCCCCAGACCTATACACTCCTCATACACCTATATACATAAACCGTCACACCCCCATATTTTCATATACCCATACACTCTCATATACCCACACACTCACACATCCACACACCTCTCTATACAGAGACAGCACACACACAAAACCCACCCGTCTACAGCCAACAACAGAAACCAGATGAAATTTAGCAGGGGCTGCACAAAGGGAGGGCCGTTCTCGATGGATGGGTGTTTCTGTGTGTATGTCGTGAACACCACTGATGCACTGCTTTTGTTTTTTAAACAGAGAAACCTAGAAATAAGAATATATTCATGAGTGGGAATACTGAGGATGGGGACTCCACAAATGTTTATATGATCAGTGTAAGCACAAAAAACTCCTGGTCAACAAAGCTACATGTGTCCTGGGACATCCTCTCCCAGACCCTTTGTGAGCACCGCAAATTTGGATTTTCACATTTTACAGGTAAAGTGACTTAAGCCTAGGAAGGTGACATGTCCAAGTTCAACAGAGCTGTGATACACAGAGCACATGAACTAAAGTCTCTTTCTCCACACTTGTTGGGCACCTGCCTGGGTGGGCAGTCACTACAGGGCCAACAGCAGCAAGACCTATAGGCCAGGACATGTCAGAGGGCGCTAGGTCTGACTCTGGTTTCTACCTGCAGAGGACATGGCCACAAACTGCATTTCACTGAGGTGCAGTCCCTCAAGAATACTTTTTTATAAGGCATCAGGAGGGACTGATGAGAACAGGTTTAGCAATCTCATAACCAGAGTCAAGTTGAGTCCAGAGGAAACACACCATGAGCCAGAGCTGGCACACTTTGGGTTTTAACAGGATTTCCTTTGTAAAGTCACAGATGTCACCAGCACAATTATGTGTGGAGCTCAAAGTTCTGAGGTACTAGGAAGTACAGCAAACATTAGTGACTGTCGCCCTCAATTCAGTCTACCTTATCTTAAGGTCTGGTCTGCCATATCAAAGTGTTTTAAGAAAATCAATCTATCACAAATGAAATGTCTCCATGAGGAAGGAAGGGCTCAAATTTGGAAAAGCAGCACCCAGGAGCTCAGGCAGGTGGCCCTGTTGCGCATGTGCAGTTCAGCACAGACTAGTGATGGCCACAGACCTTGGCTGCCCACGCCTTCCACTTTGTTATATGTTTCAATACTTTCAAAATGTTGGAAAGAAACTAAAAGGTGATGAGGCCTAACTAGAACAGAGGGACAGAGATGTAGGGCTTTGTGGAAATAAAAAGATGTCAGAACACATCACTGTTAACATGTTCAGATGCAGACATATCTGTAAAGACAAACAGCTTTTGTGAACATGCTCACTTCACTGTCAGACAGTCCTTAAAACCCATTAAATACATGAATCCTACAGAAAAAATAGTTGCCTTAAACAGAAAACTGATGGTCATTTAACACATTTCTTTAACCACTCAACTGAAATTTTACAAATGCCTTAGAATTCCAACAGCATAGGGAAGTTGGAGGGAGGTCTGTTTTTCCCAGAGTTCTGCATTAGACCTGGTAAGATGGTATTTTATGTGTGTGATCCTAAGGGACCTCAGTTTGGCCTTCAGTGTGTCCTAGTCAGGGGACAAGGTCATGGCTTAGAGAAGCCGTTTTAGCAAAGATATGACAAAGCAAATATGGAATACCTACTGTAAGACAGCCTGTGCCACGAACATGTCCACCTCACTGCGAAATCCCCTGGAGGTAGAATATTCTACTAACATGTTAGCACATCCTTCTCCATCAGTAGAGTGCAGGAAGTGATACCGAGATTCACAATAATTTTGTTCTACACGGGGAAAAAGAAAAATCTATAAATATGAGCATCTTAGAATGGATTAAAGGATCTTTGAAAGACTACACCTAATCTACCTGTACTCCGCACTACCCTCCCCTGCTTCCAACCAGGCACACTATAGTGCTGTGCGTGTCCATCCTGCACACAGGGGCTCTGCTAACATCTCACTAACTTCCTTAAGGTCCGAATCCAAATGCAAACGGAAGGTGAAAGGTGATGTGGATGAATTCAGCTGAGGGAGGTTGCCCTGCATTCCCACATTTATATTAGCTGCACCGTAAGAAGTAGCCAAAGGGGATCCTATGAACCTATACAAATGGCAATTTCATACAGATACGATGAACACAACGCACAATACGCTCATCCTAATACTCAGCACTTTCAATCTCAAAGTAGCAGCCAGATCCAGCCCGAGGTTGCCTTTCTCCCACAGGCCTTGTTAGTCTGTTGTCCACCCAGAGTCCTGTGGTCCCTGCTAACCTGGGATGCATGAACAGTCCCAGCCCCACCCACTTTCCCTTTTTGAGGTGTTTCCTGCTCCCCTCCCCACAAAAAAGGTGAGAATCAAGAAGTTTTCCTTGATGCAGGCAAGAAGCTGGAAGGACTACATTCCCTGAGGGCTGATAGGTCCCTTGGGTGGTGGGGTGGCACTGAGGGCCATGTCCTTCCATCACTGTTATGTAGAATTTCCAGCTCTGTTGTGTCCCTGTTGACAGTGGGGTTACCAGGCAGCTGGTCAGGCCCCAAACCAGAACCCGCATCCTAACAGTCATTCCTTCTTAGTCCCCAGCCTATGGCTGCATGAGTGAGGAAAGCTCAAGGTCACAGTGCTAACAGAATAAACGGGACCTAGAACATGAGTTCATCAGTGAACATGTCTAATGCTAAGCCAGCTGGTCAACATTTCTACTGTAAACGGGCTATTTAACTAGGTTCCAGTAGCCTGTGGTTTTTTTTTTTTTTTTTGCTTGCTTGTTTGTTTTTCCTAAGAAAATGACTGAAGCTCCACCCTTGCCTGACTCGGGCTATGAATCTGGGCCTCTATCCATCCTAGCGTACTCTCTTCTTTCTGCTGCTACCTTTCACATGACAGTTCTATCCTCTGCCCCAGACACTGGGCAAGGTCTGCAGCACATAGGTTGCCCCAGCCTGGTGCTGCTCAGACACAGCAGCCCCTCCCCAAGATCTGCCTGTCCTCAATACACTCAAGGACCCTCCAGAAAGAAATGGATCACATGCCATGCTGGTTTCTCACTCCTTTAGAATAAAGACCAGCCCCTCAAAAGGCTAGGGTACTCTGCCAGTCTGGCCCTGCTGCCTTCTCAGGCTGCACACCTCATGCTCCTACTTTCTCCCATCTTCTACTGGGAACATGCCTCTTGTTCTAGCCACTGGATCTGGATATGGCAGACCCGCCCTCACCCGGTGGCAGATGCTGGCACCCTATGCGCTGTGTTCAGGATTCAGGATGACGTGAAGTCAGGGTTTCTTTGTTCCGTTTTGTTGTTCATCGCCCCTTTCCCTTCAAATCCTAAAATAATCTGGTTTTAGAGTATCCACATGAAAAAAATAAGGCAAGTAACTAGGTCCTGGCACTCATAAGGCTCCCTCGGAGCTCTGGGATGAAGCTACATGGACGCCACGTGTATGGGAGGGTGTCTGTGTGCAAGTTGTGAAGGGCAGAAGCCAAAGGCAGCACAATCCCAGCAGCGTCATCAGAGCAGGTGGACAGCAGGGACTGGAGCCCACATATGTGCCTGCCTGGGGCCCCATCCTGGTGGGTGGTTTCCTTAGCCTCCTGGCCTTTGAATTCTGTTTCTGTCTGATCCATTCCTCTTGGAATGTCCTCTGCGAGCAGGACCAGCAAGTATGTCAGCACCCAGAGGGACCAGAACCCTCATACCTGCCTGCAGCAAAGGGATGGGGACCCATGAGGGTCAGGGAGGCCTGCTGCATGAGTGGGTCCTCAATTTTGTGTGTCTCTGGATGATGGAAGGGCAGAAGCTTTGGACTTATGAGAATCCAATCCTCAGTCCATCAGAAGTGTTTGGAGGAACACTATTATGGGTATCCTTACAGAGCTCATCTGCACCGTCTAAAATAGTCACCTTCAGCCTAGACCTCCTCAATCTCCACAGCTCCAAATGAAAGAGATGTGCCCTTTGCGCCCCACCCAGGCACCTGCCCCTTGGCACCTCCTTCACCTGAATTACCCAGGTGAGTCCATTACTGGCAGTTCAGCAACAATTGAGATCCACTTGCCATGTGAGACCCATCCTCCCCTCCCCCAGTCCTTGGGGAGGAGCTTTCTGAACAACAGTCCTTCAAATCTTGCAACAAAAATGTACTGAGCCTTCCCTGTGCCTAAGCAGATATACAAAGGTCAGGGCCCAAACACCACTAAGAAAGAGTCATGGTTCCCACTTTCACAAAGTGAGTAATCGTCACAAATGCCTAATCAGAAGATAAGTGGATGCTAAGAAGAAACAGAGCTTGGTGCCAAGAAGCCCTGGACCCTTAGGGAAGGATGGGCTTCATGGGAGGGGCGTGGTGTCCCTGAGGGCTGGAACCACAGTCAGGTCAGCTAGGGGAAGGCTGCCTAGGCCTCCCCTCCTTGGGAAGCACCCTCGTAGAACAAAGGTGCTCACTTAAGAGGAGATTTACTACCAAAGCAGAATGTTTAGCTCTAACTGGACAGAGAACACCAGTTATTTCAAAGACCAAACTCTCCCGTCCCATGGAGTTGTAGCAGACAATTTTATAATTGATTAAAATGGATAATGCAGGTAAAAAGCCATGGGGAACACGAAGAGGACACTTACTGCCTGGATGGGCTCCCTCCCAGGCCCTCGGCATACAGGTTTCCCAGGCCTACCTTTCCACAGGGTGAGGGCCAGCAGCTGGTGGAGCCGGGGATGGCCCAGTTTTCCAGAGCCTCCACTGGACCATTTCAGCGCTCTAGACACAAAAGCCACTCGCTCCGGAGAATTTGGATCCATCATACTGAACAGTTTAGCCAGATTTTCTAAAAACAACACAAACACAGACCCTTATGCACAGGAACATACCACTACTTCAGTTCTTCACATGGTGCATCTTAAAAAAAATTCATTAAAAACAACAGTTATCTACTTCCAAAGAAACCTGAGAAACAACTAGCATGTTGTTGTGTCCCCAGACGACTCATTCCCTTGGGTTCCTGGCATATCCAGGGTGACCCACAACTGACCCGTCTGCTGCAGTGACACGCTGAAGGTGGGTTGTGGTGAGCAGCTGAAGGGCCGAGCCGGGGTGGTAGGGGGTGAAGTTAAGAATGGCAGAGCCAGGAGCAGACTCTCCTTTGTCTCTCCAACTGGGCAGCCACAAGAAGGTCTCTATAACCTCACAAGCCATCATCCATCAGATCCACAGAGAGGCCAATTACTGTGAGGACAGTACGGGGGAGTTCCACTTATAAAACACAGCATCATCCACATCCTGCGACATGCACTGTGTGTGCTCAGGGGTGAGCTGGTCAAGGACTGCTCACAACTAAATTCTCCCAAATCTCAGGAGTCCCTGGGTCATACATACAGATGGAGCTGAGCGACTTGAGAGGCCAAGACTGAAACTGTCCCAGGTGCAAAGGCACTTGGCGCACAGGAAGAAAGCCTCACCCAATAGCTCGTCGGCAACCTCAACTTCTGCCTTCTCCAGCGACTCAAGGACCAACATGGACAAGTCCGCAGCACTATTTTGCTATAAAACATGTAAAAGAACAAGAATCCCACAGTTAGGAAAAATACCACTCATTTGCAGAAGACTCAGTAAAGCTGGGTGGCTGCTCTGGTTTTCCAGATAGAACCTCTGAATAGACAGAGTTATGGAAAGGACTGTTAAGCGCCCAGGTCATGCAGCCCCAACTGCTGAGAACTACTGGCCTGGACGGACTGTGTCAGAGCCCCCACATCTGTGTCCTGAAATACAGAACACTCTTAGTTCTGGCCACCTCAGAATGACATCTCCCTGGTCATTCCAACCCTTCAGTGCCCAGTCCCCAGCGGAGACAGAGATGGTTAGAAGTTGCTACTTACTTGACCGTGGCTGAAGAACAGCAGTGCTCCAGAGCACATGAGCTCCCGCGCCTCTGCATGCTTGTTCTGTGACATGTATCTGTGACAGAGAGAGGGCAGAGCGCCAGTGAGACCTGGCCAAAACATGACAGTTGGCAGCAGATGTCCCCACAGTCTAACTCACCACACCCTCTTATGCCCACCAAGCCCCCCAGTAACAGTTTGCTAAAGATGAGGTGTTTGAGTGAACACAAAAGCTTTGTAAAGCAGACAATTCACATGCATCTATACCGCCTGTGAAGAATGGAAACAAAGTGGGTTTGCCCAGGGCTCTATATCCAGCCTCTGCATTGGGATATCTCACAGTCCAATTTGTCAATGATTTAGGCCTCATGGGACAGCAGACTTGTGCCTCACTGCAGCAGCACGCACCTTGGAACAATACTGGGCATACCCTGTCTGTATCCAAATATGCCAGGGGCCAGAAGGAACATCTCCCTGGAGTAGCTCCAGGGTTTCTAGTAGAAAGGACCACTGAAAGGTTGAGGGTGACATCCACCTTCAAGTACAGGCCTTGCCTTGGTGGCAGGTGCTGCATGAAGGGGCAGGTGATGAACCCTTGTCCATCAGATGGGAACCAAGAGACTGGACCACACAGAGAAGATAGGGACATGGGAACTCCATGACAGTCTTCCCTGGAAACAATGACCTGTGACTGTGCCCCTGCCAAGGTCCCATTCCCGCCTCCAGACCACTGCCTGATTGTGCCACTCTGAATGCATTCTCTCCAATGCAGGACGTAGGAAAGGCTGGCTTCCTGAACTACAGAGGGACAGAGACAGAACCAGGCAGAACCAAGCAGAACCCCACCTATAACAAATTAAAGATGGTGAAGAAAATATTCTCGGCACAAAACCCTGGCCCCAGAGAAGAAAAAGCGTTGAGTGTAGTGGCAGGATGGCCACAGTGCAGGTTTTCTATGACCCGAGCAGATGGGTGAAGGAGGAGTCCTGGAGCCCTTGGTGACTTTTCTTCAGCTTTTCCAGATACACGGCAGGCAGGGGTGCTGGTGTGGGGGGGGCCGGGAGGCTGGTCGTTCCGTTCCTCTGGCGTCCTGGCCTTACATGCCCAGTCTCTTGGCTCAGGTGCGCTCACCTACGCATGCCCACACTCTACGCCAGGTGTCCGCCATCAGGTAGCATTTAATTTAATGGTGGGAAGGTGGAAAAGCCTGATATGTTTTACTTACCCTACAGTGAGATAGCAAGCAATAGCTTCCTACTGACATGGGCCAACATTTCCTAAAGTGTGGCAGGTGCAAGCAGCACAGATCATACCCAGAATATTTAATTCATTGCCTATATACTGATCTCAGTGATCATCAGAAAAGAACCATTAAACCAGTGTAGGGTAAGCAAAAAATGTCAGGCTTTTCTGCCCTCCCGCCATCCCGCCAGGATAGATGATGGATCCTTGCGGTCCTGAATGCATGCCTGATGGCGGGCACCTGGAGTAGGGTGTGGGCATAGGTGGGATGGGATTCACCTGGCTAAGACAGGGCTTTTAAGGGCGGCGCCATGGGGATGCCGAGAGAGAAGCAGAGAGAAGGCCACAGAGCCCAGATAGAGTGAAGACTTGCTGGGGGCTGGGAGGCCTGCCAGCCTCCCCACCCACCCCCCAGTACCCCTGCCTGCTGTGTACCTGGTAAACCCCAATAAAAGCCTGCAAAAGCCACTGAGGGCTCTGACTCCTCCTTTACCCGGTCTGCTGGATCATAGAAAACCTGCACCGTGTCCATTCCTGACCCTACAACCAGTCAAGCAAATTTGTGCCTCCCAGCTGTAATGCCCTAGGACGAAGCCATGTTTCAAAACAAATGACGTAAGAGCAAGATCCCGAGTAAGTGGCAGTGTAGGGGATCTAAATCCATAACACACACCTGGGTGGTGCCGCAAAAGGCTCGAGCCTAGGGCCTCCCCCGTGGTGCAGCAGGTGGAACGTCACTCTGTGAAGCTGTCCGCAGCCTCTGCAGCGTGGGTTCAATTCCCAGCTGGCCAGGGAGAAACCCACATGGCGCAGCAGACCTCTCCTGCCTCGCGCGCTGCTCCCCTCAGCAGAGCCTTTGGTCCGTCTGCCTGTTCTGCTCCCTGCTCTGTCTCTGATGAATTCCCTCACCCCCCTGCACCTCTGGCCTGTACCCCAGTTCTTGTATGCATAAATAAATCTTTAAAAAAAAAAAAAAGGCTCGAGCTTAGAGCGTCCTTCAGCTTATCAGGTTTGACAGGTGGGAAATGTCAACCATGGAAGATCTCTCCCAGAAGAACACATTCACATCCCAGCTGGCCTGCAAAGGCCCCCAAGACACCCCGGCGGCCTGCACAGGGGAGTGAAAGGTGGAAGAAAAAACTTGAAGAGTTTGGAAAACCTCCACCATCCTGTAGGTGACCAGCCTGGGCTGCGGTTCCCGTAAACCACTGTCCAGAGCAGTTTCTTTTTCACACACATGGGTGAACCTGGCTTGAGTGCTCCCAGGTCCTCCACATGACCTGGTGCCCACCACTGCTGCGTGTGTTCTGGAAAAACAGGTGCTTGAAGGTATACAGCCTCATGTTACCACCTGCATGGACAAACTCTTAAGTATTTGTCCTAAGTGATAATCATACAAGCTTGTCTCTGCTTTATTCATAATACAACAGACTAGACTCTTCTATCTGGGGTATTCTTTGTACACCTACTGATTTAAAATTCATGGTCTGAAAGCTTGTTTTGGACAAAGTTGTTTGTGGTATAAATAGGTTTTGAGGAACTTCTTTGGCCGTTTTAAAGCTAGGTATTAGGATTTTCTCATCTAACTCTGGCTCCTGAAGTGGAGAGGACCATGTCATGTCCCCTTAATAACAACATGTCTCGGGCCTCCCCGGTGGCGCAGCGGTTGAGCGCTGGGTTGCAAAGCTGCCCGCGGCCTCTGCGGCGCCTGTTCGATCCCCGGCTGCTCTCTGGCCACCGGAGGAGGGTCCCACATGGCGCGCAGACCTCTCCTGCCACCCGCTGCTCCCCTCAGCAGTGTACTTTGATCCTTCTGCCTGCTCTGTTCCCTGCTCTGGCTCTGGTGAATTCTCTCACCCTCCTGCGCTTCTGACTGTACCCAGTGCATGTATAAACAAAACAAACAAATAAATAAATAAAAATAACATAAAAAAAAATAACAACATGTCTCATGTGATGCACATTTAAACTTTAAAAAACAAGAAGTCTGACCAGCAACCTGGTCTGAGTAAGGCTACTGTGTGCTTTTCTAAATAGCTCTCCAAAGAGCTGAGACACTTGCTTGGCTGAAGCCAGGCTGCTCTTGGTCAGCAATTGTGCTAACCCTTGCAGCAGTCTCAGAAAGAGAAGAGACATGTGGCTCCTGACTTTGGAGACTCTAACAGGCAGTGGCACAAGCTGTGTTACAGCCACTGAGTGATAACCTTCAGGGCACCCCATCCTCCCTGCTCACTACAGTGCCAATGCCCACTAGTTATCTGGATCTAAGCACACGGTGATACCCAGCTTTAGGTGAAAAACTGACTACTGGGAGACAACTTGTAGAAAGGTGCATCATCTTAACTAAATTGGGACTTTCTTTCTTTCATCTCCCCGTCACCTTGAACACCGGTGTAGTTAATCTACCATGGGCTTAGAGTATGTTATTTCTTTACTGGCTTATTAAGAGACCATACCCTATATGGTTATGTTATTATTGCAAATTATAATACCCCCAGTGAACCTGTGTTAAATTATTGGCAAAGACATTCTCTGTTTCTGAACACAATTTGGTAGAGACAAACAGTATAGCAAGAAACTCTCAGGAAACCAGACTGAGGGGAAAAACGCCCCAAAAAGCAGAAAAATCAATTCCTGGGGCAATGCAGCCACTTTCAGGAGCATGACTATAGCAGCACATGGCCACCTGAAGCTCCCCACGTCACCGCCACCTTTCTTCCTCCTCTCAGGTCACAGAGGAAAGACAGAGATGGTACACAGTCTACTGGGCTCATAGAGATGGTACAGTCTTCTGAGCACAGAAAGAAGGCAGAGCTTTACCGAGCATACATTATGATGGCACAGTGTACTGCATGCACACAGTATAAGATTTCCACCAGTCATCTGCCATCTAGCCAGAAACACCTGTTGCAGATCAAAGCAAGCTGGTAAAAGACAAAATACGGACAGGTCACTTTGCAAAATGAATGTGTGCCTTTTGCACTGCAGAATTACAGGAGTGAAAAAGAATTGTGTTCCTAAAAGCAGCTGAAACAGGAAACCTCCAGCTTGGTACCAGCTTGAAGTCCTGACCTCCCCAGCAGGCAGCACCTCACAATGACTAGGACTACGTTGTCCACAGTGGAAGGATCTCCACTTGGCACATGTGGAACTATTTGAAGCCAACACTGACTGAGGTAGCAAATCTGTGTCCATGCAGCACTGTGTCTGTGCAACTATTCTAGTTTATTTTTCTCCCTTAAAACAAAACATAACAAAACAAGCAAGCAGCAAGCAGGCAGAACACAGAAATACACAGAATAAATACTAGTGAAAAACTGTGTGGGTGCCCATGAAGAATGACAGAGCTCATGTCAAAAGTCTTAGAGGCTGAAGCACAACATCTAGAGCTCAGAGGGCTGAGCAACACTTGGCATCAAAGTTGCTGAAAACAAACCTAAACTACAAGGCACAGAGGCCTCGAGTCCCAGCGGTTCCTTTAGGGAACGTTCATCTTCTAAACTGGGAAGCAGAGAACAATTCAGGTATTTTTTTTTTTTTAATTTCTCCATACAATTTAAGATGCAATACTAGGTACAGTCTATGATCAACTATCAACACAAATCTCAGAAGGCCCCCCAGAGTAGAAAGATGCAATTTTCATTAAATCATAAAGGCTGCAGGCTCTGAGGTGATGGCTGTACTGGGCTTCCCTGCAAAACAGTCATCCAAGCACAGAGGCTTACTTAAGGAATACAAATAACCCAACAGGCTTGGAAAGCAGCTCCCTCCTTACCCTGAAGACAAGCCTGCAGAGACAAGGTGATCACTCACAGTCATCAGAGCTGTCCATTGACAAAGCCTCCAACTCAACCAGCCAAACTAGTGAGGACAGCCCACTCCTGCACAGTACACACTGTCAACCCAGTCTGCTGGGCTGCCTAACTCCTTCTCCTTCCTCCAACTGCTATGGGGAAAAGTGATTAAAATAACATAGTTCAGTAAATTTATCCAACAAGTGAACGGATAAACTGTGGTGTATTCACATACAATGGAACACCACTCATCAATGACAATGAACTAACGATATATACCCGAGTCAATCTTGAAATAATCATGCTGAGTGAATAAAAAAATATCAGACCAAAAAAAGAGGACATACAGTATGATTGCATTTATATAAGACTCTAGAAAATGCAAGTCAGTAGTTGTCTGGGGCAGAGGTGGTAGGGGGCTGACCCGGCAAGACTGATTGTATGGAAGAGCAAGAACACTTTAGGGGTGGGGGCAGTGGATATTTTAATATGTTGGCTGGTGGTAATTTCGTGTATTTGTCAAAATTCGTCGAGCTGTACATTTTATCTAAATACTTAAGTATGTGTTTACTAATAGAAATAAAAATTGGTTTTATTTGGTGAATTTGGCTTCTCCAAGGAGCTAACCTAGGTCAAGATCATGGTCTGATCTTGTGGACTTGAGTCTTGGAGAGAAAAGTACAACTCCAGGCTGTTTCAAGTAGGACTTCTGGATGGCCACAACCACCATCTTCAACTGGTTCCACCACATCCCCAACAAGGCCAAGGGCAAGTTCATTTACTTCTCACAACCACAAATGACCCAGGAGGAAGCCAAGACTCAAGAGAGGTTACACTAGTGTCCTGATTCTCAGGTCACAGAACAGAGGTGACAAGTAAGTCCAGGTCAAGGCTGGGCTTGGGGCGAGCCCGCAACAGTATCCTCTCTGTTTGCTCTTGCCATGCAGGTTCATCACTGTCCCCTTGGTGGAAGAACTCCCACTCTAAATTGAAGTTGACAATGTTCCTCATGCAGCAGTCACTGCAGAACTGGCTCAAATCAAAGAACACCATGTTTTTTTTTAGGAAGATCCAGTTTTGCTGATTAACCACTGGGGCCAATATTTATATACAAATACCCAAGAACAGCATACACGAAGGCAAATCTTGAACACTACAATAGTTCTACATTTCAAAGATTCTGGACTGGCTAGTCCACCAGGATGAAGATTCTATATTACAGGGTTAAATGACATTTACATTTCTGCTTTATTCCTTGAAGAACAATCAGTTTGAAGAGGCTATCACAGCCCACACCATTTAGAAGATATTAATGTTTAGTGATAAATTCAGCAAGCACAAAAAACTTAACACTAAATATCAAGCATTAGGACTTGTTTCTGTCAGAACAGCATCTAACTAAAGGCAAATGTGAATTTCTTTCTAAGCCAATAAAACTACTAGGTTTCCAAAAGACAAAGTCATTTTGTGACACAATGATAAAACTAGATGCAACCTGACTAGTTTGGCTGACTATAGAATGTCAGGGGTTAGTAAATAGAAAATTCTGGAAACAAGACTACCCTTCGGAGGTTTAATTCATGGTTCTGGACTCTGGCAACAAAGAAGGGTCTATAAAAGTTACATGAAAAATCTTGAAAACCAAAGATGACAAGGACTCATTCCCGACTGGCCAAGTCATAAAAGTTACATGAAACATCTTGACAACCAAAGATGACAAGGACTCATTCCTGACTGGCCAAGTCAGTAGAGCCTGAACGCCACATTCAAACACCCCTCCCACAATCAGGGTTACAGGCATGGTATCCACCAAGCCGCAAGCTGGAGACCATATATCAACACCTCCCCTGGATTCATCACTGATAATCCAGTCCTACTTGCTACTCTGGGCCACCACTTACATGTTTCATCCAAACAAAGTTCGAGAAACTACAACCAAAGCAGAAAGTGCCTCTAGAGTTCCCAGGATACTGATTCAACTTACTATTTAAAGAAAATTAAAAAAACTTAGGCCTATATGGTGTTAAGGTCCCCTGACTGCCCTTATATATCAAACTAAGGCACTGCTGCTGCCAGTTTAGAAAGAAATGGTACTCCACAGCACAGACTAAATTATCTTTAAAACACCTCCAAGTTCTAATGAATAACTAAATTGTTTTCTGCTTGAACCGTAAAGGATCACAGAATATATATAACTTCAGGGGTGTCTGATACATATACATTTTAAGAAATGTAGGAACTGTATGACAATAAGAATACTGCAGTTCAAGAGAAAATTAACTCAAGATGCACAGAACTTGGAAAATTTCTAGGATCGCGCTGAGAAGATAAAATTGTATTTAATCCAAATATCACTTCAACACAAAACTGTATTTTAAGTCACACGTTTTTTTCTATACTAAGTCTGTGACACCAAGTGTGTGTATCCCATTTGGGACTCACCACATTCCAGAAGCTCAACAGCCACACGTGGCCAAACACTGGGCAGCGCAGGTGGAACAAAAAATACCAGGCTTATAAAAATAGCTAATTTACCAACAACACAAAATGCGAGAGACCAGGGGGGACCCACGACTTTAAAAAAAACTTAAAACCCCTCACGCCGGGAACCCCTGTAGGAGGAAAACCGTGAGGCTTCGCGCGGGGCTCTGAGGGCGCGGGGCGCGGGGGTTGGGGGGCTGGGGGGCGGGGCGGGGCGCGCGCCCGCCGGGGCGGCGGCAGCGAGGTGCGGGGCAGCGCCGGGGAAGGGCCAAGAGGCCGGGGTCCCGGCGGGGGGCGAGGACGCCAGGCTCGGAGCAGGTGGGAACCAGGGCGGAGGGCCTGGGGCGGGCAGAGGCGCGTCCGGGGCCGGAGCCGGGGCTGCGGCGGGCGCCGGATCCGCGGGCCGCCGGGGGCCGGGGTCCGGGGTCCAGCGCCGCCGGGCCGGGCCCGCACCCTCGCGCGGCCGCCGCACAGCCGCCGCTCCGCTCCGCCCGCGGACAGACAGGCGCGCGGGCCAATGGGCGCGCGGGGAGGCGCGGCGCGGCCAATGGGAAGCGGCCGGGGGCAGGGTGCCGGGTTGGGCGTCCGGGCGGAAAGACCTGGAAGGCGGCGGCGCGGCTACCTGAAGAAGAGGGTCCGGTACATCTGGTGAGCCTCGTAGTAGTCGCCCTTCTCGACGCTGGCGCGCAGCTTGCCCTCCACGCGCTGGACGCCGCCGCGATTGCGGGCGCCGTTCCGGGCGCTCTCCTGCTCAGCCATTGCCGCCGCCGCCATCGGGCCGGCGTTCCGCGCAAGGCTGACGCTGTCGCAGGCGCGGTCCGCAGCGCCTCTCGGCTTCCGTCCCGGCGGCGGCTCGACGCCCTCTACGGTGGCCGCGAGGAGCCGTGCAGTTGGGGCGGGCGCCTCGGCGACGGTCACGTGACTGAGGGCGGGGCCGCATGTGACCGGGCGGGGCCTAACGCCACAATGACTGGCAGCCGTGGACGAATGGAGGCGGGCGCGGGGCGGGCTCTTGGCCCACGTGAGTTTGTCCGCAGACCCGCGAGCCGCGCTTCAGCCGTCGTCTCCGCTGTCCCTGCCGCTGGAGGTCACGTAGGGGCGGCGGCAGGCGTCGGGAGGCTCGGTGATGCCACAGCACTCCGGCCCGGTCCGCAAAACAGAGCACCCCAGGCGCGCCAGGGACTGGGCCTCGGGACGTGGTTGCCAAGCTGTGGGTCCTAGGTCCCGCGGGATTTCCATGTCAGCCTCTCAGTTTCATTGACTGCGAACAGCACTGTTTATGGGAGAAGCCAAAGACAACGTGTATGTCCGTATGGGGACTTGCTGAGTAGGGGGGGTATAGGGCGTGTACACCTTTGAGCCACTGAACTCTTCTCAGAGGTAGGGCCAAGTTATTTTCTTAATGGCAAAAAGCAAGGCACAAAACCGGGGAACAGAGTGTGAAGTGTGCCATCCTGTGTAAGAGACTAAGGAGCAAAGGTAAAGGATTGTTTTTGCTTGGTAGGCCCAGTTGTTTCCAGAGAATGAAACCCTGTGGCTGACTTGAGAATCAGCAGAGGATGGGGGCATTTTTGCATGGCCTGCCTCAGCTGGATGGCTGAGGTGCCAGAAGTCTGCTCCTCTTTCACTCTGGCCTGCTGTCCTTGCTTTCCAGGGTGTTCTTTGTGTGTGCCTTACACACAGGTCTTCGGTAAACGTTTACTGAATGAACACATCCTGGGTTTCCATGAGCTCCCACCTCTAGTAGCAGCAGATGTTCCTATGAGGTAATCCAGCTCCTCTTTTCATAATTTTCTTCTTAAGTAACCATCTTTACATTTAGTCTGTTTTCCAAGTGTTTTCCCTACATAAGAGGTATCCAGGGAAAGTCAACACTGGGTAAAAAAGCTATCTAGATCAGGATAGGTCACCATTAACTGGTCAATACAGAGCCCTACAAACAAATGTAGTCGCACCTCCCCAAAACCACTGTGGGCAGAAACAGCACATTGAGAAAAGAAATACACTGTTTATTATTCATTTGAAATATCACATGCACGTTTAAAAATTAAAACTCTTTATTTAAACATTTCAATAGTATCTTATCAATTTGGTGGCAGCAAAAGAAGCTCTACCAAAGACAAATATATTGAAAAGCATTTACAAAAATACATTGCACAAAGTCCTATCTTGCATCTTTAAAAATAAATTAATATTCAAAATATTTCCACCCCAACCCCCAATTTGGTTCTATATAGGAAATTTTGATTTACATATTTATCCTGTAATATATGAAACAGCTGTATACATTTTATCCAACTTAATGCATAGGCATTAGTTCTAATTCTAAGAATGAAAAAAATGCTACTTTATGTAATTTTTGTATATTTGAGGACTGTTGTGCAATATACACAAAACTCTCCAGAAAAACCAGTCAGCACCATCATTTTTTTTCTTTTTCTGAAAATACATTTACAGTATACCAAAAAAACTGTCAACCCAATAAAACTTAAATAATTTTTAAGGTAAAACATCCGTAACACTTTTAGTGCCTCACAGATATCTCATTATAAAGTTTGCTCAGTAAAACTGTCTAAATATTAAATATTGTCATCAAAATTAGTCTCATAGGAATTGAGTGAGAATGGCCAACAGTCATAATAAATGGGAAATCCCAACTAGAGCCAAAGAAAGTGCTGCTATAGGAAAAATTACAATCATAAATGAAACAGCTTCATGAATTTGCCACACTGGACAATCTCCTTTGATAACCATCCATGTAATAAAAATATAAGCCTCTGAAAGATTTAAAGCATGTTAGTGTTCGCTTTTTAGCAAAATTCAAAACGAAACCTGAAAAAGGTTGGATTCCTTGGTTCCTATTCATACTGTCAATTGAGAACTCCAGAGTTATCCCAACAGGGTGTGTGGCTAGGTGGAACCAGAGAACTCCATTTATGTGTTTCGATCCAGACCAGCTCCTTTCAAATCAGACCCACTTCAACCAACAAGGAAATGAGAATTCCCCATTTCCTAAATGGGTATTCCCATACTGGGTCCTGACTGAAAGTTTTTCTAAGAAGTAGGAGCAAACTAAGCAGAAAAACCCTTATTAGTTATTTCCTCACATGGTGACTTAAAATAACAAGTGCTGAGTAAAGGAAATATCTCATTCTGAAGGAAAGGAGTTTAAAACTCTGAAATTTGGTGACTCTTTTTCCCTGAAAGAAATGTGTATTGGATTTAACAGATGAAATATGTATGTGCCCCAAAAGTCCTTAAGAGGTCCAGTGAAAGCTAATTATCAAAATTTCAGGAACACGTCAAACCTTTTTACCTTCATTTGCTTTGTTCCTGATTTTAGGAAAATACAAATAAGAAGAGCTTTATGTTCAAAAACAAATCCTCAAAATAAAGTTAAGTGTCTTGTGAACGATACATTCAAATGAGTTTCCAGAGAATACCTGGCTAACGGGTCCCCGTGAACCAAGTGTTGAGCATGCAGTGTTTCCTATGGACATAACAGCAAGCTGGGCATCAGAGCATTAACACTTCAGTCTCCACACTCTCCTGCTGCCAGTTGGTGACATTTATTTAGGGATGATGTCATCCTGTTATTCTAAACGCCCTCATTCACAAAAGGTTCCAGTGTTTCGGGCTGTCCCATATATACAAAATGTACAACAACAGCGAGGTGCAGCTTTACTTGATAGGTTCTCCATGAACTCGGAACCGGTAGAGACATGTGTATTCAGGATGACCCCAGTTAGAAGAAATCCGAAGTTCCACTACTTGGAAAGCTCTTTCAGGTCTTTTCTGGAATCAAGAAAAAAACATGACACTTATTTTATATTAATACCCTCAAGCCCAATCACTTCCTCAACTATATTCGGAGAATAGTTAAATTTCTAATATGAACTCAATCAGCTATCACAGAACCCAAATCTTAGGTCAAACTCTGAAAACTCTTTATGAGCTAGACTTATTTCAGTTTCGGTACATGTGACATTTATGTGTTGTACACTGTACACTAAAAAGGCTTACTCAGGAGAAGAAAAGCCATGAAACTCAGATTCACTTTTTTCAGATGTTGACCCTCAGGCTTACTTCAAACAGGTTTGTTAATGTTTTGGGTCCTGCTGACACAAAGCAAAGGGACTCAGGACCCACAGATCAGTATAAACCATGGAGATCTTACCAGCACATGGAACATTTGGAGGGATTCTCCTTCTTGATCATATGTAAACTGTCCCAGAAGCTGCCCTTCTTCTTGATACTCATTTTCTAATCCCTAAAACCAAAACCATATAGTTATTAAATAATGGAGAAATGACAATGAATTAATTAGGGTTGTTGTTCTTCAACTTGAGTTTGTGAAATTACTTCACCACTAAAGCAGTGATTAAGATCTTTACTGGAAGACCTGTTATATGCTGGGCATTTTTTTAATAGGCTTTACACAATTCACAACAATCTGGTAAGATATAGATAAGGAAAGCTGAGGCTGAACACAGACAAATCAAGTCACATAGAAGTGATTGCCCAACTGTAGCCCAACATGGCCCTCAACACTTCAAATATCAGCATATTGAAAAATAGTTGATACTCAGCCACTTGAGGAGTAAATGAGAGCTGGCCAGTGGAATGAGGTACCAAGAGGAGGCCCACTTACAGACAGAAAGGAGAAACACAGGGTCTGTTGTTTAACAGGACAGCTTCGGTTTGGGAAGATGAAAAGAGTTCTGGAGATGAGTAGTGATGACTGTTGCACAACAATGCAAATGTACCTGAACTCTACTTTTACAATGGTTAAGATGGTAAGTTCTATATTATATATATATTTGCCACAATAAAAAAGTAAAAACCAATTAGAAATATAGATGACAGATACACAGGGGACAGCCACAGCAGCAGAAGGTGTGGGCAAGACCAGAGACCAGACCATGGAGGGCCAGTGCGACCTCATCTCTAACCACGAGCAGCTGCCCATGCTGGGCCAGCGCCCTGGAGTCCAGGAGAGCAAGTGTAGCGGTGGAGCCCTCTACACAAGCTTTTCTGTGCTGGTGGCTCTGCTCTTAGCCGGCCAGGCCACCTTGGCCTACTTCCTGTACCACCAGCAGGGCCTGCTGGACAAGCTGACAGTCACGTCACAGAACCTGAAGCTGGAGAACCTGCACATGAAGCTTCCCAAGTCTGCCAAGCCTGTGAGCAAGATGCAGATGGCTACCCCCATGCTGATGCAGGCACGTCCCATGGAAGGCCTGCTGCAGGAGCCAATGCAGAATGCCACCAAATACGGCAACACCATACAGGACCATGTGATGCACCTGCTGCTGAGGTCTGACCCCCTCAAGGTATACCCGCACCTGAAGGGGAACTTCCCAGAGAACCTGAAATACCTTAAGAACACCATGCAGGGCCTGGATTGTAAGATTTTTGAGAGCTGGATGCAACAGTGGCTGTTGTTTGAAATGAGCAAGAACTCACTGGAGGAGACACCCACTGAGGCTCCAACCAAAGACCCGCTGGAGATGGAAGAACTGTGGTCTGGGCAGGGAGTGACCAAGCAGGAGCTGGGACTAGGCCCCATGTGAGAACCACAGGCAGAGATCAGCTTCTAGCCAGCCAGGCATGACCACAGCTTCTTCGCTCCCTTAACCTGACACCACAGAAGACCCTCACTCTGCATACACACATGCCATGAACATGCACAAATGCCAAACAGGTGCACACTTGTGTGCTCACTCACACACACACACACACACACCCGCCCCCTACCTTTGAGCTCCAGGTCCTCAGCTTTTCATCCAATTTAACTGGAATAAGAACCACCTTCTTCCTCCCTCAGGAACCACCAGCCTCCCTCCATCTCCTTTTTGTGCCAAACCCCAGTTCCCCCCACCCTTTCACCAAGCTTGTCACCAGTGCTGAGGGCCTCAGCTTGTGTGAGAATAAAAGGTAGTAAGTAGGGGAAAAAAAAAAAAAAAGAAATATAGATGGCTATTTGAATGTCTATTTGATAATGGTTAAGGACTTTCTGGGCATAAAAAGTGCCATGCCATGGAAGAAATAATAGCTAATGAGCAGATATAAATACATAATTAAGACTAACAATGGAAGATATATCTGTAATGGAGTGACATAATTAACATTTAGATATTAAGAAGCTCAAATATTTATAAGGGAACTAAGATCCCAAAAGATAAATGAATAAAAACAAATGTAGAATCTATAAAAATGAAACACAGGAATATAGATTAAAGTGTCATGTCTTTGCCATCAAGTTAACAGAGAATTAAAAAAAAAAAAGACTCAATTCTTGGCAAAGGAACGATGACATCGAGAGATAATAATACTTCTCATATACCACTGGTACAAATGCTGGTAACATACATGACATGATGATCAATGGCCTTAAACATACTCATGCCCTCTTCATACTCCCTGAAACAGTAATGCCACCTTTTGAGGGTGTACTTCAGGGCATAGCTAAAAATGTGATGATATTACACTTACACTGAAAAATGGGAAACTGAAAGATCTGGGATGGAAAACAAGGGTTGAGCTAGTCAACTGTATTTTATGTTGCTATTTAAAGATGTTAACTGCCAGGCCTCCCTGGTGGCACAAGGGGTTAAACACCACACTATGAAGCAATCCCCGGCCAGCCAGGAAGAAACCCACATGGCACAGCAGACCTCTCCTGACTCGCCTGCTGCTCCCCTCAGAAGTGTACTTCAGTCAATCTGCCTGTTCTGTTCCCCACTCTGTCTCTGGTGAATCCTCTCACACCCCGCATCTCTGGCCTGTACCCCAGCTCTTGTATACATAAATAAATAAATCTTAAAAAAAAAAAAAGTCAACTGCCATAGAAAAATATTTATGATAAATCTGTTTTTTTAAAGAGATTGTCTCAACAACTGTATTTTTTAAAAAGAAAAACAGGACACGAAAAATGCTACAATATGAACAATGACTTTCTATATGCTAGAATTCTGGGTGTCTGTTTTCCGAATTCCTTATTCTTTTCTAAAATTCAACATTATAGTTTTGAGAACTGCCTTTATAGCCAACAGACAAGAGAAATGAAGAAACCAATTTCTTCACAGGCTTACCTTGATCTATTAGCACAAGCAATTTGGACATCAGTTAACACAGGCATTATAGGTTACCCACCCTAGGAGAAGTTTCCCTAGATGTATTGTCTGCTCACTCAGGGTGTTACACAGAGAGGAGAGAACCCCCCAGTAAATACACGGAAGTCATGAATGTTAGCATGGTTCATCTTTGGGAGAGTCCCAGAACAGAATGAGGAGGAGAGCTGCTCCAGGTGTCACAGGGGGATAAGAACACTCACATAGACCATGAAATCCTTGGGAGCACTGGTGATGTTCCCTGTGGGTGACAGTGTTTTTGGGATGTGTTCCAGAGTGAAGGTGGTTGGGTAGATGGTCATCGACAGTCTCACCACAAGGTACCCCTGGGAGCCTTTAAATGCCCAGCAGTTACCTGGATATATGTCAGGCTAAGGGAAAAGGCAAAAAATGAACAATTAAAAACCCCCTAATATTTAAAAAACAGAAGCAATAAGGGAAAGACTGATAATATTAACCTTTTTTTAAAGTTTTGCATGGTAAAAAAAAAAATCATCATAAATAAAAGACAAACTGGGAAAGGCATTTATTTGCAAGTTAAATCCCAAGGAGTTACTATCGCCAGTATATAAGTTTATAAGAATTAAGATAATCAGAACCTTAAACAAAAATAAGCAAAACATACAAACACTAAATGAAAAAACACTCTACCTTTCACAATAACAAAAGAAAAACAAATTCAAATGACACAGTGTTAGCATTTCTCTCCTAACAGACCAACAATAATCCAAAAATTAGACATAATCTGCTGCCGATGTTGTTAGGAAAGGCACTCTCATGCACTGCTGGTGAATATACAAAAATGTACCACCTCAGGAAGCATAATTTAGCAGAACTGTTTTATGTATTTACCCTATGACCCAGTAATTCCACTTCTCTTTCTAAGGTGTGGTGGGCAAAAGTACAAAATGACACTTATTGCAAAAGTACTTCTAACAGAAAACGAGGAGCCACACCCCTACTGGGCAGGAGCCTGGCTGAGTAAATAGTTGGAAATTATGGCAAAGGCACAGTAGCTGTGCAGCCACACCAGAGTGCCCACAACACACTGAGTGAGGCAGCCCTGTCTCCACATTCAGCAAGCCACAACTGTACCCTCTACACAAAGGTCAGATCTCGGCCATGGGTGGGGCTGGGGAGGGAGATGTGTTCTTGGGTGACCCTTTTCAGTAGGGTAGGAACTGACCCTTTTATTTGCTATTCCTACATCCTTTAAAATTCTCTTTACCCAATCAGCTATCACTCCACTACCATTACAATTGTTTGATTGACTTCCCCATTTAAAATTACTGCATGATTTCTCCTGAAGCGGTCTGTACCAGAGTGGTCTTGTTTCCCACTCTCTTGTTCACAGACATCTAAGACATCTAAAGTACTTGCTGCTTCCTAATTACAGATCCAGTGGGCACAATGGTGACAGTAAGGACTAGTGTGACAGTTTGGGGAATGTCAAGACTATCAAGACCTCCCAACTATGACATGGTACAGAGGAGGAGACACGGCACAGCTAGAAGAGTACTCTGGAGGAGTACTGTTGGCACCTATAAAAGCAGAGAAAAAGGAACCCATGAACTAGAGGTAGTATGACCTGCAAACAGAATCCACGTCTTCGATGATGAGTGAGTCCAGAAATTCTGCCATCATTCTGCTAGTGGTTAGTGCCCTAACACAGACAGCTTGGTAAGTCTGACAAATGCTGATAGTTGAACGAAAGCCTATCAGATGCTTCAGCCAGGCAACAAAAGGACAAGATAATTACAAGATAGCAGAGAGGTTCCTAAAGCTTAAGTTTCCTGATATTTCATGCTGAACTTAATTATCATGTGGGTGTTTCACATAAAAGGAAATTATTGAATTTTCTTTAAAAAGAAATCAGGTAGCATTTTAGTTCTGAAGTAAAATGAATATATCTGACAATTTAAATTCTTCATCCCTTACTCCTTTAAATCTATACAACCTATAAAATAATCACGGATCATCAGCAAAGTATGCTGAGAGCAGTCAACAAAAGGCACCAGAGAAAGAGAACTCAAAGTCCCTCCAATCCTGCTAGTAGGTACTATGTGACAAGTATACTTTTTAAATGGGAAGTTGTCCTTACTATGGTAATTTGTGCTTATCTCCATCTGTTCTATTTCTTTAAAAAACTGATAAAGCACTACCTACAATCTCATAGTGGAATATCCTTCAATACCGACAGTGAATTCTAACTGCTCGTACACACAGTGGACCTCACAGACCAGGGGGTGAAAACCCAACACCCTGTGGACATGGCATATAATCCCATGGTACCAAATTCAGCACAGATAAAACTGATGGTGTCAGAAGTCACTCTCTGAGATGAGAAGAAGGGGAGCCTGTTGGTGCTGGAATACGGTCTCTTGGTCTGGTACTACTTCCAGATACATTCACTTGGAAAACTTCACTGCACCATGGCAGACCTCTCCTGCCGCCCGCTGCTCCCCTCAGCAGTGTATTTCGTCAGTCTGTCTGTTCTGCTCCCTGCTCTGGCTCTGGTGGATTCTCTCACCCTCCCGCGCTTCTGACTGTACCTAGTGCTTATATAAATAAATAAATAAATAAATCTTTAAAAAAAAAAAGAACAAAAAAAAAACTTCACTGCACCATGTACTTATGATTTTCACACTTTTCTGAATGTATCTTACACTTTATTAAAAAGCTTACCAAAAAAACTTAAATTTATCATTGGCACTTTGATTCTGTTTGAGTCCTCAACAATCATGTGGCAGCCACAAGGCACATGTGAGGTGCATCAACTCTTACCTGGATGACGACTCGGGGAGACTGGGAGTAGTACCACAAAGGGATACCAAACAGGCTGATTAATGCTGTCTTGGTCTCATATGTTTCAGAACATCGAGTACTTAAGATACTACCACCTTAAAGCAGAATTTAAATTTGTTTCAGCATCTGATTCTATCATTTTGGAAGCAGTATCATTACAATCTTCAGGATTTGTTTAAAGTTTTTAAAAATTCTCAAGTTTTTAACTGTTACAAAGAAACTTCTACTTTAAGATCAGTCCCATTCTTTACTTTTCCCAAATGCACTGCTAATGGTGTAGTATAATAATGGCTTTATATACACCATTTGTGTCTACTAAACCTAGAGATTCTTAAAATATTGCCTCCATACACTACACTTTTGGGACAGCAACTCTAAAGAAACTTAAACTTACTGTCCATGTTTTTAAATAAAATAATGAATCCAACCAGCACTGGCATTACTAGAATTGAGTTTTTAAAGTGCCTGCTTAATAGCAAAAGTGATAGAATATTAAATAGTAACCAATTGCTGGAGGAGTGGGAGTATCTAGTAATAAACCATTTGTAATTATGTTCTGGAATTAAATAGTGGTAACTACTGCAGAACAGTGTAAATATACCAAAGACCACTGAATTGTACATTTTTTTCTTTTCTCCCCCAGTTTTATTGAGGAGAAAAGAATTGTAATACATTGTATAAGTTTAAGGTGTATGACAAGTTGACATATGAATATACTACAAGATTAGTTAACAACCATCACCTTATAGTTAAAACTTTTGTTCTTATTAATTTTTAAGATATACTCTTAGCAATTTTAAAATGTTCAATACAATATTTGTTGACTACTGTTACTATACTATACATTACACCCCCAGACTCTAATAATTGGAAGTTTTTACTTCCATCTATTCAACCATCCCTACCCACATTGTATCCCCCTACCCAGAACTGCACACTTTAAAAATGGTAGTTTGTGTTATTGTGAACTATTTCTCAATAACAACAATAATAATAATAATAATGTTTAAAAAGAGTTCAGTTTTCTCCTGAAAAGGAAATAGGGCAGATAGGATGTTGCTGCCAAAGCAAGCCCAAAGCAATCACGTTTGTATTTGAAGTAACAACAAAAAAATAAACTAAAATACAAACGAAAATGTAAAAGTTAGTAGTCTAAGAGGCAATGGTTCCTAAATCTGGCTCGCACCACAACCCCTTAGAGCCACTGTCAAATACTATTTTTGGACCCCTGTTTAGGATTTCGCATTTGGTAATGGATGGAAGTGTTAAACGAGTGGAAATTTATATTGTAAGCATGAAAAATGATTTTATCTAATAAAACAAGAGATCCGATTTCTGAAATATGAATTTGAAAAAATATTCTATTTTGAAAAATGATTTTATCTAACAAAACAAGAGATCCGATTTCTGAAATATGAATTTGAAAAAATATTCTATTTTCATTCTAAAAAAAAAAACCCTTAAGTATGGCTTGCTTTGTTTAGTAATAGAAATTTGAGTTCAGTTCCATTAGGATTGTAGAATTCTGAATTAATGATATACAAATCTATAAGGACTAATTATGTTTCTAAGAAAAAAATGAAAACTATTGCTCATAATTTAGTGGTTAAAATACCAACTGATGGTTCTGACTAAAAATAATTCAAACTATAGAACTAAAATCATTTAATATTCTAAGTTATTCTAAACAAAATATACACTGAGAACAATTAATGGCCTTATTGATATATACCTAACATAAAAAGAAATTGTTGGTTTTTACATGTAGCAGTTATTCAAATCCACCCTGTTAAGATCCCACTGGGGGCCTCCCCGGTGGCGCAGTGGGTTGAGCGCAGCACTGTGAAGCTGTCTGCAGCCTCTCTAGCGTGGGTTCGATTTCCGGCCAGCCAAGGAGATTCCCACATGGTGCGGCAGACCTCTCCTGTCGCACCCGCTGCACCCATCGGCAGTGTTTTCGGTCTGTCTACCTGTTCTGCTCCCTACTCTGTCTCTGGTGAATCCTTTCACCCTCCTATGCCTCCTTTCACCCTCCTGTGCCTCTGGCCTGTACCCCAACTATTGTATAAATAAAAAATACTATCTTTAAAAAAAAAAAAAGATTCTGCAGAATAGTTAAAGATAGGGCACCGGGCTCACTGCTACAGTGGTCACAGGAATGAGACTACTAATATAAACCATATCACCAGATTTACTAAACCACTGGGATGATATAAATAAAGACTATGGGATTTTAAATCACCAACTCCCCTGGAGGATCTTTCATATACTAAGGTTTTTTTTTTTTTAAAAAAAAAACCCTTCCTCTAAAAAATGTTAGTCCACCAGCTCTCAATTACAATTCCTAAATTTTAAAAATTCAGAAAACCAAGATTTTCTGTAGCACCTATGGTGGCAAAGTTGTCCCTATTTACTTACCACCAGATTCCAGAGCAAAGTCCACCATGCCAGTTTTATCTTGGGAATACAGCTTCAATGCATTGTTTACAATGACATGTGCTTGCTGAAGAGAGGCATACACAGAAGTGGAAGACCAAACACCAGAAAAGGCGAGATAAGACTGTGTTAATAATATAAACAAAGGCCAGCCATTTCTAGTATGAATACATTTTCAGCTAACTACATTTGGGGGGGAAATAGGCATGGGGGTATTCTAGCAAATCCAAACTTCAGTCCTGCACCCCAACTGCTATGCCATCAGATGGAGATGAGGGACACCTAAGCCTTCTCACCAAGAATCAGACATAGCCACAACACTCTCTGACCTAGGAACCACCTAGGTGCCACCTAGGTGGATGGAACAAGGACTGTTAAGTTTGAACTGTATTACTAGGAAATTTGAGTCATTTCAGAAAGTATGTGGCTACCCAGTAGATGGGATCTTTGGGACAAAAAGATTAATATTGCTCGTGGGTATGGTGTGGTACCTACATCTGAAGGGTATGATCCTATATGTCTAAATAATATACAGCATTGTAAACAAATGTTGCTTCAATAAAAAACAAGATTAATAAAGTATAAAGTTCTCCCAAGAACAAGAACTTACTGAGCAATCACTTTTAAGCACCTGAATTATGCCAAGAACTTTTATATTATAACCATACCCTGTGACCATTCTTAGAATAAGACATCAAAATTGGCTAGCTTAATGAACTCTTTTCACAATCTACTTACTGCTTCTGTTATTCCAGAAACCCCTGCCTCATTCATAGCAGACACCACAGTTTCAGATGTTGGAATCTGTTTTGTCACAGAAATGTGGTAGGTAATATTCTTTAGTATCCGCAGCTCTAAATCTTGTAATAAAATCTGCAGGTCATCCTTGCTCACAAATTGAGAAGAAAACTTCTGAAGCAGCCATTCAAGAAAGCCATCTTGCTGATCATCAGAAAACATGAGTCTGATAGTTTCTCTGACTTGGGCATCTACCTAGTAAAATCATTAGTAAATACAGCATGAATTTATGTTTTAAATAAATCACTGCAACTCTTTACTTACATTAGATACCTTAGAAGCATCACAGTTTCTCAGAACCCAAAATGTAAATGCCATATATTTCCCGCCCCCCTTCATATCAAGTTAAAAAAAAGAAACCCATCCAAAATGATGGAATACATAGAAAAGAACAGGAATAGAAAAGAGCATGACATAAACTAACTGCCCACAGACCTAAGGAGAGAAAAGCTTTTGTCCACCTCATTTAACCCTCTCAGCACACATTTATTAAGCGCTCATGAGTTATGGGCAGAGAGAAGGAGAACTCTGATTCAATCGAAAGAAACGTCATATAAACAACTTAAAACGTAACTTTATATATGCCAAATATGTCCATGAGCATTATTTCTACACACACACTTAATTATATACATAATCTTCTCTTCTTGCTTCATTAAGAATGGAGTATAGTTGATTGTAAATACATGGAGGAAATTTTTTTATTGAAAAAAGGAGTACAGGAGGACAAGAGAAAGTACAAAATTGTATAATAATATCTATAGATCTAAGTTCTTTTTAAAAATCTCAGTATTGGGCCTCCCTGGTGGCGCAGCGGTTGAGCGCTGGGTTGCAAAGCTGCCCGCAGCCTCTGCAGCGCCGGTTCAATCCCCAGCTGCTCCCCGGCCACCGGAGGAGGGTCCCACATGGCGCGCAGACCCCTCCTGCCACCTGCTGCTCCCCTCAGCAGTGTGCTTCGGTCCTTCTGCCTGCTCTGCTCCCTGCTCTGGCTCTGGTGAATTCTCTCACTCTCCTGCGCTTCTGACTGTACCCAGTGCTTGAATAAATAAATAAATAAAGATAAATCTTTAAAAAAATAATAAATAAAAATGAAAATCTCAGTATTATTCCATAGTATGGATACAGCAAAATTTAGTCAGCCAAGCCCCTGTACATACAATATCTTGCTACTCCCAGCCAGTCCACCCACCCAATACTAACTTTACAGCACTTGGCACATTCCTCCCTTGTATCCATCTGTGCTGGTGTTTTCATTTCTGTGGGGGGAGTCCCGTGAGTGTGGTTGCTAGTTTGAAAGAACGTGTCTTGATGACTGGATAACATCCTAAAATTTCTGTCCCAAAAGGTTGTTTCTTCACAACTCTGCCAGCAACAAGGAGGCACTGGATGAAATTGTTATCATTTATATCTATCTGAGGACTGAATGAGGCTGTTCATTTAACATGAAAATCCTGGTGGCGCAGGTGGTTGAGCACAGCACTGTGAAGCTGTCCACAGCCCCTGCAGTGAGGGTTTGATCTCAGCAGGCCGGTCAGCTGGGGAGATACCCACATGGCGTGGCAGACCTCTCCTGTCTCGCCCGCTGCTCCCCTCAGCAGTGTATTTCAGTCTGCCTGTTCTGTTCCCCTCTGTCTCTGGTGAATCCTTTCACCCTCCCATACCTCTGGCCTGTACCCCGGTTCTCATATGTATAAATACATAAATTGTTAAAAAATAAATAAAATGCAAATCCAATTAATGAGCCAGAGCTACCTGCTTAGGTGCTCTGCCCATGGTCCCCTACACTTTTCCTAGTCAATTCTAATAATTGCTTGCATAGGTGAAGTAACTTTATCACAACTATTTTGATTAAATTTCCCCAACCTGATTTTGACTTATGAAAACTTTTGCCATTCAAATGTTTGCTTTTTCATTTCATGTAGCTGTAAGCGTCTAGATTTCCTCTTGTGTATAAAGATGCAAAGGCCTGAAGCAATGTGTGTGTTATATAATTGAAACAAAGATGCAGAGGACAATGTGAGTATATTCTGGTGAAAAGACATAGAAATTGCCTATTCCCCAATAAATGTTAAACTTAGATGTATGTGCATAAATAAAGTATGGAAAGATACACACCTGAGTTTTAATTTGTTACAATGTAGGAATGGGAGAAATTCAAGGATAGTTGAATTTCTACGAATTGTATTTTAAATGCTTAAAAAACCTCAACTATAGTAAATTAGGTATTTAAAGGAAGTTAAAATTAAGCTACTTAATAAATATCAACAAGACATCAACTCAAGTTTCTATTACTTTCTATGATAAAACAGAATGGAGAAATGGAGAAAACTTACTCTTTCATGTGCTGTGTCTCCATTCTCACAGCTGGTCTTCAAATGCTGCCAATTTGACAACTGCGATTTCAAATGACCAAGCTCCAGCTCAAGATGTTCAACCATGGAAAGCAGGCGCTGTTCTTCACTGATTCCACTAGAAACCAATGGGGAAGGTAAGGAGGAGGAAAGAAGTCATGATATCACCAATCATGTACACTACAGTGAATGCATTTGATAAACACATTTAGGAAAAATACACCACATTCCCAGGTAAGTTGACATGGTTAAAAGAGCAATTTGTCTCACATTAACATGGAAATTTAATGCCAGTTTCAAGTCAAAAATCCTAAAGAGATTTTTTTGCACCTTAGTTTATGCTACACAAATATGCACACCTTCTCAAGTAGGGTATTTAATAAAATGTTATAAACAGTAGTTATCTTTCAGCGGTAGGACTCTCAAAACTTTAATATTTATTCACTGTATCTTCTCAAAATTATAAAAAAGACTTCAAATGAGACAATTTCATTACTGATCATTATAAAGCTGCATATGAATTTTTCATAATGGAAGGGATAACTGAACTAAACATGTACAGTTTTAGTAATTCTGTTTTTATATTATTATATTTATATTTGTTTACAAGTAAGCATAGTTGTTGAGAAACAACAATTTATAACTAAAAAAGTATACTCTATGATAAGCATTTTAGGATCTATACCTGTTTAATGAAATAAAGCTCTGAAAGGAAAGCATGAATATCCCTTATAGAAGGAATATAAGATCTAAAATCATGACATGGAATCCATAAAAATACACAGGAGCTAGAGAACAAGATATGGGGTTACAGCCACCTTGTCCCAATCCAGCCAAAGGAATTATTGGAACAAAAAGGGTAAAGGCTGTCACATTGAGACAAAGGTACACATAGTGTGAAGGGAGTATATGTGGACAAAATTAAAGGTATGAAAAAAGATGCAACTTTGAGAATATTCAGGAAAGAGAAACTCTACTACTTCAGAGGGATTCATGGAAAACAGGTAAATGCGGAGAAGAAAAAAGCAACTAGGGTAGTGAGGAAATAAACAATAAACTTCAGAAAGTGCTGAACAACTGTAAAGATGGCAAAGAAATGGCTCTGAGGAGGCACAGAACCACTACTTCCTGGGATGAGAAGGTTGGCAGCAGTGAGGAGGGAGACCAGCTCCATTATTTTTGGTGAATTGCCTGATATGAAAGGGCTGCTAATTTCAGAAGGCAGGGGTCCTGCCCACTAGGTAGGCTGCTGGGGATGGGAAGAAGCACAGGTCTGAGCATCGACAACCATGGTGCCAGCAGAGGTCCAAGCACAGATGTCCATCTGACACCATGACATAAGTTCTCATTGGGGTCCCACTCATCTGCGTCCTGTGGATCCTCAAGGATACTTAGCTAGTGAGTCTCTCTGGGTCAAAGTAAAGGGTATCACTGTTTTGGGGGTGGTGACCTCACATTCATACTGTGTGAAGATGAACAGTATATAACAAGCCCTTCAACCCTCCCCTACCACCTCATCTGGTGGCTCCAGAGGGTCTCCCAAAAAGATATGCAGCTATGAATATTTCCACCTACAAAGCCCAATTAGGCCAGGTACACACACCAGTGTCCCCTCATTAACAACTGCAGCAGTTCCACATAAAAGGGAAACAGAAAACAAAGTATTTATTTATTTGAAATTATCCTACCTAACGGGTCTTAGCTTGATCTCTTCTAATTCCTTCTGGATGGCCTAAAAAGTATAAGAAACAGTCTGTTTAAATATACAAGTCTATATACTAACTTTTCATAAAATCATACACTTGATTAAATACACACACATGCACACACACATACACACACAAATCCCACACTTATATGGGAATTGTCCCCCTTTTGAATTGCACCCCCTTAATTCCAAGTCCAGACCTGTTTATTGGCTGGCAGGTGGGGTATGTCTATTTTATTTTTCCAAGTAAACTTTAGAAGATACAATATATATTCAGAAAGGCTGACAGGTCACATAAGAACAGCTTGATGGATTTTCAAAACAGTTCCTATTAACGGAAACCCAGGCCAAGAAGGAGAGGTTGCCATCATTTGGGGGAAGTATTTTTTAAATGTGGAAGGACAAGGGAAAGGAAGTAACAACTTTATACATGAAGATAGTATATACTGATATGATCTGCTCGAAGATACAGATGGCAATACTGCACTAAGTTGAATGAATGTGTCTGTTCAAACAGTAACCCAACAGAGGCCAGAATCATCACAGCTTAAATATAGGATACTGCAAGTACAAAATGAAATGAATGCTAGACTCCTAGCAAGTGACTAGCCCTTTCCTTCCCCTCGGTACCATGGAAACATATGATGCACTAATGAAATGAACTCACTGATTTTAACACTGTCAAAACACAGTAGCTAGTCTGAGAGCCCCAAAGAGTAGTACCACGTCTAACCCAGGTCAGTTATGTTTTCCTATTTAGTTCAACAAATACACCATATCTGATGACTGGCTCTGTGTGAAGCATTCATGAAACATGGAGCCTGAATCTAAGCACTCCATAAATCCTATGGCTTAGGTCAGTGCAAACATCTTACACCTCCTTCCTCTGCTTTTACCAACATCTTGTCATAATACACTTTCTTACTAGAAAATTAATCAAGAGGTTCAGATCCTTCATTATCCCTCTAACGACAACCTACAGCCTTTTGTGTAGGTTGTGTGACACTGAGAAGCAAGGACTCTGGAATAGGGCATGGCTAGAGGCTGCCTGAAACCTGGAGAGCTGGCCTCTTGCTCTTGCAGTGAGGCTGACCCCTGACTGACACACGGGCTCAGGCTTTCCTGTCAAAAAGTCACCTCATAACAAGTGAGCCAGAAACATTTTTGAAACATTAAAGCAAGAAAATGGTACTACCAAGGGAAAAAGGCACAGTCAGAAATATATATTTAATTTTATAAAGGAAAGCAGCAAAAACCCTAAAAGAAACACTTTAAAGTTATTAACTTGAAAACATTAACTGCAGTTGACTTTCTCTTATCAAAGAATTCACTCTGCTGGGGATATAATTAATGGGTAAAAAATAATACCTCAGATTTTTCTGTCAGTTTTCTAAGAATATCTTCCACGCTTGAGATGCGCAGCTCATGTTCTTGCTGGAAAGTCATAAAGTCCGCCTTGAAAAGGAAAATAGATGAACAAATGATAAAGTTAAGCAACAAACAAAATCTAGCAAATTAGACCAAGTTATCTCTATATAGACTATCCCAAAATTAGAGATTTGGTTACAACTTGGCATAGCAAACACTCGAGGGAGTAATCCACTCGTGGCTTTATCTTCATTTCTAAAATTAGGGATCTTAAACCTCTGCTGAAATGCACAAATAGCTTTTCTAATTATGTATGAATGTTAATAAAGTCCTATAATGACCAGGAAACAAAATCAATTACTCTTCATAGAAGAAATATTCACTAGGCACCCACTACGTTTAGTGATTTAAAGTAAAAGAACTATGGATATAGATGCATAACATACGTATTCCTATCTCAGTCTATTCATACGAAAAAAGTGATACACAAACATTTATTAGGAACAAATGAACTAGAACATTTACCCAGAACACTTGATAATACCATTCAGAACAGAGTTTATCATATATCAAGTGGTTTATTATGCAATTAAACAGGCAAGTTACTGTTCTGACTTGGTGAGAAAAGCGCTCATCAAATCATCAATAAGGAAAAAAAATCAGCTTTTCAAACATGAGCTGACTATTGGAAAAATAATAGTTTAACATAATTCTACTGATTTCTTCATCAGTTTTCAGAAGACAAAACTACAGTAAGATTATCAGATATATTACCTGGTATGGAAGTGAATACACTCACTAGGAAAGTCTCAGGAAAAAAAAAAAAAATCATCACTGCCAATTATATAATCAAAGGGCAATAATTTAGGTGAGGACAAACATGGCCAAACATATTGTGCATTCTGAATGACTAAAATCCAGATCAGAGATAGAAAGAGAGTAAAATATGTTTATTAAAGGGAATTTCATTTATTAATTTATACCCCATCTTATTCCAAAATATAACCACAATGATTTATAAAAATTCACTTTAAAAGTATGTTTAAAAAAGGATAAGTCAGAGTAAAAAGATAAAGGTCATTTAGAAAGATGAACCCATGATGTTGATATGTGGAAAGAGCAGACACTGAAGTCAGCTGTGAGATTCCTCACTGCCAAGACTCTCCCTCTCTCCAGCTGCATAGTCCTACATAACCCAGTACATAATGAAAGGGGCTATATGTGAGCTGTCCAATATTGTAGTCACCAGCCACATATGTTGCTGAGCCACATATGTTGCTGGCTACTGCAAATGAGAAACTAAATTTTATTTAAATTTACACTAAATTTTTTAACTTTAATTTTAAACTAAATTTTATTTAATTTTAATTTAAATTTACACAGCTACATGTAACTAATGGCATGCTCTACTAGACAATGCAAATATTGTATTATATACACACCAATGGCTCACAGGAGACATTAACAGAATGTGAATTATCGGGTAATTAGAATACTTAACCCTAGTGTGTGGCTGCTTCAGGAGAATTCTGTTCTGCTTGAGGAATACTATCATAATCATACCTGCACACAGGTAAATACTGGAAGATGGTATAAGAGAATGGGTTAAATCCATACTAAGTGAATCTAACTTAGAATCTAATTTTAAAATGCATCCAGGCTGCATAAAACAGAAGGTAAACATTTTCTTTTTCTTAACAAGTGTAATCTGTTTGTAAGAGGGGGCAAATGAACCATAACTAAAGCTGCCAGCTCACAACTATCTTTAAATTTTTTTTTTTTTTTTTTTTTTTTTAATACACATCATCCCCGTTGGGGGTGAGACTATCTCAGGCTGCCTCTGCTAAGAAGTGTTTAATGTCAATGTGCTTCCCGGTGTGACTCCATGCTCTTTCAGCACACTGTTGCCTATTGGGAGAAGACTCAGTGAGCTGTCGCCTCAAGAATTCCAGCAGGGTTCTTTTTTGATCCAGCATCTATTTTTAAGATGGAATAGTTACAATTCTTCCTATTTTGCAATATTTTCAAAGAAACAACAAAGTTCAGATTCACCCTCTCCATATACAAAGTTGTTAAATGGCTAGCTATGTTAACTGGATCGTACTGAAATCATTTCAATTTTATGGCTGAGAAATTTTAAAAAAATAACTATTGAGGAATCAGTACAGAAAACCAAGTGTCTTTTGAGCAGACAGGAAAACTTCAAGCATGTAGATCAGGCAACTATAAGCTCAGAGTCCCTTCATACTATCAGTATATCACAGTGAAAAAAAATAGCCATGTGCCTCAGGCCATCGCAGAGTCATAAATTAATTTATTCAACAAATAATTCAACTATTAAAAGTACAACCAGTCCTCACTGCAGTGCCTCTCCTGCATTTTGTGCCCCAGAGGAAAACAAAACACCCAAGAACCTCTTAGTATTACCTGAGAGCCCAACAGTCCATCAGCATTAATTCCCTTTAGGTGCTGTCTCACCACATCTTTAACCAAGGACAGTGTGCCTTCACTACCACTGTCCATCTGGTCCACCCGCATTTGTAATTTCTGAAGCAAAACTGTCAGTTCTGTAAGTTTCTCCTCATGGTTGTGACACTGTCCATACAAAGACGTCATCCACCTTTCCACTTCACTCATCTGATGCTTGGTAAAAGTCCCACCCTAAAATGGAAAGAAATTAACGACAGCGATACAGATGAGCAATTAGACCCGGACTAAAGTAACCTTAAGCAGAGAATAAGTAAAAATAAAAAACAGAATATTAAGGTAAAATATTAACTACAATGTACACAAACACACTAAAAAAAAAGAAATATTTTCATGTATTAGTGATTTTTCTTGCATGACAATGAGTAGTTTTATTTTTTTCTCTATATTTTCCAAAGAAATTAATACTATGTTTTCAGTTCAAATTTACTTAATAAGATTACTTATAATATGTATTATTTCAACTACTTCAGAATATTTAAGAAGCTGTAAGACTTGCTTATTTGACCTTTAAAAATATTTTCTAAAACAGTATACCCAACTACCCTATTCACTAGTAGTAAGAAAATTTACTCTGAAGAATACATATTTACAATGGAAGGAATGAGAACTTTCTAAGTGATTACCTCTGGAGGCTGGTTCAGGTGAGAAGTGTCTGGTGTGAAAACGTTCCTAGGATCATCTACCCTCTGTGTTCTGTACATGTCTGTCCAGTTTAACACAGGTAGGAATGAAAGGAAACCACTCTGGCCCCACAAGGAAAGGCCTGCACCTTAAAGGAGAGAAAAATTGTGTACACATATACTTACACTGCTTCTCAAAATATATATAAATGCTTCATTCTTTCACTAATGTACACATATATTAAAAATGGTACTAAGACAAAGTTTACGTACCTAGTAAAAGTAACAGTGGAATGAGCAAGATTAGAAACTTGCAAATATTTCGAAGGCACCTAGGAATAAAAAAGAAAACAATAACTTGGAAAAAGTAAAAGGCAGGTTCTACATTCCCTTTTACCCCTCTAGATAATTTTATACAAAATGCCCCTTCACCCCATTTAAAAATGGGAGTCCATAGTATCAGAAATGCAGTTACTGTTTTATGTATAAGGTGAATGAATATACACCTATAAATGCTGTCTCTTGGGTCTACCTCAACCCATGTTAATCAAACATACTTGTATTCTAGGTGTCATGCTAGGAACTACAGGAAGGGCACAAAAAGTCTGGGGAAGTAAACCAGAACAGGAATCCAGGACTGGACTCTAGTCTAGATCATATCCCTTCTTAGCTGAGTAAACTCAATGCATTATTTCACCTCTGCACACTTCTGTTTTCTTTAAGAATGATATCCATCTTTCCTATCTCACAGGAGTGGTTTGAAATTGAACAAGAATATAAAAGCATTTTGAAAAATATGAGGTAATAAATACAACACATTAATATACCAAACTACAAAAACTATTTAAATAACAGCTAAATCATCCTGTAATTAGCAAAAAAGGAAAAAAAATCAGTTCTTTAAAACACCAAGTTGGGGACTCCCCGGTGGCGCAGCGGTTGAGCGCTGGGTTGCGGGGCTGCCCGCGGCCTCTGCAGTGCCGGTTCGATCCCCGGCTGCTCCCCGGCCACCGGAGGAGGGTCCCACATGGCGCGCAGACCTCTCCTGCCGCCCGCTGCTCCCCTCAGCAGTGTACTTCGGTCCCTCTGCCTGCTCTGCTCCCCGCTCTGGCTCTGGTGAATTCTCTCACCCTCCCGCGCTTCTGACTGTACCCAGTGCTTGTATAAATAAATAAATGAATCTTTAAAAAAAAAAAAATTCTAATTAAAAAAAAAAATAAAATAAAACACCAAGTTGATGTGATATCAATTTTCTTACCTAGTAAGAAGAAATACATTCAGCCAAGAAATTAAAGTAACAAACTGGTACCATCCAATCCCTAGCCACCAGAATATTCCAGAGGCTGCCTTCCCTAAAAAAGAAAACACCAAATATTCTAAGGAAATGTTTTTAGGAAACCAAACTCCTAAATGCACTGTTTTTGTGAAGGCCAAGCTAGAAGCACAAGGAAATTTACTAACAGTTATTTTGAAAGTATATTATGACGAAGTTAGGGATGAAGAATGTTAACATAATTCAGTTATTATAGCAGGAATACCCATACACTTAAACACAGAAACATAATACATAAACCACAGAGCAAATGTGATGCTGACAGATGCACAAGAGGAAACACCAAATTCATGCATTCTCAATTACATTAAAATCCAGCAGCTAGCTTCACACAAATACAATACCAAAGAAACAAGAATGTTCATGCAACTGAAAGTATAGTATGTTAGTATTATAAGGAATAAAGAATAAAACATGTTACATCAAGGAGCAAAGTATACAACCCTAAAATGAAAATTTTACTTGGTTAGGTAAGTCATTTATGCAGGTGCTAATAACTGCCCAAAGCCTTGGAGCAAATGTTAACACAGAAAGCCAGATAACCACCTGGAGCCATCATGGCCAACCAGAGAACCGACAGCATCGTCTTCAACATAGACCATCCCGCAGCTCCAATCCTTTGCAGTGTTTGCAGCAAGAAGTAACCTATGACATATTAGATGTGCAGGAGAGGCACACTCAGACACACACACCAGAATGCCAGGTCTCCATTTACAGCAGGAACTCCCATTAGTACACACTACCAAAAATCCTCTCACACTATTAAGTCAAGAGTCTCTTCTCAAAACAAAAATATTCAACAAACTATGTTAGGTCGAAGTAAGATACTAAAATAAGCTTATGAAAACCCAGCTGCACATGTGACTAGTCTTCACTCACCTCTCTCTGCATGAGATATTTAAAACATTAAAAATTAAAACATCAGTCTTACGAAATCCAAAGGCTGGTTGCCAGCAGCTACCCTACACATCTTTCTAGATCATGTTAGCAGAATTTATACTGGAAAGAAATGCAATACTTTGAAACAAATAAAATTCCATAGAAACAGTTAACAAGCTCTAAGTGAGACAATGATTACACACAGACCAAAATGAAAGTCATTTTAACAGTTAATATTTTCTAGGGATGAAGTATTTTGGAATGTTTAATGATAGAACCACTGGATGACACAATTTAACAACAAACTTTATATCAAAATCATACATTATATATAAAGCAAGAAACTGCTTATGAAATCAGTTTTCTTTCTTTTTTTAAGAGTAATTGTTGAAAGTTGTATTAGCACTTGCCTGTTGATTCCTAAGACTATTAAGGAACACCAACATGGCTGATATGCAAAGAAATATATAGTTGAAGAGTTTTTTTTAAAGCTATTGCTTTACATTTAATAATAGTTGAGACAACTATCTTTGAAGCTCAACTTTTTTTACAAAGTCACCTAAAAAGGTACCTCTTTACCAAGAAGCTTACATGTGTAAACTGGAGAACATCTAATGTTTTATGTAAGTCTCCTTGTTGCACAGGTCTAGAGCACACATAACATCACCACAGCAATAAGCAGCAGTGTATTTCCCAGCAACAGGGCACAGGGTCAGGCAGCTTCATGTTGAGGTAACACTCCACAGGAGGGTGACCAGCCTTTTCTAAACGTTTAATTTCACATCAAATAAGCTATTTTTTGTACGTTTAATGTTTACTAAATATATTTACAAAGAACTTTTTCAAAAGAGATACTGTCCATAAATTCAAGTTAGTATCACTCCTCTGTTTTTAAGGAGCACTTGAATTCCAAATACAAACTAAGCAAGGAACAGCAAGCACAGGTGAAGAATGTGATAAAACAAAGTATAATGGTGCAAGAAACAACCTGCATAAGAAAAGATGTGCCAAGTGGCCCCTGCTCCCAGTTTTGGCTGTGAAGACTGCAGGTAGATGGCCGTGTGTGTTTCAAGATGCTTCTGCCCCTTACAGTCATCGCCTGTGGGTGGTGGTGACAAGCAGTTAATTTGACAGATTAATAAGCAAATCTTGTCAATCTCAACTGTGCACAGTAATGGCAGTTTGGAAAAATTAGGAGACTGAATTACACAAAAAAAGCAAACACAATCTGGTGGTTATCAGCTTCTAATACAGAGGGTTTATAAACAGCTCTTCCAGCCTGTCTTAATTGGTACAGGGCCTTGTATTCATGCTAGTCATTCATTCTCTATTATTAACAACCTAATATTACAACCTGTGGGGAACATTTCAAGACCCAGAGTTTCACATGTGAAATGAAGCCATACTTACACAACGACTCCCCATTCACACTGAGGTGGCCTTGCTCTCCGACAAACTCTTTTACATTCATTCTCCCACAGTAATTGGAATGAGCTGCAATACACGCAAAAGAGGCTTAGAAACTCAACAATGCCAAGTTCAAATGCTTCTCAGATTCCAATGAAGCCAGCTTGGTCAAAGAGGAGGCGAGGCTGACCACCTCCACTTTCAGGATAGTTGATGGCACAGACAATGCAGGTGATTATAGGTGACAGAGGCCTGCTTAATATAGTTTGACCCACCTGGCTAAATGCACCCAATTAATACAACACAACGATGGGCCTGTTTAAAATTTTTTGGAAATATCCTCATCAAATGCCATTCAAATAAATTATTTTTTGCTTTAAAAAGATAGGAAGAATCAAAACTTGAGTATATTAACTTTATTTCAAAAGTGACTTAAAGATGTTTAAAAACGGATCAACTTTCACAAAACTGAATTATATACAAAACACATTAAAACTTTCATAAGCGCCCTTCTAGAAAGGTCCAAAGAAAGCAGCCACAGAGAGTCGCATTGAGACCGAAAGAGAAGAAACATAAATCAAGCGCCACATAGGGAAAGTAGTGTTTTCTCCACCTTGAAAGCATTATTTGGTGGAAAAAGGAGGAAAAAATTATTTAAATACCTTTTGATTCATGGCTTTGTGACTTATAGCTTTTTGAGTCACGATCTTTTGATTCATAACTTTTCAATTTGTAATTTTCTGATTCATAATTGAGCTTCATTAAAACCACTTGAAAAAGTTGAACTAAGAATGATGAGAAAGATGACGAAGTGTACTTGGCCAGCCACAAAATCCTATCCATGTAGAAAGATGCACCGCCTATCAAAAAACCGTGAACACAGTTACTTCTTCCCACAGAGCCAACATTTACTTCCCTGGTAAGTCACTCAAATTATTCATTTCAGGCACAGTAGAATCAACTTTTAATATGGACACCAGCGACAACTTGAAAGAGTCATAATGACAATGAATGGCACTCTGCACACATTCCACACTGACAGGCAGAGCTATAAACCGCTACAGACAGCTACCAACACCAAGTCTTTAAACAGCAATCGACAAAATATCCAATTTGAGATCATTTCACCCCAATATTGTTTTCACATACACTACAACATTTAGATACTACCAAACAGTCACTCCCTTACCTGATTCTCTAGCCCTCCTCCCCTCCCTGCACCTCTTTATTGCCCCTCCTGGCAAATTCAGGACATATGCTGCATTTAAAACAGGGAACAACGGAAAACTAAGTGATCATTTGAAGGGCCAGTAAAATTCAGCTGGAAACACAGGACTTGCTGCTAAGATATGGCCCTTCCACTTATTCTCCCAGCTCAGCAAAACTGCAGTGATTTTAGAATATATGGCATAGGCCAGCTTGAACTGGTGAAGTCTGAGTTGGAATATCTTTAAAGAAATAATTCGAAATTTTTTCTCCCCAAATAAACTTAGTGAAGTAGTAAGTTATTTGCAAATTGGAATCTTGTTTCAAAAACATAAACCTGGGGCTATTAGTGCCAAACATTAGTGCCAAATTTGTTCCAAACTCTACACATCTTCGTGTTTCCATTGCAGTATATACTTTATACAGATTGATAAAAATGGGCAAAAAAATCTTTTAAGAGGTAATGCATGGTCAGCTTCACTGATAATCAAAAACAGTGAAATTACATTTCCATCCATCAAAGTAGCAAAATGTTAAAAGAGTAAAAATACAAAGAACAGGGAAGAGTATATAGAACAGGGACATTCATGTTGCTAGAGTGCAGGGGGAAATGTGGGTCTGTTTTTGGAAGTCAACTGGAAGAATTTATTGAAATTGAAATCGCATATAACCTTTGCTCCTTTTTAGCAGTGACAATTATTTATGTAGAAGTTGGTGGTCAGAACAGTTTTAAAAATATATTGTAGCTGCTAGTTATGGTTTCTTCAGGAGAGTAGCCTCAGTCAGAACTGCTCATCCCCAATGCTGATCATTATTAGTATCTTAACCGCTCAAGCTGCTGACCTGCTCATAGTTGTTTCTGCAGTCAAATGGACCTTCCGCAGCTCTTCAGTAACATTTTCCTACATTGGCTGGTTTGCCACATTATTTCCAAAGTCTCTTCATTCATTTACCACAGCAGCAGATACTTACACCTTTATTTTTCTAAAGCTTTAGGCAGGCTCAGTAAGAAAAATTTTGCTCTAAGCCAGCAAAACAGCTGAAAAGTTCTCACAGAAATGACCTGTCTATTTTAAGGTGACTTACATTTCCTTGGGAGTAAGTGCTGCCTCTGGCAGGAAGGAGAATACAGAGAAGCCTGCTTTCCTGCGGGCACTTCTGTGTGAAACGAGCAACTCAGGCCAGTCTCTGGACCCAGTAAGGAAAGGGTGTGTACCTGACAGAGCTGGTCTTCCATGCCTTCAACTTTCATGCATCCTCTAGAGGATCTAATCCTCAAGGGAGAATTTAATTTGTCCATCTGCATACATCTCATCAGCACCCTGCTTTGCTGAGGACTATTCAATGTCCCAAGGACAAGACCTAACATCTTTTAAAGCCTTTTTGATATGAACTAGAAAATCATGTTCTGTCAAGCGTGTACTCAAGCGCAGGGTTCAAGTGGGACACACATTGTAACACATCTATTCTAACCTTGACTCTAGGGGAAGATTTGCATGTGTGCATAAATATACACATGGCAACACACCCAAATAAACAGTCTTTAATAATGTACAAACAGAAAACACTTGAAAGTCCATTTAGACACTGATTTAACCTTAAGACAGGCGCACAATGAAGCTATAACCAGTCACTGCAGCATGAGTTTGATCCCCAGCCAGGGAGATTCCCACATGGCACAGCAGACCTCCCCTGTCTCTCCCACTGCTCCCCTCAGCAGTGTATTTCAGTAGCTCTGCCTGTTCTGCTCCCCACTCTGTCTTTGGTGAATCCTCTCACTGACTCCTCCCCCACACCTCTGGCCTACACCCCAGTTCTTGTATGCATAAATAAAATTTAAAAAATTAAATTTTTTAAAATATTTATTTATTTATACAAGCACTGGGTACAGTCAGAAGTACGGGAGGGTGAGAGAATTCATCAGAACCAGAGCGGGGAGCAGAACAGGCAGACTGACAAAATACACTGCTGAGGGGAGCAGCGGGCAGCAGGAGAGTCTGCGCGCCATGTGGGACCCTTGCCTGGCGGCCAGGGATAGAACTGGCCCTGCAGAGGCTGGGGGCAGCTCCACAACCCAGCGCTCAGATGCTGCGCCACCAGGGGAGGCCCAAAAAAAAAATTAATCTTAACATAATAAAACAGAAGATATTGCAGAACCACATATATACTATGATGGCACTTAAGATAAAAACAAACTACATATTTCCATAGGTAGACAAAAGCAAAATTCAGGTGGCGCTTCATCACACTGTTAATTATATACTTTAAAATGGTTAACTGGTTAATTTTATATTATATGAATTTTATACCTCATTTTAAAAAGTAGGAATAGTATGGAACTACTCCCATTACCAGTGGTTACCTCTGGAAGGGAAACTAAATAAGGATGGGGGAAGGACTTACTTTATCTATTATTTAAAGATTTTGTCAAGAGAACGTAAACACAAAAATAAAGAAAATTTGTGTGTGAGAAAGTTAACTTATGCTTGAGAAAAGCTGTGCATATTTTATCCCATTGATGTTCAAGGATCTGTGAGTATCAGCATTACACCAAGCAACAATTTATGCAAAGTGCTTCATTCTAAGAATGTGATGTTCAACTTAACAATGGCAGAACTCAAAGCAAAGTCTCATAAACCTAATACTGGGAATCTTTGTGCAGATATGCTGACTTTGGTCAGGTGCTGAGCCCCAGGCTCCCCCTAGTCAGTGAGCATGCAGTGAGCAGGGAGCACCTTCGGGGTCAATCACCCTGGACATAAAGACACCTGGGTACAGGTCTGAGCTCCATCACTTCCAGCAAGTCTGTAAGCTCATTAAAACCTGTAAGCTAGTGAAGGCCTGGATGTCAATCTGTAAGCTAGCGAAAGCTCAGAGTGCCAGTCTATAAATGGGACTGCTGTGAGGGTTAATGAAACAAGCATGCAGAAGTGGACGAGTGTCAGTGATGCTGATTTCCACTCAAGCAGGATGCAATCCAGAGAGTGCTATAAAGGAAATGCCACCTCCTCTCCCACCTTTCTACCTTCCAATTTTGTTACACTAATGCCAACATTGTCAATCAACACTATAGGAGACAAAGCCAGAAGTTGTTCTAGTCACAAGGATATGTTAAAATGAAAATAACCCTTAGCACTGGTGTTACCCTTCATTATATCAAAACAGTCATTGAAAAATATTAACAGTCATTGAAAAATATTAACCCTGCCCTCCTGGTGCCTTCCATCCCCAGCTCGTCCATCAGACCAAGCAGGTCTGATGGTCCAGCCAAGATGACTAGTACTAGGATTAAACAGACAAGGTGCAAAGTACTCAAAAACAAGGTGGAGCACATTTCAAACCAAGGGCTCCCCCCTAGCTTCTCTGACTGTCATGGTGGGCAGTGGTCGGGCCAGGAAGTCATGGAAGGACATCCTGGTCATGCAATGGGAACTGGAAGGGGATCTGTAGCTATGCTTTTCCTGGGGACTCAGTAACAAGACCAACTCAGTGCCACCTGAGCAAAGATCAGGCCCCTACAGACCTACCTAGAAGGGCTTAGACAGGCTCCACTCACCCACCTTCAGACCCCGCCTCTGAGGACCTCCATGTTCAAGGACTCTGAAGTCCACCTCTGCCAGTTAATGGGGAACCATGGCTACACTCTGGAACTCTCTCTGCAATGAATTGCCATCCCAGACATTCCCCCACCCAGTCCCTGTACATTCCTGCATCACTATCCCCAAATTTGAAGTCCCCACAGCCATTAATTCTCACGGCAAAAATAAGAGCCCACAGTAATGTTTTCATTGTCATAAACACCTTAGGTGGCAGAAGTCATAGAGTTACTTCTTAGGTATATGTGAATGTGATACTTCATAAAAAGAGGAAGCACCTGAAAGGACTGCACATTCAAGTTTCATTCAATTGGAATTTTCTTATGCTTACCTAAGTTCAAAATTTAAAGTTGAACTATAAAGTTCAAATTTATAGATTTTTAGACACCTCTAGGTATAAAAATACTAACCACATAATATATAAGTTGAAAGAGAACGTGGAGGATCAAAGTTAATTTTTGGTGAATTTCCTCAACTTTTATAGGATAATTTTGAGTTCAAGTCTATGACAGAAGTGGTGCAGATGCTAAGGCTTGCAGAACCAGGTTTATAAAAGGGAAATATTTGGGCACAAAATCTTGTAACTTAAAAAACTGAGACTTACGTTTCTGAGTTCTATCTCTGGAGTAAATTCTGGAAGCCAGTGGGGCATGGGGCGTGGAGTGCACGGTGAGCATGTCCCTGCGCTCAGATAGCATGCTGCAGTCACTGCAGGTGTAGCCATTGCTCTTTGTGGCTGCTGCCCCTGCAGCCAGATCACCATTCCCCTGATTGGCAGCTTTATTTCCACCTAAAGTTTTCAAAAAGTAGGTGGAACCTGTTTATCACAATCTGCAGATACCGAACTACAACTTCTAACTTGAAAGTTAGAAGTCAGAAAGTTAGAAAGAAAAATGACTAAATAATTACCTTTAATATCTCCATCATCATCAAGACCTGAAAAACACACACACACACATTTTGGCTGTTGAGCTCAAATTATCAAGACAAAACCCCCAAACAAACAAAAATAAAGGTTACAGCGTTTAGTCAACCAGCATTATGACATTGGTCAACATTTATTTTACAAAACGCCTAGAGTTTAATGAAAATTTCTCCATATTATTCAGACACTATCTTGTGACTCAAGGTGAAAATATGTCTTCACAAATACTTATACACATGCACATGTGCACACATGGAACTAAGAAGGCAGGCAGAGGATGAGGAGACTGAAGAGAAAAGCAGCAACAGCACCCACTTCCTCTGTTGCCTGGTGACTACTGCTGCTATCTGAGCAAAGCAGAAAGAACGTGAATTCCAATGCTTCCCAAATTAGCACATATAATTTCTGGAACTGATCTGTATCTTCTAATTCTTTCAAAAGGGCCAATCAGAACATGAAGTAAACAGTTCTGTCAAAGCTGTACCCACATCTCCCCTTGAGATGTTTTCAGCAGCAACAACAGGGGATCAATGTTGCTTCTTTAAGTAGAATCAGCTTACAAGTCGCATCATTTCCTAGTGTCAATCTGTCTATAATGGGCACTTTACAATAACTAAAAAAAAAAAAAAACCTGTCTTGTTGCTGAGAGCTTTCTGGAACTTGAAATCACACTGGTAAATTTTTATAAAGTTTGCCTAAACATCCTACAAAAGAAATGTATTTAGAAAAACAGTTATCAGATTACTCCCTGACCCTTAATCCTTCACCTCATAACACAAAACTATGCATTAGCATAGCCAAACAAGGCAACAGTCAGGACCAGCCTCCCTGCACTTCCTATTTGAATCTAGAGGAAAGCCTGGACCTTCCTAGGTTCCTCCCACCCGGTAAGGGGCAAAGGGACAACAACCTGTCCATAATCTCCCTTTTTCTAGAACTATCTGAGAAACAACCAAACCATGGATACAGCTTCTGAATCTCCGGTAACTCACCCCAGAAGTGGGCCACTTTGGTCTGCTCACGGATGAGAGACTCATCCAACACAGGAGGCCGCAGACATGCTTCAGCCTGCAGCCCGCCAGAGCTGCTCTGGCTGACAGCCGAGGACACTGCCCTTCTTGAGGTGTGGTTCATGCTGAAAGGCGTTCTGCCTGCACCTCTGCGCTGTTTTGCTGTTCTAAAAAGAAAGAAATAAGAAACAGCTTTATAAACTTTCTCTAGTAAATAAAAATGCTCCCATTTTGGGCCTCCCCAGTGGCGCAACGGGTTGAGCGCGGCACTGTGGGGCTGTCCGCAGCCTCTGCAGTGCGGGTTTGACTCCTGGACAGCCAGGGAGATTCCCACATGGCACAGCAGCCCTCTGCAGTGTCTTCGGTCCTTATGCCTGTTCTGCTCTCCGCTCTGTCTCTGATGAATCCTCTTACCCTCCCGTGCCTCTGGCCTGTTCTCCAGCTCTTGTACAAAAATAAATAAATCTTAAAAAAAAAAAAAAGTTCCCATTTTATCAATACAAAATCTTTGAGGATAAATACAGAATATTGAAGGTCATCTTTTCTTATGTCTTTTCTGCTATAAGTAAACATGTATTTAATTTAAAAAATGAATTCCTTAGCTGGGGGTCCACAAACTCCTAAAATTGCATACACAGGGCCTCCCTAGTAGTGCAACGGATTAAGCACAGCACTGTGAAGCAATTCACAGCCTCTGCAACATGAGTTCGATCCCCAGTCGGCCAGGGAGCTACCCACATAGCGCAGCAGATCTCTCCTGTCCCACCTACTGCTCCCTGCAGCAGTGTATTTCAGTTGATCTGCCTGGTGAATCCTCTCACCTCCACCACCCCCCGCATCTCTGGCCTGTCTCTCAGTTCTTATATGCATAAGTAAATAAATCTTAAAAAATAATAATAATAAAATTGCACACACAAAATAGTCTCAGGTTTTTGGGCCCCATGACCTAAAAGTGGTTAAAGAATAAAATAATCTGAGAATAAAAAAGATCTAAAAATGAAAAATTACATTATTTATAAATTTAACCCCTTCCCCCTTTTAAAACAAGTAATAGCTCATACCCACATATGTTGTACTATTTCTCAATCTTTAGTAAAATGGAATCACATTCAGTGTAGGAAGGAAAGGGTATAATCTGAAATCACTTCTGCATCTATAAACACCACAAATAACAAAGAGAAAGTCCTCAAAAACAAATACTTTAGGGCCTCCCCTGGTGGAGCAGCAGTTGAGCGCTGGGTTGCGAGGCTGCCCGCAGCCTCTGCAGCACCGGTTCGATCCCCAGCTACCGGGCGAGGGTCCCACATGGCGTGCATACCTCTCCTGCCACTGCTCCCCTCAGCAGTGTACTTCTTCATCAGTCTGCTTGTTCTGCTCCCTGCTCTGAGTCTGGTGAATTCTCTTACCCTCCCGTGCTTCTGACTGTACCCAGTGCTTGTATAAATAAATAAATAAATCTTAAAAAAAAATATTTTATGAAAAATTCAGCATCAAGTTAGGTCATGGGGAGAGACAGGCAGGCTCTTCAAGAGTCTCATCACCAAAGAACAAAAACCAGGATTTCTGTCCTATCTCACCATAGGCAGGGATCGCACACCAAGTTATACCTTGGATTTACTGGATTCTAAAAGAACTCCTTCATGAACCTACTCCAGAGAAACTCCAGGGCTGAGGTCCAGGAATGTAACTGCGTAAACAAACCCTGCAGTTGTCTGTCATTCACAGAAACTATGGTAGGGGCACGGCTACTGACACCTACCTGGTATTACCTAAGTGTCAGGATCCCCCATCCCCACTCCTCCAACTCCATCTTAATAGCCTCCACCCCGTTCTTGACAGAAAGACAACAGTCCAAGATTGGAAATTCATCATTTCTATATGAGCAACAGAAAGTAAAGTTGCTACTTATTTCTAAATGGCACAAAATTTCAGACACTTTTGCTCCTTGAGCACAAAAAGGGTGATGAGTGTATGGGAAATTCGGAAATCCAACAAACACAATAGACATAAGTATTTCATACATATGACAGTTCACAAAGATTTTAATAACACACTTAAATCATTAACAATACAGAGATCTTCTACAATGCCATGTGATTATTTGGTGAGATTCCTTCCCTCAAACAACATTGAGTAGGACAGCAGAAGTTTAATCCCTGCTACAAAGATAAAGCTTTCTACACTGTGAATCTTGCCACTATATATAAAGCTGTGTCCATGCTACAAGTTGTCCACATCCCTCTCTAGTTTGCTCCTAAGCAGAGAACTTGAAAACCTTAACTGCAGAACATCAACACCAAACAATCCAAGAAATAGCTTGCCCTTAGTTATGGCAAAATTATGACTTTATATGTACATCTGTGTTCAAGAGAGTGTGGTTTTACAAATCAAAGAGCTCATGTGCTTGGTTTTAACTGGCCCTAGAATGGATATAATAAAAAGGAAGCAGCGCTCACCTGGTGGTCACTCTGTCCTTGAGAGAGGTGGAGCTGCTAGCATGGGTATGAGCAACCTTAGCCTGGCCATCTTCGGTGGAATATGCTGTGGTGACCAGGCGCAGACTACGGCGAGACATTCTTGGAGAATCAAATACGGGATCCAATTTATGCTCAGTCTCAAAGTCCAGAGCATCAGAAGAATAACTAGAACTAGAAGGGGAAAAAACTTTGTCAGAGAAATGATGCTTGTGGCAGCACTTCTAAAACAAATAGAATAATGAACAGAATGTATAATCTATCATGAACTTAAACAGCCATTACTGCATGAGGAAGCAGAACAGAAGCAGCTTGGTATCCAAATCCATACAGGACTGGAGCTCATTATAAATGTTCTACTTGTTCTGACAAACACAGACATGAAGTCAGGTATTAAAGTGCAGAGTTTACCCTAAAAAGTGCTTTAGGAAATGCCACATTCTTGACAGTTCTTACACTATGCCAACATTATAAAGAAACCAGAATACATTTACTAAGTTCCAGCCATTTATTAAGTGGCTGATAAGACAGCCAATGAGATATGAATGTGACAAGACATTTATTTTGACCAATGGCATGGTGTTAAATGAATCAATGTGAAGAAACAAGAAAAAAGCAATACTATTTTGCATCTAACTTACCATAAAGTAAGACAAACTTGGGACAATGCCTTTCCATGTAATTATCTTTTTTTTTTTAAAGATTTATTTATGTATACAAGAGCTGGGATGCAGGCCAGAGGTGCGGCAGGAGCCAGGGGAGGGGATGAGAGGATTCACCAGAGACAGAGTGGGGAGCAGAACAGGCAGATTGACTGAAATACACTGCTGAGGGATGCAGCAGGAGAGACAGGAGAGGTCTCCTGTGCCATGTGGGTAACTCCCAGGCAAGGGCTCAAACTTGTGCTGCAGTGGCTGCTGATAGCTTCATAGTGCTGAGACTTAACCCCTTGCACTACCAGGGAGGCCGCATGTAATTATCTTAAACTAAAAGATTAATCCTTTTGTGCTGTTAGCAAGTTTTCCAAATCAAGAAACATGAATTAGGCACCTATTTTGTATCTCTGCTGGGGTGAGGATCATACCCTTGATCTGACCAGACAGTCTGGGTGCCCAAGTGGAACTAACTGCATTCCTTTCACTCAAGACACAAATGACTGGATGCCCAGTGAGATATTCCTATCCATGGTGGAGAAGCGCTCACAGTCCAATGGGAAGAGAATGGTGAGTACAAAGCACCAGGAGAAGAGGAAGAAGTTACTCTTTTTTGCCCCACGTGTCCAGGGTGCTGACAGCTGAGGGTTTTCCCGAGACAGTGAGGTGAAACAAGCAGGCAAGAAGACAATATTGCAAATCCAAAGTATAGAGAGGCAACATATGAAATAGGGGCCTGGATACAGAGGGCTTTCATGTGAATTCTGAAGGGAAAGGGGGAATTTCAAAGATCATGCATAGTTTATCCAGGGAGGGCAGGTGCTGTGACCTAGGAGGTAAGTCCATAGACAGTGGGGAATCAGCCTGGGCTATTGATGTGGAACCCAACAGTAGCCAAGAGTATTTGAGTAAATGGGCTTAACAACATTTCTACATTAGTCTATATTGTAAAAATACTTTCAGAATCAAGTTCATCATTAATTTACTAGATCTGACACTAAAAAATATTCACACATGAGTGAGAATGGCCCATATCAAAGAAGAGAAACAAGTACTGTCAAGAGTGTAAAGAAAAAGGGCCTCCCCTGGTGGTGCAGCGGTTGAGCGCTGGGCTGCGAAGCTGCCTGCAGCCTCTGCAGCGCCAGCTCGATCCCCCGGCCCCCAGGGAGGGTCCCACATGGCGCGAAGACCTCTCCTGCCGCCCGCTGCTCCCCTCAGCAGTGTATTTCATCAGTCTGTCTGTTCTGCTCCCTGCTCTGGCTCAGGTGGGTTCTCTCACCCTCCTGCATTTCTGACTGTACCCAGTGCTTGTACAAATAATAATAAAAAAATAAATGGGCCTCCCCGGTGGCGCAGCAGTTGAGCGCTGGGTTGCAAAGCTGCCCGCGGCCTCTGCAGCGCCGGTTCGATCCCCGGCTGCTCCCCGGCCACCGGAGGAAGGTCCCACATGGCGCGCAGACCTCTCCTGCCGCCTGCTGCTCCCCTCAGCAGTGTACTTCGGTTCCTCTGCCTGCTCTGCTCCCTGCTCTGGCTCTGGTGAATTCTCTCACCCTCCCGCGCTTCTGACTGTACCCAGTGCTAGTATGAATAAATAAATAAATCTTTTAAAAAAAAAAGTGTAGAGGGCCTCCCCAGTGGCGCAGCGGTTGAGCGCTGGGTTGCGAAGCTGCCCGCGGCCTCTGCGGCGCCAGTTCGATCCCCGGCTGCTTCCCGGCCACCGGAGGAGGGTCCCACATGGCGCGCAGACCTCTCCTGCCGCCCGCTGCTCCCCTCAGCAGTGTACTTCGGTCCTTCTGCCTGTTCTGCTCCCCGCTCTGGCTCTGGTGGATTCTCTCACCCTCCCGCGCTTCTGACTGTACCCAGTGCTTGTATAAACAAAACAAACAAATAAATAAATAAAAGACTGACACTTTAAAAAAAAAAAAAAAAGGCAACAAAAAAAAAAGTGTAGAGAAAAAGGAACTCTCTTACACTGGTGGTAGAAATATATAATGGTCCAGCTCCTATAGAAAGCAGTATGGAAATGTATCTGTCATACTGTCCAGCAATTCTGCTTCTAGGTATCTATCTAAAAAATATAGAAACACTAATTTGAAAGGAAACTTACGCTCCCATGTTTACTGCAGCAATTTTTACAATGGCCAAGATATGGAAACAACCAAGTACCCAAAAATGAGTAGATCACTTTATAACAAAAATTAATGGTACATGTCCATCAACAGGGGAATGGTTAAAGAAGCTAGGATAATCCATAGTCTATCATGCTTAAGGCTGCTAAAAACATGGATCTAGAATACTGTTATAGAAAGCCCTCTGAGACATACAGTTAAATGAAAAAAGAAAATATTCTATTATTACGGTGTGCTAAAACAAACTATAAAATAAAACCACATATTCTTACAACACTTAAACATGTGAAAGCATAAAAAAATCTGGAGGTTCTTTCCAAACTGGTAACAAGTGTTACCTCTGGAACTGAAAGAAGGTGGGGTCAGTGGTGAACTTTAAATCACAGAAATGCAGTCACATTTAGGAGAGGAAAGGAAGAGAGGAAGGCGGGACAGGCCAGTATTTCTGGGTTCTGACTTCAGCGACCTGAAATGTTTGGGTTCTGCTTGTACCACCATGGGGTGACTTGGACAAGCTACTGCATCGGTGGCTCCTCTGATGCATCAGATGACCTCAGAGGTCTCATCAACCCTCACCCCATGACTACATCAGGGTTGAGATACATCCATGTTCTCAGCTGCTAGACTGGAGCCATGGACATCATTAGTAAGAGAAAGAGTTGAATTTCCTCAGGCAAAGAGAGGTGCCAAACACCTACCCCAGGCGGAATGACCTCATCAGGTATGGGGTATTAAAGTACTTTAGTGTTTCTACAAAGCTGGAGGGTGGATACAAAATTTGAAACTGAAGTGACCAATCTAGGATTGGAGAGAATAAAATGACATACCTAGGCTGTTAAAAAAGATGATAAAGACTCAATAGATAAATTACAGATCTGATTCTTAAGAGTAAGAGATTTTAGCCTAGTTCTCTCAGCAATTATGTAGTGTTATTGTTATGCATTTCTCTTTTTAAAAATTCCATTTCTTAGGGCCTCCCCAGTGGTGCAGCAGGTTGAGTGCAGCTCTGTGAAGCTGTCTGCAGCCTCTGCAGCACAGGTTTGACTCCCGGCTGGCCAGGGAGAAACCCAAATGGCGTGGCAGACGTCTTCTGCCTCCCCCGCTGCTCCCCTCAGCAGTGTCTTCGGTCTGTTCTGTTCCCCGCTCTCTCTGGTGAATTCTCTCACTCTCCCATGCCTCTGACCTGTACCCCAGTTCTTATATAAATAATCTTTAAAAATAAATAAATGAAACTTCCATTACTTAAAGGTTCTTTTTATTAAAAGATTGAAAGAAGTCTACCAACCACAATTGAAAACTGGAAACAGATATGACTACTGGGGAGCAATAAGCTTCAGGAAGTAGTGCACACATGTACGCCTACCAAGTTCTACCTCTACTATGTCATCCCTACTCTGTCAGCTAGCTCTCCTCTCTCCTACTGGTACCCTACCTGATTGAACACACAGACATACTTGTCTACCTGCCATGATAAAAAATAAATAAACCTTTCTCCTTCCTTACCAAAGCAAACTTGTTGAAAAAAGTTGTCTACGCTCACTCTGCAACCCACTTCATTTTGACTTTTGACCCAATGACTATACTAGGACTCTTCTAGTAAAGAGTGAAGAAGTTTTTGGCTCTGTGGAGTTGAATTCACTGGCGAGATCTGACCCTAATCTTGCTTGGTCTTCTAGTAGCATTTGACCTGACTGCTTATTCCCTCCTTGAAACACTCTTCTCTTGGTTTCCATTTCAGATACAAATGTGTTTTTATCCACAGCCAAGTCTCCAACCCTTTCTGTCCTGTTGGCAAAAGCAACTTTTCACAAGAAGCTGAAAAAGTCTGAAACCTATTTTTCCAGTCTCCCTTCCAACTAGAACACAAGTGTACAAACATGACCTACAGTCTACTGGGTCTAGAGGAAGTCTCTTCAGGGCTGGGGAAACTCTTCCTCCATAATCAAGCTATACTCATCATAGGCTGCCATATCACATGTGAGAAGTGCATGGGACTTAATGAGTGGACCGAGCCAACCACACAGATGAACCTCAACAAGTAGATACAGTGAGCCTAAGAAATTATTACAGAAAGTACCATCTATTGTGCAGTCATGCCAATAAATAAAACCCAGAACTGATCAAACCTCTACATCTAACAACCCATCATTTCAGTTTACAGGAAATACAAATTAAAATCTAAGAGACAAATCCCCCAAATAATATGAGAAAACCTTGTTTAGCTTTTTTTTAATGGTTAAAAACAAATGAGAATCTGGAAAATTGGAGCACTGACTAAATATCTGACATACTGGGGCCTCCCCAGTGGCGCAGGGGGTTTAAGCACAGCACTGCGAAGCTATCCACAGCCTCTGCAGCACGAGTTCAATCCCCAGCCTGCAAGGGAGCTACCCACATGGAGCAGCAGACCTCTCCTGTCTCGCCCACTGCTCCCCTCAGCAGTGTATTCAGTCAGTCTGCCTGTTCTGTTCCCCACTCTGTCTCTGGTGAATCCTCTCACCCCCCGTACCTCTGGCCTTTACCACAGTTCTTGTATGCATAAATAATAAATCTTTTTTAAAAAAATCTGACATATTAAAGAGTTTAGATTACTGAGAGCCTTTGGTGTGACACTGGTATTTTGGCTAGGCATTTTAAAAACATAACTATGTTTTCAAGATTTGCTTCAAAGTAAGGTTGAAGCTGAGTGCTATGCAGAAGGGGCTTATTACTATTCTCTAAACTTTCCTACTGTTTGACATTTTCCATGGTAGAAAAAATTTTAATTAAAAAAATTGGAATGACCATTTAGACAATCCTTTATGTGTTTACTGAAAAGTTGCTAAGAACAAAGGCCAGATAGTGACTGAGCAATGAGGCAGGAGCACATCATCAGAAATGAGGGGAGGACTGCCCAGGTAATTAGATGAATGAGAGCAAATGGAAGTTTTACAGAAAGAGGGGGAAAACTGGAATGACAATGAAACAAAAAGGACCACTTCTGCAACCCAAGTCAGGGGCCCAAGGGCTATGGGAGAGCCAAGACTCCACAGACAACCAGTGCCAATAGCAGAGAGGTTTCAGAGAAGTAGAACTCCCAACTCTGCCTTTTGTGTTCCTATCCCAGCTACCCAAACCCAAATGTCTCTTCCATTCTGCCTCCAGTCCATTAGGCACGGCCAGGCAATTTTCCCTACTAAATCCCTCCCCAGCCTGGCCCAGTCCTGCCCTGGTCGAGGTCAGATCCCAGTGTTTTAACTTCTTTCTCTATCCCACAGCATCCTCTGAGCACAAACCTGGTTATGTACAAACCGTTCCCTTACCCTGCCCTTTCTGCTTAATTCTTGCTCCACCAACCAGGTCTCTACTTCCAGATCTAACTGTAGGGAGGTTTGGACTTCATGATATTAACAAGGTAGAAAGTAGACATACACATTCTTTAAAAACTATACTTACTATAGATTATAAAAGCTGAAAATAAATTAGCAATAATAACTATTTGCATGCTTGATAATACAGAATATGCAATAGTTTTACTTGAATTGGTTCACTTTCTTCTAAAATACTATAAGACTCTAACAGAAACTGTTACTAGAAAAAGTATGTCATTTCTGATCTAGAACTGTTAAAAAAAAAAAAAAAACTTATTAAAGGTGAGATATATGGCGGGGCCTCCCCAGTGGCACAGTGTGGTTGAGCGCTGTACTGGGAAGCTATCCGCAGCCTCTACAGCAACAGCGGGGGTTTGATTCCCAGCTGGCTAGGGAGAGTCCCACATGGTGTGGCAGACCTCTCCTGTCACACCCGCTGCTCCCCGCAGGAGTGCTTAAGGTCTGTCCATCTGTTCTGCTCCCCACTCTGTCTCTGGTAAATCCTCTCACCCTCCGGCACCTCTGGCCTGTACCCCCGCTATTGTATAATTTTTTTTTTTTAAAATTAAATAAATAAAAATAAAGGTGAGATATGTTTTACACACTTACTAACCCAATTTTATAATACTTAAGTTTCATTTCAATCATTCTATTTGGTAAACCAGAAATGTAAAGGGCAAGCCAGCAACTTTTAAGGCTCAAAAATCAAGCTTTATTATCCTATCAAAATATGAATAAAAACAGAAAACTTAGCATCTGACAAAAGTTACACTCTTGCAATCTTGGACTTCATCAAAATTCTGTTTATGACACCACCGCTCAAAAGCAAATCATTTACCAGGCTGTTTCTGTGAACTTTAAAATAACCAATCTTTAATACAAATCACAAAACCCTAGGCATAACCACAAAGATTTAGCCTCAAGACCACAGCCGTTTGGGTGGAGTCTAAAACAGCAATTCATGTGCAATGGTTAACCACTGAGTCATCAGAAAAGTAGTTTTAAAAACAATCTCACCAAAAATGCATTTCAGTTTAGTAGTTCGTAAAGACACAGTATAATATAAAGATTACAGATATTTTCACTTTGAAAATGTAACATTTAGTTGCAAGAACCAGAAGCTCCCATTAATTCAATGACATTCAAGAAGTGAAAGGACACCATAAGGATATAGCACATGCACACATGCTCACCTGAGTGCATATGTGTAGCCAGTGTTCTCAGGCACACACTGAGGAGGAGTATACATATGGAGCCGAGAAAAGTCCATGTTCGCGATCTCAAATCATACTGCAGAAAGTGGGGAGAAAGTAATGCAGGGTGTTAAAGGGTTGGAAACATAGAGAAGTCCTGTCTGCTATGGTCAGCCTATATTACTCAACCTGAAGAAGTCACTACTTTAATAAAATCAGTAAAAGTCCTTTGTTTTTAATTTTTAAAAGAGGGAGACAGGTTTTCTTACAGTTACAAATCAAGGAACACTTCTGCTATAGTTAGTTTCCTAAAATATTATCCCCATGAAAGTAAGAAGAAGAAATCCTGGATCAATGAACTTATAATTATGAAAACTGGGGCACTTCAAAAGAAAGTAACCCAGAACCCTTTCTTCTCAAACGTATTTTTAAATTCCTGAAGGTGTTAAAATGTTTTCATTCTTCTGAAATAAGTTTTCACTGTTAACAAAACTAATTCCTATTCCACAGTCAAGAACACTCAGGCTCTCCTAGAGAGTTCACTTTTTCACAAGTATCTCAAAATCAGAACACTTCAGTGTGAACAATAAGTAAGCTTAAGCATTGTTTGTACTTTTGTTTTTCACCAAAAGAAAACATGGGTTACTTTTAAATTAAAAAGTGTAAGCTTATTGTTTTTCATACTGTCGTCTAGACGTCTTTGGAATGACTCAATCTTTCCTAGGCTAAAAACACACACTCACAATCCAAAAAATACCAAAACAAACAAACAAACAAACAAAAAACCAAGCAACAAACCAACACACAGTAATAATGTGAAACATAATGTGTTGTTTAAAAATACCCAAGGAAGATAAAAATAAAGACCATCCTAAACAAAACATGTTTATGTATAAATGACTGATTTCTATCAACTAAGCCAAAGGTACCTCAATTCACATCATCTTCTTTGAAACAGTCTAAATATTCTTTAAAATATTAAAGGATTACATTCTATAATGGGCCTACTAATTTCAACAAACACCACAAAACCCCTGCACTTTAAAAAACATTTTAATATTCCTCAGTTCTTCTCAAGGACATAGCCTACTGATGCAAGAACATACTCAACAAGCACAATTCTTTCCTATTTGTCATCCTATTAATCTACACTTAAGCCTCTTTTTGCAAAAAAAGTGAACTGTAGCTATTTTAATCCATGTATTTGTCTAAAATACCTTTTCAATTGTCTCAATTTCCCTTTTGTCTACTCTAACCAATACCTAAATCTAGATTCAGTCACACAGGGGTGGAGGCCAGAAAAGCAAAGGCAGGAGCTTCAGCAGCCCAAGCTGGCACTGCACGGTCCTGTTTTCTAGCCACAGGCACACAGTTCTCCCAACCCATCAGAATTAGGGCCTCCCTCACACGGAACTGCGGAACTAGAGCCACACCCTAGCAACAGTGTAATAATGGTTCTGACCACACAGTTGTTTTGTAATAACTTACTAGGCAACCATAAATGCTGGGCTGAGTAACAATATTAGTACTCCATCACTGTTCTCATTCTTTAGAGTAGGTAACTAAAGCTTTTTATTCTCTATTAGATAATGACTAACTGACAAAACCCAAACTTCCTAACCTCATTCCCAAAGTGATCTTCCATATTAATATTTTGCTATTCAGTACCTGCATTACTGACCATGCTTAAACCCCAGATTAAAATAGTTATAATCACTGCTAACTAAGTTCTGTCCACTTTTCCATAACTGTGTACTTCTTTCACTAGTTTACTCATCCCTGAGATTTACAAATAGAAATAACACAAATAGAGGTTTGTGTTATGAATGGTAGATGCCCTTGAGGCAAGCACTTCAACACTTAATATAAAAACCTTGACCATGACATGGGAACTCTAGAGCATCCAGTGAGGAATAGGGGCCTACAGGATTTGGGCTCAAATCCCAGTTCCACCCCACCAGCTCACTGCCCCGAGGCCAGAGCCTAATGCAGGAAAGAGCTCTGTCTATTAAGCACAGTGTATGAGTGTTAAGTATTAAGTACAGTGGAGGCTGTGGTGGCACTACCCAACAGGCCGGTGACAGGATTAGGCGTGCGGCCCATGACTCAGCAGACAAGAGCGATTCCAGAGGGCTTATGCAAGAATGCACACTTACAGCCTTTTATTTTAAGAAGTCACATTAATATGATCTCAAATTTTTATCTACCTAAAGGAAAAATAGTGGGTCATTTCTATTGCATAACAGTGTCTTTAAAAGTTAGCAGAGGTGGGCCTCCCCGGTGGCGCAGCGGTTGAGCGCTGGGTTGCGAAGCTGCCTGCGGCCTCTGCGGCGCCGGTTCGATCCCCGGCTGCTCCCCGGCCACCGGAGGAGGGTCCCACATGGTGCGCAGACCTCTCCTGCCGCCCGCTGCTCCCCTCAGCAGTGTGCTTCGGTCCTTCTGCCTGCTCTGCTCCCCGCTCTGGCTCTGGTGAATTCTCTCACCCTCCCGCACTTCTGACTCTACCCAGTGCATGTATAAAAACAAAAACAAACAAACAAATAAATAAATAAAACATGCCTCTATAAAAAAAAAAAAAAAAAAGTTAGCAGAGGTATAGGACAAGTTTTAAACACATTTTCAACCTGGTTCTTCCAATCAATGAGGCAAGCCACCTCTCACAAAGTTTTAACGTAGGCATTATGACGATTTAAGAAGAAACTTCTCTATAATTTAAAATTCTGTTAAAGAACCAGGTGTATATATACATTGGCCATTAGTGCACCCCTATCACTGGCAGGACTACCAGTGACCGAGTGGAAAAACCTAAAGGTTAACCAACACAGAGAGATACAAGCTGACATAGTGGTAGCTTTTTGGTAAAATGCTTAACAAGAGGCACTACAAATATAATAAAATGCCCCAAAACAATATCATTGAGAGAACATCAAGAGTAGATGTGCACTAGATTAGGAAGAGGGCAGTAAGGTCAAGAGCAAAGGAAAGAGGTTCAAGTGGAGATGGAAGACCGAGTCCCAGGGCTAAAACTACAGAGGAAGGGTGAGCCACTGCACATGCAGGTTTTTCCTACTCATTCTGGTTTTACTCCCATAATCACATGAATTCTAGGTTTATATTCTCCAGGGGAATGTATCTAAGTATAAAACTACATGCAATGTCTGATCCTAACTTCATCAGAATCTTGGCCTACACTAATGTTCTGGTCATTACTCCACAAGCCCCTAAAGAGGCATCTCCCCAGAGAAGGGCTGAAGGACCAAACGCATGCGAAGCAGCACTTCTGAAGGAAAGAGACAGAATCAGAGGCTGTAACAAGCTCCACTCAGAATTTCAAAGGGTGAAGGGGGTGATCAGTGTGCTTCTAGGTTTACTGCATCACTCATACAGTATGTGGCTATAGATGTTACTGGAATTTATTTTACTTCTCTCTGCACCTGGGTCTTTCACTCCTTGCACCTATCTCATTTTTTTCCTCCCCCTTATTCTCCCTTAACAGAGCATAATATGCGTTCAGAACACTTTTAAATTAATCTTTAGTTCCTTCTATGAAATGTAAACATTAAATAAAATTGTAGGACAAAATGAAATTGATTTTTTTTAAGGAGTGCTTTTTTTATTTTTAAATTATTTTTTAATTTATACAATAGCTGGGGTACAGGCCAGAGGCGTGGGAGGGTGAGAAGATTCACCAGAGACAGAGCGGGGAACAGAACAGGCAGACTGACCAAAAGCAATGCTGAGGGGAGCAGCGGGTGCAACAGAAGAGGTCTGCCGCGCTATGTGGGAATCTCCCTGGCTGGTCGGGAATTGAACCAGCGCTACAGAGGCTGAGGACAGCTTCACAGTGCTGTGCTCAACATGCTGCGCCACCGGGGAGGCCCCATGAAATCGTTTTTAAAAGGATTAAATGAATTAATGCATTAAAGACAGTCTCTGATGCATAATAAACACTCACATGTTAATTACCTTGTGGAATAAAGTTATCTAACTCATTTTAAATTTTAAAAAGATTTCTTGGGGCCTCCCTGGTGGTGCAAGGGATTAAGCTGCAGCACTATGAAGCTATCGGTAACCACTACAGCACAAGTTTGATCCCCGGCCAGGGAGGTGACCCACATAGTACTGCAGACCTCTCCTGTCTTGCCCACTGCTCCCCTCAACAGTGTATTTCAGTGGATCTGCCTGTTCTGCTCCCCGCTCTGTCTCTGGTGAATCCTGTCCGCTTCCCCCACCCCGCATCTCTGGCCTGCATCCCAGCTCTTGTACGCATAGATAAATAAATCTTTAAAAAAATAAAATAAATTAAAAAAAGATTTCTTTTTCTTCTGACTTAACATAACAATCCCTGAAATTGAAGGCACACTGGCCACTGGCTAAATAAAATCAATGTGGGGCTGTTCTGGACACACAGTTCCCAGGTTAGAGCAGAGTTCCAGGCCCTCAGTGGCCCATCAGCAAAAAATAGAAGAGCCATACTCTACTACTGATAACTAACCATGATTCTCAGCATTTTCAAAGGCTGCCACACTTCCTTTTCATGACTGCTATTTAAGGCCCACCCTGTGAGATTAGAACCTTGCCATGAAGGTGGCCCTGAAGGTGGCCCTGCCTCCACTGGTCTCAGATTGAGGCTCAAGGGAGATCTGATTTGTATTCATAATCTGTCAGGTTTTGAAATAGTAAGTGAGAAACGGATTGAAAACACTTTGCAGTAGCATCAGCAAAGTGAACATCTTGCAAATAGTTGTGTTACAAAGGGGCAGACGGTCCACATTTCACTATCCTCACCTTTCTTAAATACCTTGTAAATGTCATGACTGGTTAACTATAGCTATGGGGGCATCCCTGGTGGCGCAAGGGGTTAAGCACCGAACTATGAAGCAATCCGAGCCTCTGCAGCACGTTCAATCCCTGGCCAGCCAGAGAGACACCCACATGGCAAAGCAGAACTCTCCTGCCTCGCCTGCTGCTCCCCTCAGCAGTGTATTTCAGTCAGTCTGCCTGTTCTGTTCCACACTCTGTCTCTAGTGAATCCTCTCACCACCACCCCCATCCCAGGCCTGTACCCTAGCTCTTGTATGCATAAATAAATCTTCAAATATACATACATACATACATATATATATATATATATATATATATATATATATATTGCCATGGCCAATTTCTGGGAGTACCCTGGGTATAGAAGAGTCTGACTGTACCAAACTCTATACTAGATGCTAAAGAAGGAGTTGAGCTTCCATCAGGCCCACATTCCATCCAATACCCAGAGGCTGGTCAATCCAGCAGATTAGAGCACAGGGAATGAGAGCTCCACAGCATGGGAACACCTCCTGTGCCCCACAAAAAAGAATTATTTCTTCTAAAATTAAAATTCTGAGGTGCTACATTAAAAATTAATACTAAATTTTAACGCAACTATTGTGCTCATATCTTAAACTTGTTGAAACTAAATATAGAAACTAATTAAAAAATCAGTTGTTTTTGCCTATAAAGAAGTATAAACTGGGTTAGAAATTAATGTTTTCCAAAGATTATGTTCAATGTAATTACTTCTACAGAAGTAATAACATAATCTTTGGAAAACATATAATATATGTTATAGAAGTAATTAGTGCTATCAAGGAATTAGTATGGCATCTCTAGTTTCATTTTAAGGAAGCAAAACAATGTTTATGAAAAACTATGATTTATACTAAATAGCTGAGAACTCTTATAAAATGAACTTTTTAAAACAACAAATCAGAAACAAATGACTGTCACCCAAAAATAATTAAAAGGACTTTAAAGAGTGCTACATGTTATAGATATCCCTGGATATGTTTTCAAAACTTCTAGAAAAATACTACATTACTAAATATAATAGTAACTTCTAGAGAATAGAACTTTCACTTTCGCTTATTCCTTTCTGTACCATTTTAACTTTTTTAAGGAGTAGATACTGGTTTTATAATTGAAACAATCCAATAGATATTATATTCCAACAACTATGATTTTCAAAAGGGAAAAAAAAAAAAAGATCTTCATTTGTGAAGAGGTATGGAGCAGACAGACCCAGAGTTCAATTCAGCCTCTTCTACTTAGCTGTGAGACACAGGAGCAGAAAAAAGCAGGATGAAAACATTCAATAACAGTAATTATCAGCAGCAGCAACTCTGTACTGAAAAAGTTTCTAGCCAAGATGTGATGTTCCTTTACTTTTTTTGAAAATGGTGAAAAAACAGAAAGAGGTATAAGTTAGATGGATTTGTTGCCATGAGAAAAGAGCTCTGAGTGTTAGAGAAAGTCTATGTGAAGATCTATTATCAGATGATTACATCTACCAATGTAAGAGATCCAGATCTTTTTAATATAAATCCCCTTTCCTCCTACAATGGTATTTATCGTGATCTTTTAGCAAAAGTCCAAAGTCAAAT